TTTTTTTTTTTTTTTTTTTTTTTTTTTCCCTTTTTTTTTTTTTTTTTTTTTTTTTAGCTGTTGTCATCATATGTACAAGAGATCGGTTGAGTAGAGTTTAGTTGTAAACTTGTCTTGAAGAAGATGAGATTGAAAATTGAAAATTGTAGATCTGGCGATGTTGAAAAAAAAAAAAAATAAATAAATAAAAAAATAAAACAAAATAAAAATAAAAAAGTATAGGAAGAGAAAGCCTTCATCAGACCCAAGCTTTATATTATGAAAACATGCTACTATGAACTTTTGGAAGTGTCATCAGTAGCGACAGAGAGTGAACTCAAGAGAGCATATCGTAAAAAAGCCTTACAATTACATCCAGATAAGAACCCCAACAATTTAGAAGAAGCTCATCATCAATTTTCTGAAATACGTACAGCCTATGAAGTGCTTAGTGATCCTCAAGAAAGAGCATGGTACGACTCGCATAAACTGAGTATACTAAACGATGAAGATATTGTTGAAGAAGAAGATGGAGGTGGAGGAGTATCCCATATCCCCTCTATTTCAACCGAGGAAATATTGAGATATTTCAACCCGGGAATGTACACTCAGGTTGACGATAGTGTCTCTGGGTTTTACGCTATAGTGTCGAGGGTATTTGAACGGTTGGCAAGAGAAGAAATCCAACATGGTAAATATCAGGGTATTGAGGAATTCAACAAGTATAAAGATGACGAGAACAACGTGTATGTGATAAATGTGGAATTTTTGAAGTACCCATTATTTGGAAATAGTCATTCCTTGAATCAAGATATTCGAGAGTTTTACCAAGTATGGCTGAATTTTGCTACTTGCAAAACATTTAACTGGAAACATGAGTATAGGTACTCTCAAGCGCCTGATCGTCGAACTCGAAGATTAATGGAGCGTGAAAATAAAAAGATCAGAGATGAGGCAAGAAAACAATATAATGAAACTGTCCGGAAATATGTAGCATTTATTAAAAAGAGAGATCCCAGATATAAAATAGCAATGGAGGAGTTGAGTAAGTTGCAGAGGAAGAAGCAAGCAGATGATATGGTTCGCCAAGTTCGCAATTTGAAAAGATTAGAGAAACTAAAAGCCAACAGTGAGTATGAGGAACAAAGTTGGCAGAAGCTAAATGAAGAAGAAGAGCAAGACTTGAATCGCATAATTTTGGAAGAATATAACGAAGAAGCTTTGGGTAGTAGCTTTGATGATGATGATGATGATGATGATGATGATGATGTGTTGACGGATTCGGAATTTGAGGAGTACGAAAGTAATCCAGAAGAAGAGATCCATGAATTTGAGTGTATTGTTTGTGACAAGATCTTGAAAAATGAACAACAATTCAAAATACACGAGGAGAGTAAGAAACACAAGAAGGCTGTTCGACAGATGAAATGGGAAATGAGACAAGAAGGTATTGAATTGGGTATCGATGATGATGATAACGAGGGACAAAATGGTGATGAATTTGAGACAGCAGAAAGTGAATTTGAGGAAACAAGCGAGGATGAGAATGAACTCAGTGAAAGTAGCGGCAGTCTGGATGCGAGGGAAGAAAACTTGATGCACAAGGTTGAGGAAGTGCAGGAAAACGCTAAAGTTTTGAAAAGCGAGAATCGTATAAATGGCACTACTCAGGCTGTTGAATCTGAGAGAGCCACAGATGAATCCAAAAATAATTTAGAAGAAGAATTGGCAAAACTCATGGTTGGTTCCAAATTGGAAGATTCGGACGATGATTGGAACATTGGCAATAATAAAAAGGAAAAGAAGAAAAATAAGAAAAAGACCAAAATAAATAATAAAAGTTCAAGAGAATCTACTCCAAGTAAACAGAACACCAGTACTAGTAGGAGTGCATGTACTTCCACTTCGGGTATGGAAAAGTGCACGGTTTGTGGACAATCCTTTAGCTCGAGAAACCAATTATTTAATCATGTAAAATCGGAGAATCATGTTGCATTCTCTAAACCTTCTATAAAATCATCTAAAGCGAAGAAGAAAAGAAAATAACCACTGGCTTTTACATTGCATTACCACCCTCATCCTCATCATTGTCATAATTACTCATCCTGTCCTCCATACATCATGTATTCAATTCAATAATAATCATTTTTTTTTGCTTTCTTTTTACTTAATACCAGTTTTAGACATTTTGACCTTTGCTATAATCGGCTCATTTATTCCTCTTCCTGCAAGACCCAAACCTTCGCCTTTTGACCAACCCAACTTCTCCAACATTTGTCTACCTAAATTGCTTTGGGAAATCTCAGGTGCTTCAGCACCTACAACATCACCTTCTTTGAATCTGGCCCTAATGCCATTTCCACTTTTAGATATAGTTTTTGCACCTTTATCCTTGTTTGGTTTTCTATCGATTCTATGAAATATAGGACGACCTCTTAAAATTGCTTGTACTCGATCATAATTAGGTGCTGTTTTGAAAGTTGCTCTAGTTTTGGAAACTTTGAGGTACTTTCTCACACCAGGTGGACCGCATTTATCCACAGTCATATGATAACAATCTGCCATATTCATAATGGTTTTATGTCCATGTGTATCCAAAGTTGGAAAGCTCATCGACTGTCTTAATTCATCGCTGAGTAGGTCTTCAAATTCACTTTGGATTTGTCGTATTGATAATGATTCCGGATATCGAATCAACATATCGTTATGTAACACAGCCTCTTCAATTTGTTTTTGTTTTCGTTCCTTTCTCTTATTCTTTTTGTTTCTGTTATAGTTTTTAAGCTGACGTGCTAAAGATTCTTGAATCTCCGAATCCAAATAGTTTTCATCAAACCCTGATCTCTTTTTTGCGGGAATATTGTTTGAAAAATCTCGATCTAGTATTGGAACTAATCCTTGTGTACTAGTTTTGCAGTATGCGATAAGGTCTTCTAGATTTTCATCGGACTCGAAATTGATGCTATTCTCTTCACTTTTGTCGTCACTTTCACAAGAACTTTCGCTGACGTACACATCTAGTTCAGACTCTGATGTTGTCCCATCAATCATTCCTTTTGTGATGTAGGACAAAAACTTAGCTAACCGATTTCTTTTAACACCATTGGTCAATACATATTCTACGAGTTCTTCCTCACCAACCCAATGAAATGTATCATCAACACTGCCTGTCAAGTCTGCACATTTTAAAAAATACAGATTTTCTATGCCAAACCTGATATTTGATACTTCAATTTTGGAAACATCAAATTCATAATCTTCTTCTAAATATCCATACTCTGGGTCTGATTCTACTGATGAGTTGGGTTTGTTGTCGATATCGTCTTTCTTGAGTAGAAGTTTCTCACCATCTGCTGGATCGTCAAAGAATATTTCCACACTATCTTGTACAGGAGCCTCTATAAATTGATGGCTAGTAACATCTAGTTCTTCCTTCTGCACTTGCTCTTGTTCCTCTTGTTCCTCTTGTTCCTCTTGTTCTTCTTGTTCCTCTTGTTCCTCTTGTTCCTCTTGTTCCTCTTCTTCTTCCTCTCTCAGTACTCCTTGACCAACTTCTTTAATATTCATTGTCATCTCTTTTACTAAATCCTCCCTAGACGTGATCATTGGTTTCGGCTCTTGATTTTGTATCATATAAACCAACTCCTCTTGTTCATCTTCTAAGACTTGGTTTATAGTGCTCTGCAACTTTTCCGCCTCTTCCATGGCATTCTCGTCATCATCATCCTCATCAACATCATCTTCATCGACATATTCTTCCTCTTCTTCCTCTTCTTCCTCTTGTTCTTCTTCCTCTTGTTCTTCTTCCTCTTGTTCTTCCTCTTGTTCTTCCTCTTCTTCTTCCTCTTCTTCCTCTTCTAGTGAGATTCTCTTTAACTCAACATCAATAGCATCACCAAGATCATTATTTCTTTGCTCGGATAACTTATTTAGTATCACATTTGGATCATAAACTTCCTTTGCCTTTACAAAAATCACTGGTCGATTTCGAAAACTTTGACGCATAGTATCTGCATGATGTGCTTCTGTATACCGAGCTTCCTCTTCAAGATGTCCGTACTTTCGCCTTCCAAAATTTAAGCCGGCTTGGGCCATTTTTCCTCTTGGAACATACAACGAGTCAGGATCAAACAATTCTTGATATTGTGAAGAAGAACTATTATTATAGCTTGTTGATTTAGGCTTGTTTCCCTGGATAGACTTTTTCAGATTAGATCTAAATCTTCCACGACCACCGCGAGATGAGCCGCGACCTCGTCTATTCCCTCTTTTAGGCATACTTCCGACTTCTCTACAAATAACACAACACTCTCAAAGCAATAAATAACCTTTACGAATAGAAGCAAGTAAACCAAACACTACAAACAAGCAATCTCATCGCATAAAGAGTGATTCAGTTCGACATATGGTAGCTTAATTGTGAACGCCTCGCTAAGTGCGGCGTCTGTCACTGATTTCTTTTTTTTTATTTTTTTTTATTTTTTCTTCTGGCAAATAAGTATTTCCCTTAGCGATAAGGAAGAGGAAGAGAGGGCTAGTTCTTTTGTTGATAACAAGGAAATCCAGTTTATGCAACGGGAATATCTGGTTGGTTGGTATAAGACACAAGAGGGATTTGCATATAAGAAAATGGACCAAGATGAAAGTAACAAAAACGACGTGGTGGTGGTTCTAGGCAGCAGAGATATTTCAGAGGAGGAGCCGCGAGAGGTGGTTGATACTCCAGAGATACCATTCGTGGGGAGGAATCTAGGGCGGAATTTAGAGAGGTTTTCGGCGTTTATGAGGGATATTTCTGGAATTAATGGCCAGGAACCTAGCGGTAATGAGCAGGCGGATAATGAGAAGGTGAGTAATGAGCAGGCGGGTAATGAGCAGGCGAGTAATCGATCATTTTGTGAGCTTCCACTGCAAAGCAGTAGTGCAAGAAATAATTTTGTGGTTTTAGGCAAAGAATTTGATAATGCCGTGGACGCAAAAGACCGGGTCAGCAGTCTTCTATGGATGTCATATAGATGTGGATTTGAACCCATACCCAAGTCAGAGGATGGACCCAAGCCAATATTTTTCTTTTCCTCGATTGTTTTCAATAAACAAACTTTAAACAATTTGAAGAATTTGAAAAGTTTACTAGATAACGAGAATTTTACTAGTGATGCCGGTTGGGGATGCATGATTCGAACATCACAAAACCTTTTAGCAAATACAATGTTGAAACTAGCCAAAAGCAAGCAAGAAGAAAAGAAGGAGAAGCAGAATAAAGCGGAAGACGACAAGAAGCAGAATGAAGTGGACGACAAGAAGCAGAATGAAGTGGACGACAAGAAGCAGAGGGATAAAGAGATATTTTCACAAATTATAGCTTTGTTTCAAGATAATATAAAGTCACCATTTTCGCTACATAATTTTATTAGAGTTGTTAGTGGATCACCTTTACAGATAAAGCCTGGTCAGTGGTTTGGGCCGAACGCAGCTTCAGCATCCATCAAAAAGCTTACTGCTGAACAAAATGAAAAGAATGACGCTGACTCCTTGGTGCCAGTTCCATTTGTGTATGTGAGTGAAAACTGCGATCTATACGATGATGAGATTGAAGAGATTTTTCAAAAGGAAAAGAAACCGCTTCTTTTGTTGTTTCCTATACGGCTTGGTATAGACCAAGTAAACAAGTATTATCATGACAGTATTTTGCAGCTACTAGCTTCGGAATATTCAGTGGGCATTGCAGGTGGCAAACCTTCTTCGAGCTTTTATTTTCTCGGCTATGAGAATGATGACGAGTTGATATATTTGGATCCGCATTCACCGCAGATGGTCGAGGAGCCAATCAACACCAATAGCTATCACGTTACAGAATATAGCAAATTGAACATTGAAATGCTTGATCCATCAATGATGATTGGAATATTAGTAAAAACTATGGCTGAGTATCAATCATTTAAACTTGAATGTACACTGTCCAAAAACAAGATTCTCCATTTCCACCCATTGGTAACCGTTGTACCTCAGGAGTCTTCTATAACTCAGTCTTGGGAAGAAGTACAAGGAGGTGAGGAAGAAGATTTTGTTAACCTCAATGTCAAGAAAAACGAAGAGGAATTTATAGATTTGGGTAAGTAAGGGTAAAGTAGGTTGTTTTCATCCTGTTTTTTTTTTTTTTTTTTTTTTTGGCATTATCTAAATCAAAGCTACAAGATAGCTTTGTAAATATGAAAAAAGTGATTTGTTTTTATCCTTGTTGGCGCCTGCTTCAACACATGATATGTCCCATATACTATTATTAATATCATCTTGAAATTTAAACCCATCCTTATTCTCCTTCACGACTGGAAATATTCTAATCTTTGCAATCCATTCTCCCGAGTCAGCGCCTGCTTCGTGTTTGTACAAATGGCAAAGACTTGCATTTGCATCCTCAATTGCATTTATTTTGCCATGAGATAAAGTTTTTTCAATTGATTCCTTAGTCACTGTTTCAGCGCAATTGTCATTTAAGGTAAATGTTTCCCATCCAACCAAAAACGGTCCTTGAGCCTCTGTATCGATCCAGTCCAAACCAACAAAACATTTTACTGGCAAGCTCAGTGTACCATAGTACCAGCCAGTTACTTTTCTCGTGTAGAAGGGGATCCTTTTGATCAAAGCAAAGCAAAAAGTAAAGCTCTTGAACGCAAAGTTACCAAACAAGAACTTAAAGGGATTGATAAATTGTTTGAAAATCCACAAGATCAACTCGGATGGTTTTTGCTTAACAAATGCAATGATGCTTCCCAAACCTTTTCCATCATTACTTGTTGTAGGAATATATCTCTGAGCAATCTCTATCAACTGTTTATCATTTAACTTCAGCTCCTGCAGGTCATAATCATTTAACTTCAGCTCCTGCAGGTCATAATCATTTAACTTCAGCTCCTGCAGCTCTTTAAATTCAGTACGTCCTGATATCCGATGCAAATACTCTACTGCATCCAAATTCACGACAAAATCCGAAAAACTCTCGATTGGTAAATCATATGGATTGGTACCATCTTTAATTTGTCGAAGCACAACTTTTGATTCTACACCTAAATGTACATACGCAACATTACCAATTACTTGATCAGCAATTACACCATAGAGAAATAGATGAATGCTGAAAAAGAACAAGCAAAATGATTGAAATAATCTAATCATTATAGAAAATAATAAGAGGCTCAGAAAAGAAAAATATGTCTACTATTAACTTATTTGCTATTAAGGAATTTACATTGCTTTATATTCACTGGTTAGCAAAGAAGAGTGGATTTATCAAATCGGCAGCAACTTTGATTACTTGTTTCAGATTTTACGTGAAGTAATTGAAATTTCTGCCTCTGACGTAAATTGATTCAGTGTCGCAAAAAAAGAAAAAACATACGACACTGAAACTCCTTTCTGCCTCTGACGTAAATTGATTCAGTGTCGCGAAAGCAGACGACATTGAAACCGATTTTTACAAAGAGATGAGAAGCACTAGTATGAAAAATTATCTATAGAGATTAGAAGTCTAGATTATTGCAATAGAGAGATCAGGAGTCAAGACCATTGCAATATAGAGAGTATACAAGTAGATGATAGAGGATAGTTTGAAGATATGCACTGTTTGTGCCTCGAATAATAATAGGTCGATGGAGTCACACAAGCAGCTTATGGATGCCGGGTATAATGTTCAATCGTTTGGGACAGGTTCAGCGGTACGGTTACCTGGTGTATCGATAGATCGACCAAATGTGTATGAATTTGGTACTCCTTACGACAAGATATACCAGGATCTTGTTAGTCAAAATGCTGGGAACATATACGAACTGAATGGTGTTATGCAAATGTTGAGGCGAAACAAGGACGTTAAGCCTGCACCTGAAAAATGGCACTCCAACTCCTATGCAGGCAAGTTTGATTTGGTGATAACGTGTGAAGAGAGGTGTTTTGATAGTGTAATGGAAGATTTGATGTTTAGGATGTATAGCAATAATAACTCCACCTTCCCCGCCGATGCAAATCTGAGCCTAAAGCGAATTGTTCATGTTATAAACGTTGAGATCAAGGATGATCATGAAAACGCCATACTAGGCGGAAAGGGAATATTGAAATTGGTCAACATGATACATGATTATAAGAGAAAAAAGCTCAATAAGGATCAAGTTGAAGATGAGCTGGATGTGTTGTTGGAGGATAACATGATGAATATACTTACAGAATGGCAAAAGGATCATACACATTTGCAGACCTTATATGGGGTCTCCTACTATTAAACTATCGAGCAGAGCGACACTAGCAACACTAGCAACACTAGCAACACTAGCAACACTAGCAACACTATCGAGCAGAGCGAGATAGTGGAGCACACTAGCAACACCATCTGTCACCAACACCATCTGTCACCAACACCATCTGTCACCAACACAATCTGTCACCGACACTAGCAACACTATCTCGCTTTGCTCGATAGTGGGCCACAACACTTTGTAACTTGTTACACACTGACTAGCTCGTTATGACACTGACTAGCTCGTTATGACACTGACTAGCTCGTTAAAACACTAGCTTGTTGCTCCACTATCTCGCTCTGCTCGATAGTGGAGCATGTCAAAACTTATAGATAGCATGCTATAGCCACAATAGCCACATATGCTATGTCCAAGATGTCATAGTCTACAATAAATGTAATACAAATATACTTGAAGATAAAGTAGCCTCATCTAAAGTAGCCCAATCTCCTTGTTCTTTCCCTCTTTTTCTCTTTCTCCTAAAGCTTTATCCAAATACAAAGAATACAGGTCTATTTCCTAAAGAGTACAAGTCTGTTTCCCAATAAATACAGGTCTATTTCCCCATGTCAAAGCCCATCGAGTCCCATCGCGCCCCATCGCGCCCCATCGCGCAGTTTGTCATCGACGTTTTTCTGTCAAGGAAAAAAAGACACACAGAAAACGCGTAATCTTCTTTTTCAAAGGTATAATCAATATTGTTAAACAATAGAGAAGGAGTGTTTTAGTGTTTATAATTTTGACAAGAGCTTCCCTCGACCCTTCTTTTCTATATTGATTGAGCTAGCTAGGGAGTCTAGATGATGGATGGTTTAGAACAGCCCTCTTTGAAGAAGAGGAAGAGCAGCAGGAGGACGAGAGAAGTGGTGCCGTTTCGACCGGGTTTTCTAAGGAAGATTAGAGTATGGAATTTCACCACTTATTCATACACGGAGTTTGTCCTTTCGCCGACATTGAACATGATTATTGGTCCTAATGGAAGTGGAAAGTCCACTTTAGTTGCTGCTATCTGTATTGGCCTCGCAGGTAAGATTGATTTGATAAAACGGAAGAACTTGAAATCGATGATCAAAACAGGCCATGAAAGAGCCGCAATTGAGATCACCATTGAAAATGAAATTGGTGAAGAGCCAATAGTTGTTGAACGAGATTTCTCAGCAAAGGAGTCAATTTGGTCAATAAATCGAAAAAAGAGCACAGAGTCTGCTGTGAAAGAGTTGCGGTCAAAATTCAACATTCAGTTGGATAATCTTTGTCATTTTCTCCCTCAAGAGAGAGTTGCTGAGTTTGCTGGTTTATCCTCAGAAAAGTTGCTCATGGAAACAGAAAGAACATTGAAGGACGGACATCTCTTGGCTATGCACGAGGATTTGATACAAAAAGATACAAAAAGTCAAGAGTTTCAATTGAAAATTGAACAGTTGAAAAATAGGCTAGAGCAGTTACATTTGGAAAGATCGAAATTGGAAGAAGAGGCAAGAAAACTACAAGATTATGAAAACAAGTCAAAGGAGTTGGAAAACCATCGACTATTGATCCCTTATGCAAGATGGCAAGACATGAAAGAAAAACAATCACATTTGAAACATAAAAAGAATCAGGCTAAAAAGAGACTTTCTTTATTTGATCAAAATTTTGCCCCCTTGAGAGAAGATTTGGGCAAACTCAAACTAGAAATTGAAACCCAAAATACCAAAGTGCAAAAACTGGAAAAGGAAGGAAATTTTATCAAATCAAATATCGAACGACACAAAGACAAACTACGAAATACTCAAGATGAAATTTCTGCTCTTGTACAAAACTTGGAATCCTATAAGACTAGAACCGAGCAGAAGAAGCAAGAATTGGAACAGGTGAGGAGTGAGATTCAAAACTTGATTGAGCAGCGAAGAATTATTGGAAATATAGACAAAACCGAAATCGAGGAGCTCAGTGCCAGTTATTCAGAGAGTAAATCCATTTTGCGTGATCTTCAAAATAAACTTGATGATCAAAGTCACCAAATCAATGATTTAAGCTCGGATATAAAGGATTTGACCATGAAAATGAGGAGGGAAGAAAACAGGCTTCAAGGAAACGATAAATTGGACTTATTGATGGCTGAAGCTAGTCGAGAAAGGAAACCGTTTAGGCTACGTGACGATTCTTTCAAGATGCATTGCACTTTGCGAGAACTCGATGAATTTCGAGGTAATTATTTTGAGGCGCCAGTCATATCCTGTAATGTGAAGGAAAGACATTTTGCTGCTGCTGTTGAAAAAGTGGTTGACAAGAATACACTTTTTGCATTCACCGTGAGCTCACAGCTTGGCTACGAGTTGATGAATGAGTACTCGCAAAGAACGAAAACTAATACCCCACTTCGAAAGCTTGCAGAAGTTCGAATCCCTAAGCCAGAATTTCCAGCTGAAAAATTAGCTTCCTTGGGCTTTGAAGGATATTTGTTGGATTACGTTACTGGTCCTACGGAAGTTTTGAGCATGCTTTGCAATAGCTCAAAACTTCATGCAATTCCTATTAGTAGACACAAGTTGACAGAAGCACAAATAAAAAGATTAACAGATTCCTCAAGTGGAAGTTTCCCGTTTCGAAAGTTTATTAGTGGCGACACGTTGTTTAATGTTATGAAATCCAAATACGGCTCCAAACAAGTTTATTACCTGACAGAGAAAATTTCCAGGTCCAACTTTTTTGAGACTTTGGGTTTATCTGAGCTGGAGAAAAAGACAATTAAAAGTACGGTTGAGAATTACAAGGCAGAAATTCGAGAAAAGAAGGAAATTTATGCCGAATACAAGACCCGGGTTGAGGGTATTGAATCGAAAATACGCTCGGTGAAAAACCAGTTGTCTCAAATTAAAGGTAGACAGCAGAAATTGAAGGAAGTTATAAGTAATGCAACCAAAATTGAAGGAAGAATCACGATAAAAGGGGAAAAAGCACAAAAATTGGAAAGAGACGCTAACAAAGATTATACTCACAAGATCAGGTCCTACGAACAGAGGATCACAGATAAGTACGCCGAGTTTTCGGCAGAGTCCGCCGAAATGAGTGAGTTGTTTTGCAAATATTCCAACCAGCAGATTGAAAGCAAGCTTTGCGATTTTGAAATGCTCGAGTTAAAGAATCGGCAAAAGACGGCGGAATCCTTAGTGGAAGAACTTAGACAATTGGAGAAGAAACTCCAGCAGGACTATATCAAATATAAAAACGAATACGAAAAGATAAAAGAGTCTCCCGAGTATGAAGAGATGAAAAAAACAAATGCACGTTACACTGAAGAAGAACGTATTTTGATTGCAGGAGTAGCACAAGTTTATATTGAGAGCAACACATTTACCGAATCTACTATAAGAAAGAAAATGGAACATTTCGAGGACGAATTGTCTGTTATGTCCACCGCAGATAGAGGCTCGGTGAACTTACTTAGAATAAAGTTACAAGAAATTGAAAGGGCAGAAACGGATCTTCCCAAATTCGAAGCGGACAAGTTTAAATTAGATGAGAAAATTCGTTCAATTTCAACTGTGTGGAAGGCCGAATTAAGTAAATTTATTCATCAAATTTCCTTAGCTTTTAGCAAAAGGTTTGGAAAAGTCGGAAGTGAAGGAAGGGTTGAATTGGTTGAAGGGGAAAGATTCAAAGATTGGAAATTACAAATTATGGTTAAATTTAGACAAGAATCTGAGTTGAAAGTTCTTGACCATCAATCACAATCCGGAGGTGAGAGAGCAGTGTCTACGATTTTTTTTATCATGTCACTACAAGGACTATCAGACGCGCCATTTCGAATTGTTGACGAAATTAACCAAGGTATGGACCCAAAGAATGAGCAGATGGCTCATCGGTACCTTGTGCATACTGCATGCACAAATCACAAATCACAATATTTTTTGGTGACCCCTAAGCTTTTGACAGGATTATACTATCATCCGGATATGATGATTCATTGCATTTTTACAGGTCCATTATTAGAAGAGAATAACGATCGAAAAGAAGGCGGTTTTCTAGATTTCGCTAATAGGTTTATAGCTGCGTGAACACACAACACATACCCCGTCTACTTTACTTTTTATTCTTAATTTTTTCTAAACAAGGCTGCTGTTTTATCCTTTTATTTACAATTCTCTTTTATTTCACTCTCTCTAATAAGTCTACCATTTTCTTTGCTCTAGTAATACATTCTTCTTCCCCTAGGAGTTCGATTATTTTCGGGACAGGAACTCCCTTTTTACCACCACTTAACAGTAACCTTAGGATCTCAAATACATCCTTTTTGGGTACTCCCATATTGTTGACTAAACGGTCAACAATACCTTTAGTTCCATCTATTATAACACTTTCAAGAATTTTTTGAGCTTGAGAAAGTCGTTTCGGGGGATCAATGTTTGAGTAATCCAAATCCTTAAAAAGGTATGCGTGATCCTTTAATTCATTGACATTGGTTATATATGGGGCCAATGTAACTAAAGCTGCTCTTAAATTTTCTTTACTCTTGACTGCTCCGATTTTTTGAAACTCTTCATAAACTTCATCAATCATTTTTCCCACACTTTTTGGATCCTTACAAACGAGTTGAAAATGTTCCTTTTGAAGAAAGTGCAATTTCAGATCAGCCACTTTAGCATTTCCCTTGGTCAATTGATCTAGAGAAAACAACTCAATTAACTGGTTCAAGCTAAATACCTCAGTTAGTTTTTGGTGAAGTTCCCTCGGTGGGGACCAACCGAATAAAGCTACAAAATTCAACAATGCTTGAGGTAGTATTCCTTGTTCGCGCAAATGAATAACGTTCAAGTCACCTTTTCTTTTTGATAATTTCTTATCTTCCAATGACGTTAAAAGTGGAACATGTGCAAACTTGGGAGGTTCCCATCCAAAAGCGGTATAAAGGGCTATATGTTTCGGAGTTGATGACAACCATTCTTCGCCTCTAATGACATGCGTAATTTTCATGAGGTGATCGTCAATAACATTGGCAAAATGGTACGTCGGCATGCCGTCGTTTTTCAATATGACAAAATCGTCGAATCTTTTATCTTTGAGATTATATTGTGGTTGCAAGCTCAAGTCACCATGTAGAAGATCAGTGATTGTGGGATACTCATTTGGTGACTTGAAACGAATCACATAGGATTCTTCACCATAATCGGGTGAGTTCAAACACTTTCTATCGTAGGAAACAGTTGTACGTGGTTTTAAACGTTTAGCTGATTCTCTTAATTGGTCCAAGCGAGACTTTGAGCAGTAGCATTTGTAAGCTAATTTTCTATCCAATAGCTCTTGAGCATACTTTTGGTAAATGTGCTTTCTTTGTGACTGTCGATAAGGCCCAAAGGGTCCGCCCTTTTCAGGACCTTCATCTATATCTAAATTGCACCATTTCAATGTGTCAAGGATGTTGTTTTCTGCGCCCTGGACAAGTCGCAGCAGATCTGTATCTTCTATACGTAGTATAAACTGTCCACCGGTGTTTTTTGCTAATAAATAGTTGTACAAAGCTGTTCGTAACGAGCCTAAATGTAGAAATCCGGTAGGTGATGGGGCAAATCTTGTTCTTGCGGGAGACGTTGGATGAATTAATTTTTTAGTAGAGTTTATGGGAAAGTCCGTAGACACGCAACCTGAAGCATCAGTGAGCAAACGTTGACTTGAAGCATCAGTGAGCAAACGTTGACTTGAAGTAACAGTGAACAAACGTTGACCTGAAAATTGGCACTTTGTTGCATGTTTAAAGACATTTGAAGCAGATTTATATAGTACTGGGTTCATTGATTCGTTGACATAAATTGCTCCTTCCTGTTGGGTCTAGCGTTATCCCGACTCTTTCGGCAATTGTCAGGTTTCACGCTATCTACCTATTGAGCCTGTCGACTACTGCAAAGCTGGGGGGGGGGGGTTGAAACTTTCACCTTTGTATTTAAATGGGGTTATAGATGGGGTGAATGGATATTGTGCGATGAGTTCGGCACTTGGTAGCACATTTCTCGTTTATCATCTATGGGTCGGGTCGAGTCTGGGCAGTAGGGCAAGTTTAGCCTGAATTAATGACACGGACTTTTGGTAATAGGTGTGGGTAGGTTTGAAACAGCATGATATAGATTACTTTTTAGGGAGTTGCTTAATAGGTATAATTTATATTGTGAAACCTATTTTCGTGGTAAGTATTGGTTATAAAATTGGCGCTTCATATACAGAATATATGATAAACCTCCCTTGTCTGAAAATCAATTCATTTCCACCATTACCTGCCATCATCTCATCTTATACTATCTACAAGATCCTCTTTAGCTACATTTTCACCTCCATCTCTAGTCACACCTTCATCTCCACCTCTAGCCACACCTTCACCTCCATCTCTAGCCACACCTTCATTTCCTCTACTAGCTACCATCTTGATCCTCTACTAGCACGGTCATCTGCAAAATTAGCCCACTTACCCATAGCACAATACTGAAATTTTCACCACTATGTAGCCAATAAACCCGTGTGTTGTACAGCGAAATTTGGCGAATGTTCTACGCCGCTAGTTTCCAAAATTGTCCTTACCCTAATGAATTCCTTTACACATTTGATTTAGGGGTTATAGAAAAAAAGAAATGTATAAAAGGCAAGGGATAATCCCTCCCCCCTTAAAAACCAATTTGCCACTTTTGATTTTGATAAGTGACTTTTTAAGTAATTTGTATTAGTTTTATCTACGTCAGTTGGAACAGGTAAGGTTGACCAGATACAAGTTGGAACAGGTAAGGTTGACCAGATGTGTGGAACAAAGAAATCGGATGATTTAAATGCTGATGCGGTATCCAAGGCCTCTTCACATAATGAGGATTTGGAAAAGTATGTTGAGAGCTTTGATAAGATTATCTCCAACATTGGTTCCTTGACAAATGCCATTGTAGGAGTCTCTTTGGATGCTAGTAGAGAAATAAACGACAAGGCTAAAAGATGGTCTGAAACTTGGTTTTCCAAGTCAAGAAATGACCGTGATTATGGGTACGATTATGACGAGTTGGCAGAAGGGTCCAAAGACTCAGTTGCATTCCCCCCGTTTTACGAAACTAGAGATGCGGGAAACAACAATTGCTTTCCCAAGGATATAGTGCCACCAATCTTGCAAGACTTTTGGAAAAACAACTTATTTTGGCAAGGCGAACCTTTGAAATTGAGCAGTTTCCCATTTGGTTATCGTGCCTACAAAGGACCCTCAATAAGACAATACCATGATTGTTTGGACAAACAAGGAAAATCCATTTGGGACGAAAAGGGGTACTGGAGATGTCTTTTCCCAGCAAGTGAATTCTCGACTCGTTTGTTAGATTTTAAAAAGAATTATTTACAAGACTCAATAATAACAAAGGAGGATTTTTTCGAAAAAATGAAACAAGTAGGTGAAACTGAGGATAAGCCTATAATTGACTTGCAGGATCAAGGAAAATTTTTTAACAAGTATGAAGATTATTTGGGTTGGAAGAGGAACCAATATGTAGAGAAGGAGAAGAAGGAAAAGGAAAAGGAAAAGGAACAGGAAAAGAAAGCATTATTACAGCTCAAAAATGCCGGTCTTGATACGCAGGACCGTTACCTCACCTCAAACTCAGTTAGCTCGAAACTATTTACGGATGAAGACACTAATGAAGTAAAATTGTTGGAAACAAGAAAACAATGCTTTAGTGATGGCAACTGCACCCTTACCAAGATCACTAAACTGAAACCTATTGGAAGTGCTCAGTGGGTTAGTGAAGAAGAGCATACCGAGGATATACGAGGAGAAAATGACGGTAAAGGTAACAAAGGATGGTTTTGGAAATAAAAAACTAAGAAACAGAAACCCACCTTACCGTCTTTATCTCTTTTTTTTTTTTTTTTTGTTTTTTGTTTTCTTTTTCAAGGAGAATTTGTAAATAAATGTGTATTTTGATTTTATACGAGTTGTTGTATCTCAACAGGTATGACCCCTGTTTCTATCTTAATAGTTACTTTTGATTTTGAAGTTTTATAAAGGGCCCCGCTCCTTTATACGTGGGGCCAAGGTTTGTGTATTTGGTAGCGCTCTTATGTACTGTTAATTTTTGAATTTTTTGGTGTTACAAGATTTTAATAACATGTATTGAAGATAGAAAGAGTTAAAGGAGGAAGAAGGGTGATTAAATCTTCCTTGGTAGGTCCGTTATAATGAATCCGTTAAACAAAATAATATTTCTATCTGCCTTTTTAGCGTCGGGGTTTCTATTGATATTACTATCATGTGCACTATTCAATAACTATAAGCCCTTATGGGTAATTTTAATATTCTTGTTAGCTCCACTACCCAATATTATAGCTAATTTAATAGAAAGTTCTAGGGACTATAACTTTCTCACGTTTAATGACTATGGTAACTCAAATGACCTGAATGCTACTCCCTTGCAAGAGTTTTCAAAATTCATTACGGGGTTGCTAATCATAAGTGGAATCTCTTTACCCTTGACGTTATATCATTGTGGGTTAATCGAATTGGGATCGTTTATAATGAGTGTTACCGGTGGATTGATAGTATACGGTGATATTGTTATATTTATATGGTTCTTTAGTAGTGAAGTTGAAGAGAGTGATGACTTGAATTTTTGAAAGAGAGACAAAAAGAAAAAAGGGATGTGGTTACAAAGGGGGGGGTTTCTAGGTTAATTTCCATCTAACTAAGTACGATAAGTAGTAGAATAAGCGTTATTGATAGAATTATTATTGTCACCAAACTGCCATTCTCTCTCGCTGTTTGTATAAACTTGTTTAATCTTGTTGTTGCTCTACGCATTCGCAACTGAGAATTGTCTGTTCCTTCCTCTAGATCATTTAATATTATCAAATGTTCGTTCAACTCTTGGTCAATATCATGTCCCATACGATTTTGCCGCGTAATCAGTTCGTGCAATAAGTCAAGGTCTTGGTCCTGTCTCATCATGGTTTGTTGGTGTTGCGCAAACATTTGATGATTAGTTTGCTCCAACTCTGCTTCAGACTCTCCTTCTGTTTCGGTTTGTGGTTCAGACTCTGGGGAATACTTCAATGCAGATTCCGATTCTAGTTGCGGCTCAGGAGACACATCTTGATAAGACTGGAAGGTAGTTGTGACATCATTGAAACGGACTCTATTAATTACCGGTTTTTCGTATTGATACTCTGCAACGTTTACGCTTGGATCAGATTGCATTTCCGCAAGTGCTTCATTATACAGCTTCACAAGATCATCGAATTGATCGTTGACAGCCGCGTCTTTAGTATGCAACATGTCTTGCTGAATAGTTTTGAAATACCCCATTGTTTTACTCAAGAGACTCGCCAACTCATTATTGTCATCACTCGAGGGCGCTAGGCCCAAAGCGTAAAGATGGTTCCTTTCGTCAATGCTAGTTGCTAGTTCCTCAACATTTAGTTGGATTTTAGACAACAACAACCGTATCTCTTTCAACTTTGGCGCCATTTATATCAAACGATAATGATCCTGGTAAAAGAGGTATTGAATATATATCGGGATAAAAATATTATTCACTGATAACGAAAACGAAATCAAACCCGCGTGCTACCATGTACATAGAAACCTGTAAGCGACACTATCGAGCAAAGCAACACTATCGAGCGAAGCGAGATAGTAGAGCACACTGACCGATACTATCGAGCAAATAGTCTATAAGAGTCTATAAGCAAGAGTGAATAGGTGAGAATACAAATAAGATCTATAAGAGTATATAACTTGTTGTTAATAGTCATTCTTACTCATCAATGGACATGGTAGCACTATTTTCTTCTTTTGTAAAGGAGATGAGATCCTCTCTACTGCTCCTACTGCTCCTCTCTACTGCTCCACTAGCTCGCTTTACTCTCTAGTGTTGCTGCTGCATGCTCAACATCCTTGTTGCATAACACGTCTAGCAAAATTGGTGATATACAATCGTAGACAAACTTGAATTGAATTAGCCAGGGGCCGTTTTACAATCTTACTTTAAACCATATAAAACATTATCAAGCAGAGCGAGCTAGTGGAGCAATACTTTGTAGTTTCTTACAACACTATCTCGCTCTGCTCGATAGTGAGGATGTTTTTATGAGTCCATCTTTTCAATAGCACTGTACAACTGTTGCAATTTCTTAAAGTTTTCATCAAACCTATCTATCGATAACTTGGTAATATATTCTAGATACTCTTGACTAACAAAGCATACGTATTTTCCCTCTTCATACTGGTACCCAATGGGGATATCTAGCTTGATCGAAATTCGAATTGCAACGTTAAAGTTACCACCTATCCCACTCTCACGAAACCCGCAACCCATAGCAACTGTATATAGTTGCTTTGCAGTTGCAAAATCTCGACATTTGACGTGTAGTATTAGCGCTTCGAATTTGTATATAATTCCCCTTGCATTGTAAGCAGAGCTGGGAAAATTGGGCTCAAATGTGAAATTGAGGGTCTTGTACCAGTCTAACATTTCAGAAGGATCATGTGTCACAAATAGCCACTTGCCATGGTTTCCTTTGGAAACTATCTTGTCTTGCGTCCCCTCTAGATACACAGAGACTCTTCCACTACATGAAGATGTCGTTACCATATCTGGATGGGCATTGATCAAGTTTATTATAGGTAAACAGTGCTCATCAATAGTACCTTTAGGCGAAGCATCAACATTATCAGGGCCATTTGTTGATATACTAGCTAAAATACTCTGCTTCTTTTGCCTGAATGGGTCTTGCATTTAGAGAAGATGGAATTATTCACCTCATCTCATCGCAATTGCAAAAAATAGAGAGAGAAAAAAACAGTATGGCCTTATATTAAAAAAGAGATTTAGATGTTTGGTCTTAAAATAATAAAGAGATTAGATGTTTGGTCCAGCTCGCTCACATACTCATCCACGATAACTAGTCATGTACGTTGCAAGGAAACATTGCCACAAAAGAGTTGAAAATTTGAATCTTGTTTGTCTTTATACTCTTTGATTCCAGAAAAGTGCCACCCCTTGTTGCTACAAAAGCCGCACAATATGCGGTGCTTTTTAACAGGAGGAAAAACTTTTTCAACGATGAAACACTCAAAGGGATTTTCCTCCTCTAGTGAATTTTTTTTTTCCCTTTATTACAACATCCACATTGTGTAAGAATATAGTGTAGACCATGTCGGCTGAAAAGTTGGAGAATTTGTCAATTAACCAAGCGGGAGAAGGGAGTACTCTGGAACAGACCCTGGGCCCTGCAGAAGGCGAGGTTATTCTTGGTGAAGATGGTCAACCTTTGTCTAAAAAGGCATTGAAGAAATTACAAAAAGAGAAGGAGAAACAGGCTAAAAAGGCAGAAAGAGAGGCTCAATTGGCTAAAGAGAAGTTGGCAAGAGAACAAGAAGCAGCCAATGATCCAGCAAAATCCAATTATGGGAAATTACCCCTTATAAACTCGTCAAGTAAGTCTGGCACTAAAAGAGTTAATTTGTCAGACTTGTCGGCTGCCAATGACGGTGAAACCGTCATTTTTAGGGCGAGAGTGCACAAGACAAGACAACAAGGTGCTACCATGGTCTTCCTTACGTTGAGACAGCAAACGAATTTGATTCAAGCATTATTGAAAACCAACAAGGAGGAGGATAATGACAAGGCTGTTTCGAAACAGATGGTTAAGTGGACGGGTGCAATAAATTTGGAAAGCATAGTGTTAGTCGAGGGTAAAGTGGCCAAGGTTGAAGAATTGGTGAAATCAGCAACAGTGCAAGATGCCGAAATCCACATAACAAAGATTTTCACAATCCAAGAAACTCCTGAGCAGTTGCCCCTTTTGATAGAGGATGCTTCAAGAACAGAACAGGAGGCCGAGGAATTGGGTTTGCCTGTTGTCAACTTAGATACCAGATTGGATGCCAGAGTCATTGATTTGAGAACCCCTACAAACCAGGCAATCTTCAAGATTCAATCGGGAGTGTGTCAGTTATTTAGAGAATTTTTAACAAGGAAAAATTTCACTGAAATTCACACACCAAAAATTATTGGTGCTGCATCTGAAGGTGGTTCGAATGTGTTTGAAATCAACTATTTCAAGGGATCTGCATTTTTGGCACAATCTCCACAATTGTATAAGCAGCAATTGATTGCAGGGGATTTTGAAAGAGTATTTGAAATTGCTCCTGTTTTTAGAGCCGAAAATTCAAACACACACCGTCACATGACTGAGTTTACCGGGTTAGATTTAGAGATGGCTTTTGAAGAACATTACGATGAAGTATTGCAAGTGTTGGAAGAATTGTTTTTATTCATGTTTACAGAATTGAAAAACAGATATAGTAAAGAAATTAGCACTGTTAGAAGACAATTTCCAGTTGAGGACTTCAAGATACCAAAAGACGGTAAAATGGTTAAGTTGCACTTTAAGGAGGGTATAGCAATGTTGAGAGAAGCAGGTAAAGAAGTTGACGATTTTGAAGACTTGTCTACCGAAAATGAAAAGTTATTGGGCAAATTGGTGCGTGACAAGTATGACACTGATTTTTATATCTTGGATAAATTCCCATTAGCAGTTAGACCATTTTATACCATGCCAGACCCCGAAGATCCAAGGTATTCCAATTCATATGATTTTTTTATGAGAGGTGAGGAAATATTATCTGGAGCTCAACGTATTCACGACCCAGATTTATTGAAAAAGAGAATGCAAGCTCACGAAGTTGACCCTAACGTACCCGGTTTGAACAATTACGTTGATGCATTTACCTATGGATGTCCACCGCACGCAGGTGGTGGTATAGGATTGGAAAGAGTTGTTATGTTCTTCTTGGACTTGAAGAATATTCGTCGTGCTTCATTGTTCCCTAGAGACCCAAAACGTTTGACACCATAAATCTGTGTATCGACAGCTGCAGCAACAGCAGTAGTCGTAGTCTTAGTCGTAGTAGCAGTAGTAATAATAACGAATGTAATGTTTAGTTGTTGGATTTTACTTGAAATATCTACACGATCAATATCATTAGATCTTGGGAGCTGATTTCAATTTTTCCCCCCATCGCGGAACAACAGAAGCAAATGATGGTCTTTTTTTTTTTTTTTTTTTTTTTTTTCCCTTAGTAGAAGAAACAAGAGAGGAAAAAGAATAGTTCTTTAGTAATATTGTGATTAACAAGTATATAAACAAGCACAAACCAGCTTATTTGAAATGGAGGCCGCTCTAATACCCAATCCTAAGGATTCCAATGCAACGATTTTGCTAATGGGGTTACGAAGAGGTGGGAAATCTTCCATCTGTAAAGTTGTTTTCCACAATATGCAGCCTTTGGATACCTTATATCTTGAAAGTACTTCAAAGCCCACAAATGAACAGTTTTCCTCATTAATAGATTTATCGGTGATGGAATTGCCCGGTCAACTAAATTATTTTGAACCAAACTATGACTCAGAGAGGTTGTTTTCATCCGTTGGCGCCTTGGTATATGTAATTGATTCACAAGACGAATACTTAAATGCTCTAACCAATTTGTCAATTATTATTGATTTTGCTTATCGCGTTAACCCAAAGATAAATATAGAGGTTTTGATTCATAAAGTTGACGGATTGAGTGAAGATTACCAAATGGATGCACAGCAGGATATCATGCAGCGTACAGGAGACGAACTATTGGACTTGGGTTTAGAGGGTGTTTCAGTAAGCTTTTACTTGACATCTATATTTGACCATTCTATATATGAGGCGTTTTCACGAATTGTCCAAAAACTAATACCAGAATTGCCATCATTGGAACATATGCTAGATAACTTGGTCCAGCACTCAAATATCGATAAAGTATTTTTGTTCGACGTTAATTCAAAGATATATGTAGCGACAGACTCGCTGCCGGTTGACATTCAAACTTATGAAGTATGTGCGGAATTCATCGACATCACTATAGATCTTGATGAATTGTACATTGAGAATGACAATAATAATCTGAGAGATAAAACAAATCGATCTAAAACTCACTCAGAAGCAGCAGTTAAGGAGCTCAAATCGGTGAGTCATTTATCAAATGGGTCCATTTTATATTTAAAGCAAATGATAAGAGGTTTGGCTTTAGTTGCTTTGATACGGAAAGAAAGTGTAACAAACGATAACGATGTTGAGGATAATACTGATACAAATTCAAATAATAATGAGGGTAATACTAATATAAATTTAGATAGCTCAGAAAAGTCCTTAACAGTTATTGATTACAATGTTAACTTGTTTAAAGAGTCCTTAATGAGAATGTGGGAGAGTTCCAGGTTTACAACAAACACAAATGTCCAAACAAATTTACCTTGAAAAGAAAACATACCTATAGACAATAGTAGTAGTTAGTAGTGGTAGTATCAACACTGCATTACCGTGCAACGTGCACCGTGCACCGTGCACCGTGCCTTCTTCCACCTCTTCTTTTCTGACAAATTTTTTTTATTCACACAAGTCACCGGACTTTTGGTGTGAGTAAAAAAAAATTATCAATAAAGACAAAAATGTCACTAATAAAAGGACTAAATCAAAAATTAAAAGATCCACACTTTCTAACCTACGCATTCCATGGCCAAATCCGTCAAAGTTTTAATGATCCAAAAAAAAATTTGAACCAAAAAAACATTAAACTTGACTTCTTCAACCATAAAAAACACATAGATCATTAGTGAAAGTTGGCGTTCTTCGATCCATGGCGGTCTTTCTAGTCTCCGAAAAGAACCAGAAAATGTGCAATGCCTATGTATCTAACAAACGATTATAAGACTACTTGATCTCTTATAATATCTCAAGGTAAGTATGAAGAAAAAGAAAAAGAAGAGGAGAAAAAAAATTGGTATAAAAAAAACTAAAGCGAAAATTCCAGCTATTTATACTCTCGATTTTTTTCATGGAAGTTGTACACGACAATGGGACTCTTTTTTTTTTTGTCTCTATATATATATATGTATATGTATATGTATATACATCACTGGGATTATACTACAAAAATGACAAACTACTCTTCTTCTTAAGCCTTTTTCAAACCTGTTTATATTTACATTCGTAGATACTTGACTTTCCCGGGTTTCTTACAAAAAGTGTGTTATTACTTATCTTACAATCCAGCGGCGCTATTGCTATTATGGCACCTACTCCGCTACACTTTCCAATATTCAAATTCATTCCACCTGATGTCACAAACCCTACTAAATATTTGTCAGAAACTTTCTCTTTTGAGTATATTCTAGCATTATCTAGAATTACGCCGTTTGTCACAATAGTAAGCTCGATTTGTATCACGGGTAATTTCATGCGTACTATCATTGGTATGGCTTCAATCATAGTTTCATTGGTCAAAAATTTCTTATGTTCTTCATTGGACAGGTCAAATTTCTCTATAGGTACGGAATACGGTATGTATTCACTCTCCTTATTTAGTGAGCATGTCATTGCAATTACATCTGTCATAGACTCCAATTGTCTCTCATGAGTTCCAGAGTAGGGCACGCCTGAACCCTCTAGGGTTAATAACGTTTGATCTCGATACTTGACAAGATATGTTAAGTTCCTTAACGCAAACCAGTCTGCCTTGTACGCATCAAGAATTTGAGTAAATGGACCTTCAGACTGTTTCAAGGAGACCTGATTTTTGGGTTTTTTCATATCGGATTCTCTAGCTAGCTCACCATTAACATTGTTATACTTCCATCCTTGTATATTCCAAGGAAAATCGTTTGGAAAAAATGGTTTCCCTTTTTCAAATTGAAACTGGTGAAGCTGTTTTAACCCGCCAGGTTTTATATCGGGAATCTTTACAATTTGAATCCATATTGGCAAAACCCAGAACCATGGACATATAAGCGACCAGTACTGAGCTTCCGTTTTAACTAGTAGAATAGGAATGGTGCTATGCAGGATTTTCAGAAACTCCGTATTTAATCTTTTAATTTTCCCTAAATCTTTAATTGAAAGTTGATCTCGATATGATGCTTGTCTACCAGTTGACGTTAACAAATTTTCAATTACCTTATAATCAACAAGAGAATTCGTTTTCAACTTTAAAACCACATCGTAAAGATCGTTCAGGCTTTTGAATGGTAATTTGGTAGGTTTGTTCCAGAGTCTTGGGTCATAGATACTAAATACAAGAACAGTACCAACTGGAATAATGGAACTTTCTCTTTGATTGGCAAGAGACGTCCAAATATTCTTTAGCTCTTCCGACACATCCTTAAGATGAAATATCTTACTCAAAGAATTCAAGGATCTGGGCCCAGAAACATCAATACTGCCAAGGGAAAAACGACAATCTTCAACCTCGATGTTTGAAAATTTATTATCCTCCCCCTCCTCCATTGTCATTGTTCGGATATTTTCAAAAAGATCCACGTATACGCTAGCATGAACACGAACTAGTATTACATTTTTTTGCAAGTTGGCGTATATGAGCCCCGGTGATACCTCTTTCCCTTTCATATAAATCCCACCAATGTAACATTTTTCTCCATTTGCAATCATACTTGGCACTTTTCTCTTATTTAACAACTCTTGCAAAGTCAACGTGAGATTCTGCCCCCCAGTCGTGCCCCCCACCAGACGGGTTCTTAAAACCATAGATGAAGTGTACGAAGTATCAAAACAAACGGACTTGTACCGATTTTGTCTATTCATAAATTTAAAACATTTCTGAGTGGGAGTATAAGGAATTTGAAAACCGTACTGTTTGCTCATTTTGAAACGTTTGGCATGCCAAATATGAGTCGGAGTCCAAGCAAAATCTCGCTGCCTGTTACGATACTTAATATTACCTGCTGGTGTTGGCGCTAGCAAACCCTTTCCAGTGCGATCAATTGAACCAACCGAGTTGTTCATCGTAGGGGTTCTCTTATTTTTAAGGTAACGTAGTTCCTTTGCTAACTTCTTGATTGCCGCACGCACATTACCCTGTTTCAACACCGGGTCTAGTTCGTATTTGTCATTTTTCAATTTCGAAGCTGCTTTCAAGATTCTTTGTTTTTGCATAATCTTGAATAGAACTCTTCCTTTTGGAAGGTGTTTGGGGGTGTTTGTAGTCGCACCACTCATCTCCTTGATAGCTTTTGCTCTTAATCGCTTAGGGATGCGCTTAACATTGTGCGATGCAGCCCTTCGTCTCATTATTCTTGGTAAATTCTGAAAGCATCTAGTAGATAAAGCACTTTTACTTTTCAATTGCGATAACTCAAAGGCGTTGATCTCGTATTTCCGTGATTGAATAAACTTTGCAACATCTAGCTTACTCTCATCTTTATTGTACGCTGGATCAACATTTTGAGTCCTGATTGTTCTACTATTATATAGCCTGGTTTTTTTGTTATTAAGTTGTGACTTATTACTACCATTATCTTGCCTGCTCTTTGGATCACTATTCATGTAAAAAGACACCCACGGGACTAAAGAAATAGTTTGTTGACTCTACTTGGGGTGACTCTTCTTATTGAACTTTTCATCGAAAAATCTTTACTAAAGTTGGATATGTGGTAGCGATCTACAATCAGCATACATCTATATCATCTATATCCATATCTATATGTATATATACATATATGTGTGTGTGTATTCAACAATTCTCGTGAAAAGCTTGCGGTTGTTTTCTGTTTTATCACCACCCATCGTCCCAGCCATCCTCATCGTTATTATCATCAACTTTCAAATTAAGATTTAATACTGGTTTTACTTTTGGCTTGCTTGCCTTATTTGCACCTCCAAGACGCAAAGAAGATGTCGTTTTCAATGTCTTTTTAGGCAAAGTTTTCTTCGTGTTTGTAATGGTTGAACGATCCAAGCTGAGCTTCTTTGTGCTTTCTACAATAGTTGTTTGAATTTCCTTTTTGTCTTCATCCTCATCATTAGCATTAGCATCATCATCATCATTCATGTTCCAGTCGTCGTTAAAATCGTCATCCCAGCCACTGGTGGTGGTAGTATCATTATTTGTGGCTTGCCCCAGTGACACGGTTGGGATCTGTTTCTGTGTAGTGTGTGTTACTTGTCCAACAATATCAGGCGTTGACCGATTAAAATCATTATTCAACTTGCCCTCTGCTAGTGCTCCAAGAGATGTGAATTTGCTAACCATTCCCCATCCGAATCCACTTGCTACATTCTTTACGGTCAGCTTGGTCTCCTCCTCCTCCTCTTCCTTCTGTTGTTGTTGTTGAGGCGCATATTTCTTATAAAACTCTCGCTCTTCTGCATCTTCGTCCTCGTCATCCACATGGGGTAATTCGTTGGCATGGTTTTCTACCGATTTAAAGTACAATTCAAAAACTTGCTTTGCCTTTGTTCTCACTTTCAAAGACCGTTTATCCATAAGAGAAATTGCCAACTGGCCTAAAATTTTGGAGCATATTTCTTCCAAAGAAAATTCATCAATCAAAGATTCGAACCCGTTCAATGCAGTCAATTTGCATGGCACAAATGGATCGCGAAGTGACTTTGATAAAGCAGTAATCAAAACATTATTTTTGGAGTTTGCATAAATTTTGGATGATATTTTGATGATCAAAATCAACGTGTTTACACGAATAGAAGGTTTAGGATCCATTTGCGACTTGGCTAGTATACGCAATAGGTCTTGGTTGACTTGCTTTACGGAAATCCTATCTATTACAATGGTGATTGACTTGAGCGTGGTTTCTCTAATAGTGAAATTTGTATCTTGAAACCCCGTTGCTAATGGTGTAAAAATTTTATTTTGGATATCTGCGTCCGTTAAATGCTTTTCATACTCCGGCAAGTGTGATAGCAAAATCAACCTTATAGCCCTATCGTTCAGCGCAAAGCTCTCGAAAATAATTGGTTTTATATACTTGGTAAACTCATTGAGTGATAACTTTGCTCCAAATTGAATAAGAAAGTTAAGAAGCATAGACTGGGTTTCCTGTTTGGCGGCTACTCCAGCTCCAGCTCCAGCTCCAGTTCCAGTTCCGGCTCCAGTTCCAGATGCCGCTGTTGTTGATGTTCCCTTAGTAAAGTGTTGGTACTGTTGAATCAATTCAGGTATCAATTTGTAATCCAAAAATCCAGGTGGATACACATCTTCCTCAATATATTGGGGTAACTCGTGTTTGATGAATTCAAGTCTTTCACTTTCATTCATAAACTTTAGTGCATTTAATTGCAGCCCTAATCGAATAATCACATTTTGTTCATGCCATGATTCTAATTCTTTCAAATACTGTGCAACAGTGTTGCGTTTAGATAGTAACCTTTTCGTAGGCCCCACAAGCTTTACTGGGATTTTGAAATTAGTGTCCACTACTCCCTTATTGAACACAGCGTATACAAAATTTCCCAACTTGTATGAGTCAAATTTTGTGGGGTCGCGTCTTATCGATTCAAAGTCCACATCCTCTTGCTTCGGCATGTATTGTGATAGCCTGTATATAGGCTGATCAGGATCGGATTGTAAATTGGTGACTAGCTCAAACGCCATGAGTTTCCAGTCACCTTGGGAGTTGACAAAGACTGACTTGTAGTAGTCCAATCCACCGTGTAGCGAATTACACTCCTCATTGATAAATTTCAAGCTTTTCTCAACATCGTGTAAGCCGGCAACAATTGCTTCTTGACTTAGTTTGTGATCATTGAAGAATAATGCTAGCGGAACAACTCTTTCTGTAACTATATACAAGTATGAATCGTTGTCGATGAAATCGAGAATTGTGATGATTCCGGGATACTTGATCAATTTCAACTTCTTAAAAGCATTTCTAGCAAGCGGCTCATATTTTAATGTTCTTGGTTCACGTAAATTAAACTCAAAGATTGAAACTGGTGCTGAATCCTTAGGATTGATGCCGTTATATATATTCCAAATGGAACTTCTATCTACTTCAGGTAAAGCGGAAGTTGGAGCATTTCCTGACGCGTCTATTATCTTCTCTTTGAAAGTATACGGTATTGAGCTCCCAGTGAATGTACTTAATGTTTTAGTAAAGAAATTCATGTCAATATAAAAGAAAAAGAGAGATATTGATGGCTTGGATTTGTAATGCCTGGAAAAAAAAAAATTGTCAAGTAGAGAAGAATGGGTTTGTAGTTACACCAAAATTTAACTTGACTTCCGAGGACCAGGTTAGTACTAACTAGGACTAAAGTACAACAGCTGTTCAGGTCTAGTATAGGAAGGTATTCGTCTCCTTTTTTTTTTTTTCTTTTACTCTGTATCTTCATCTGTTTGCATATTACAATGATCCAAACGTGAATCCTCTTTAGAATAGGATTTATTCTATTATAAAGAGTTTATATCCCAGTAGCAAACTGATGCAGACAATTGCACGAGCAAATAGAGTCAACAGGGAAAGAAAAGAACAGACTATGAGAGCGATACGTTACTTACATTCTCCCACGGTTTCCAATAGTTTTTAAACGATAAATGTTACATTTTGATTCTTCTTCCAATAATAAGAGTTAATGAAAAAAAAAACTTATACAAAGTTGCTTATTTGCTTATTCAAAAGGGCATTGTTGAAGATTGTTGACCAGAAGAACGCACATCTGAGGAAGTTTGTGCTGCTCCCGAGGCACCAACATTTTCTACCTTACCCATAAGCTTCTGCTGCTTGCCTCTTCCTCTAATACCTTTATTTGAATTCTTGTACAACTCCTTGAAATAAATCAACAACTCCTTTTCATCTGGTGGCAAGCTGTTGATAGCCGGTCCACTGAGTTCGGCCAACTTGTGCGTTAATGTATTAAGACTCTCTAAGTGGAACCTATTTTGATGAGACTTTAAGTTTCCTAGCTGAGTAAAAGACTTATCGCAGTTATCCAAGCGACACTCGTAAGGCTTTACATTCTCATGAGTTAGTTTGTGCGCCTCCAAATTTCCCTTTCGATTAAATGATCTGTTACAAATAAAACAAGTAAATGGCTTTTCTCCCGTGTGAAGCCGCAAGTGTGTTCTCAAATTACCGCCTTGTGTAAACTTCTTGTGACAATAGGAACATTCAAAAGGTTTGTACCCAATATGCGACCTAATGTGGACCTCCAAGTGAGTAGACTGTGTGAAAAATTTGAGGCAATACGGACATTGTTGATTCTTAGCCTTCTTACGTTTCGAGGTGCTGTATTCATTATCACCATCCCCTTCGCTATCACGTTTCAGCTTGTGCGGTTTCTCTACTCCACCAACAAGACTAACTGGCCTTGGTAAAATACCTCCATCTCCATTGACACTCTGACCAGTCGCGTAGCTATTAGGGGAGGCTAGTATACTTCCATCTGGTCCTTGCTCAATAGGTTTCGTCACCCCTTTTTCTCTAGCTTGTATTATCAACATTAGTTGGTCGATTTTTGTTGCACCAAGAAGCGGTCTACCATCCTCAGATTTGGCTATTTGTTGTGCGGGCACTAAGTTTGGATTGTCGCTTGCTCCAAATATTTCCTTGGATAGGGCTTCTTTCAGTCTACGCGAGCGCTTTGTTGCTTGTCTTTTCGATTGATTAGCGGAGCTGGGTAAAAGTGACATTTCTTGCTGTATATGTCCATGGCCATGCCTAGAACCAGGCGGGAACTGTTGTTGTGGTGGAAGTTGCGTTTGTTGATAATATTGTTGCTGGTTCGGAGGCATCCCTTGTTGGAAATACAAAGGTTGGTACAGTTCTTGCTGTTGCGGGTGTTGTGGGTGTTGTGGGTGCTGTGGGTGCTGTGGTTGCAGCTGTTGCGGCTGTTGTTGTTGCTGTTGAGATGGCAAAGGTGGTTGTTGTTGTTGTTGCTGCTGTTGCTGCTGTTGTTGTTGCTGCTGCTGCTGCTGCTGTTGTTGTTGTTGTTGTTGTTGTTGCTGCTGCTGCTGTTGTTGTTGTTCAACAACAACAACAACAACAACAACAACAACAACAACAACAACAACAACAACATGGTTGTATTGCTGTTGGTTGTATTGCTGTTGTTGCAATCCTGGGCGGACTTGCTGTGGAAACATTTGTTGAGGTTGAGGTGGCATAGGATACGAATAGTTTCCAACGTAACCAGTTTGTCGATTCACAGACGGTGGCATACCCGTATATCCAAGCTGATTATTGTAATTTGAGTACGATGAAAATTGATACTGATTCAGCGGAGAAATTGGGGTGACGCTACCTTGAAACGTTTTCTGAGGCAGTATATTGATTCCAGCTCGTTGGTTATTGCTGTTGTTATTGCTCAACAACAACAACAACAACAACAACAACAACAACAACAACAACAACAACAACAAGCTGCTATTGTTGTTGTTGTTGTTGTTGTTGTTGTTGCTGCTGCTGCTATTGATGTTGTTGCTGTTGTAGATGTTTGGATTATATGGGTCGTTTATCCGGGCGTCGGTAAACGTAGGTGATGTTTTTGGTGATTGTGGTTCATCATTTGATCTTGAAGCTTTTGATGACAAAGATGATAAAGCGGGAGACGTTTGATTTTGACTTGGTTTTTGATCTGTCTTTAACAACAGTTGCAGAGTAGTAGGCTGCTCCAGCAAGTGATGTTTCGGATCATTCGAAATGTTGCCGCTACTCATTTTTACCTCCTTTCTATTTTTATCAAATATATCTTGTCGCAAGGTTGCACCTGTACTTGTACTTGCATTTGACTTGCTCTGATTTCTCAAACTGGTTTGGTCGTTGATAATCCTCAAAATGGAGTCTCGACGTTCTTGATTATTCATATTCGAGAAATCTAGCGATCCGTTTGATATCATACTTTGGATTATTTCTGTGATACTGTTATTGAATTCCGCGGCCCCTGCTTGTGAATTTTCTACCCACGATGACAAATCGACAGATCCAGTTTTGGACTTTGGATTTGTCCTACTGGCGGCTTCTGCTGTAACACCTGCGCTTGAAACACCACTGGTACCACTACCACTACCACTACCACTACCACTACCATTACCACTACCATTACCACTACCATTACCACTACCATTACCACTACCGCTACCACTACCGCTACTAAGAGAAAGCTTTGAGTCATTTTGTTGCCATCCAAAGAGATTGGCCATGCTTTCCTTATTGCTACCAAACAAGTTCTCCAAATCTTCAATTGTAAACTCTTGATTAGGTGCCAAGGACAATTGGCGCGATCTAGACGGAAGTGGCAAGTTTGGTGCAGTTGTGATTGAGGACGACGACAATGTTACAGGTTTGAAACCCGTTGCTGATGATGAAGACGGATCGCTCACTGAGTTGCCTGATGAGCCGGGAATGTTGATCAACGAGCTGAATATACTATTTGATCTTGAAACTAAAGGGTTAGACGTGGACGTAAGAATACTACCAGAAGTTGTTTCATAAGCTTGGTCTGGATTATGTCTCATTTGTGAAGTTATTGGTGGTGGTAACAAAAACGAGTCATTACGAGATCGACTAGGTATTTGTTGTAATTGAGTTTGTGTTATTGGTGGGCTTACCAAATGCAGGTTTACTACACCTTGTTGAGGTCGTTGGCCCTGTTGGTTTCCTGAGTAGGAGTTTTTAAATAATTGTTGTGGGTTCAGCGAATGTGCTTGAGAGCTAGATTGCTGTTGATTGGGATGCTGTGAAGGTTGCTGAACATAATTCATTTTTGAATATACCTTTGTAGCTTTTTCTCTTGTCGTGTGTTTTTCGTGTTTTTTTTTTTTTGGTTAAATGTCCAGAGGATGTTTAGCAATGTCTGTGAGTGTCCGAGAAATGTCCTTTGTTGATGTGTATGGGAAACGTCCTTTGTTGAAGTGTCCGAGAAATGTCCTTTGTTAAAGTGTATGGGATGATTGTTAAACTTGTGGGAAAAAAAATATAGTAGTGAATAGGTATGGTGAGATATGATTAATACTCCCTATTGTCAAATATGTGAAATAAAAAGTTAGTTGAGTTTGAGGTATAGATCCTGCAAATTAAACAACTCGACTTTTGTCCTTTATGTTTGTCTTTAATGTTTGTCCTTTATTTTTTGCTTATATTGTAACTATCCTGTTTTCAATCATATATCATCATAAACAACCCCCAGGGACTAAAGGAGAAGATTACCAAAAAAAATTGAAAAAGCGAGAAATGGTATAAAGTTGAAAAAGGCGAGAATTGAGGAAAGGCGAGAATGGTATAAAATTGTCGGCTTATACCTTATAGGATCGTGTTTCTTAGCTGCGCTGCTTGTGTATGATACCTGCTGTATATATTACCTGCTGTGTGTGTAATATCTCCCGTAAAATTGATACCTACTAAATAAGTGACATTAGTGAATTGGTCACTTTTTTAAAAGTAATTTTATTTTTCCGTGGTGATTGCGGACTTCCCCATTAATCTTCGTTGTTCTATTTTTTTTTTTTTTTTTTTTTTTCTCTTGTTTTGCTTTTAAATGGAAATTCTTTTATTTAATGGTTCGAAGGATGAAAAAGAAAGTAGAGTCAATGGGGGTCAAACTAGTCAATGGGGGGGGGGGGTTAAATTTAGCTAGTAAAGTAAATTGAGTTGTATAATTGATTCTATCAAACCAACTATAAACGGCGTAAAAGTTTAATCTCTTAGTACAGCCTTCTTAGTACACTCTTCTTAGTTCAACCTTTTAGTTACAACCTTTTTAGTTACAACCTCTTAATTACAACCTTAGGTCTTATAAACCTCTCACTTGCTACTCTTATTCTACAAACTCACTTGCTCTTCCTATTTCTACAAAATACACACGGACACGGGTTTACTCACAAAAACCAATTGTTTTCCCAATATCATACGTTTCCGTCATCTCTCTCTACACTCTTGCATTAGCAAATACCTTTACCCACGCTAATGTCAGGAGGAGGCAAAAGGCCCAAGTGTATTTGTATAAACAATAAGGATATAAGATGAGGTCATTTTTCTATTTTTTTTTTTTTGAGTTTGGTGCTACCATGTGTTGTTGTTTGTTTTTTGTTTTTTATTTTTTATTTTTATTTTTATTTTTTTTAGCTCAAAGCGTTACCTCTTTTCGTGTAAGCTAAGCTTCCTTCTCACACACTCACGCACTCACTCAGACACATCATCTGGAAAAGCAACTTTATGAAATAAAGAGAACAAAAGAAGTTATTATTCTTTTTCTTTTTCTTTTTCTATATACGTTTAATTTAGTAGATACAAAATAATTGATCTATAGCAAGAATTCAACTTTCTTGTAATTAAAAGGCTTGCTCCTCCAAATCGAAATTGACTAATGTCTAAGAATCAGAAAATGACGAGGAGCCAAAAAAAAAAAAAAAAAAGGTGTGGGGAAGAAAACCACCATACAAAAAAATAGAGTTTCTCATGTTTCAACTTGTTTTTTCAACTATTGTTCCATACTTATTCCCTCGACTTATACTCTCCATTTTTTTTTAAATACAACTGCTATTTCGTATTCTGTTTTTTGACGCAAAAATAGAAAAAAAGGTACCCAAGAAGTATTGTGCAGAAGATGAAAAAAGTATTGTGTAGAAGATCAAGTATATGTAAAAGATTAAGTATAGTGTAAAAGATCGAGTATTGTGTAAAAGATTCGATAAAATTATATTTTTTTTTAAACAGGTTGTCGTATCAGTAAATGTAACATGAAATAATGTGATAACCTGTTCACATTTTGGTTTTTGTTCAACTCCTAGTAATTGTTTTGTATGGTTATCAATAATATAGGAAAAACAGATAGAAAGACTAGGAAATATTGGAAACTCATTAAACATTTTGGCAATTCAATAACCTGAATACCTTAATTTTAAAGCGCCCCTTTCCCCTCCCTTGATTCAAGGTTAACCCCCTAAACCTCCTTTAGAAGAGGGACTTTGCGTAAAAATCTGTCAAATTGAAAATGATTTAAAATAAAAAAAAAAAAACTTAGAAAAGGGAATTATTTTTTTTCATACATATTTTGTTTAGCGATTAGATATAAATTTCTAAATAAAAAAACCATTATACATTGAAGCTCTCAAACACAATATCAATTTACCTCTTTCACAAGTAAACGCAGGTGTGAAAAAGAAAATTGTGTGAAAGATGTAATTGTGTGAAAGAGGTAATTGTGTGAAAGAGGTAATTGTGTGTTAGCTTCTCCATGTGTGCATAGGAAGAAATAAAAACATTTTCAAAAATTTCAATTTAATTTTCCAATTTTTTTATCCCTTATTCTTTTGACATTTTCCAACATCCCATTGAGACATTCTTGTAATAGAACCATTCTCTCATCAACTTCTCCATTGGCATTCAATACTTTGCCCTTGAAATGATCAGAACATTTTAAATTTTGTCCATTATATAATTCCTTGTGTAAATGTTTCAAAAATTTTGAAACAATGTTGATAAAATAGGCATAGCGATTGATGTCAGAGTCATACCTTTCTGTCAAGTCAATCGTGAAGCAACACATTGTATGCTTGATGCAATATTTCAAATCTTCAATATCCAATTCATCTACTCTTGCCAATTGAGATGCTGTTATCAGTGGCCCATTTAATCCAAATTTGAATCGCAGGTTGGACCATTGGGGAAACATACGAGTAGGTTTGGAAAATAACTTATTAGCTACCGTATCCTTATGAACAGCACGGTTGTCTTTCTCTTCTACTTCTAATTCTTGTTCTTGTTCTTCTTCTACTATTACTTTTTCTTCTACTTTTAATTCTTGTTCTTGTTCTTCTTCTACTACTACTTTTTCTTCTTGTTGTTCTTGTACTACTACTTTTTCTTCTTGTTGTTCTTGTTGTTCATGTTCTTTTTTTTCTCCTCCTTCTCCTCTTCCTCTTCCTCTTCCTCCTCCTTCTTTTTCTTCTTCTCCTCCTCCTTCTTTTTCCTCTTCTCGTGACGAATTTTGATTGGACTTTGTCGATTCCGGAGATAGTGGTAGAGTAGTATTGTAATTAACCACAGCTTGAGTATTTTCCATACACGTCGCCTTCTGAGTTGCATTACCTTCCAATGTCGTTTTCATCTCTTCATCAGACCTTAGTCGATTTGGTGACTTTTGTTGATGACTTGGCCCTGGGGAATCTGTTCTCTTGACGTCACAATGTCTATTGGATGAAAATGAACAACTATCAGTTCCCTTGACTTCCCAATGTCTATTGGAATTATTTTCCTCTTTTGAATTCGGTTTCAATACCGAAAGTATTTGCAAAAAAGTGCTTTGATCCAACTTTAAAAAATTGTCATTCTCCCTAAATTTCAGCTCCAATTCTTTTAATCTGACTCCCATCTCACCCAATTGATTTTTCAACGTTTTATTTTCATTTATGAGAGCCTCTACATCCAAAACGTTGTTCATAAAGTCGTTTTCTTTAACCGTTTCAGAATGTAGTTTCTGGCTCTTGTTCACCGGTGTAAAAGTATTAATAAAAGGATCTCTTTCGTTTGAGGATTGCCGATATTGTATCCTGTCATCAGGAGTATTCTTAACGGTGCTTTGGTACATTGGACTTGCAAATTTCGACTGGCTTGAGTGTAGTGGAGAAATCTGATAGCTATTGCTCCTCAAAGCTCCGAAAGAAACTTCTTCTCTAATGTTACTATTGTCATTCCTGAAGGATTCTCTAATGTTACTGTTGTCACTCCTGAAGGATTCTCTAATGTTACTTTTGTCATTCCTGAAGGATTCTCTAATGTTACTTTTGTCATTCCTGAAGGATTCTCTAATGTTACTTTTGTCATTCCTGAAGGATTCCATTGGCGGCAGCGGGGGCAGCGGTAATAGTGGCGACTCATCGCGATGTATCGATTGTGAAACTGTTACTAATGATGCACTTTCTTCCTTTTCTGTATGCTTTAAAATACTAGTATGACTAATACCAATGCTATCAATGGGAGAGCCCGTCAAATCCTCTTCAAGGTTCGTGGTATGAAAGTAAGAATTCAGTTCCATGACTTGTTCAGATGTACCGTTTTATCGGCGCCAAAAGGTACTTTGCCAGATAAAACAGGTACACAAAGTAAATAGAAAAAATAATGGTTCGCTTCTCCATGGTTTTTTTTTTTTTCACTTCACTTTAATGATACGCGTTCTAGTCCCCAATGGCTATCTTATCAGACCATTAACATTAAAAGTGTTCCTGCTTGAAAGTAATGAGGTCGGGACAATGGGGTTTGATAGAACTTTTATAGTTATACCACCTTAGATAACTTTCCCCAATAAAGATTGACCAAACTTATCAATCAAAAGACAATCTCAAGTACACTTTTTTCTAGAATGGAAAGAGAAGCCATGTATTCTACACTGATGATCTATTGATACTTGTAAGCAACTTACTTCTAAATAACAATTTCTAAACATTTTCTATACCAAACAGGTACATTTTTCAACTACTAACTCCTGGAGTTTAATCTCAAAGAGTTTAACCACCATAAAGCCTCACAACAGCGCTTATAACATCACCGTTTTCGAGCTCCAATTCCCTTGGTGTGTCATTAAACTTGACAAGTGTTCCATCAACAAGAAATTTAAGCTCATTTATATCAAGATGATAATCACTGCAAAATCTGCTAAGAACTTTCCTCATCATTGTATCGGGATCAATTTTATAATGCCGTGAACGACTATGATCATATTCAATGCATATTTTTATCCTCTTACTTAAAGACTGGTTGATACTTGAGTCATTGGTAGTATCTGTAACTCTGGACTGATTGATAATATTGTCTTTACTGATATCTGGTGAACCTGGCATTTTCTTCATCTAATTGTAGGATATTTGCAACTATGATAAAAAAACAATTGGCCTTGCAATTGATATATAAAATGATTTTCTACTGGTTAACACAAAGAACACCAAAAAAAATCACCAAAAAAAAAAAAAAATCTGAAACATTTAGTTCTTTACTAGCAAAAAAGAATCAACTGTTCACTTCTGATTAGTCCTCTCAATTTCTGGCTTAGTCTCTTTCAATTCTCATTTTAGTCTGTCAACTCTAAAAAAATCCTCAATCCAAAATCGTCGCGCGTCATATGTGTGTGTGGAGGAGATTGGGGAAAAAGTGTGCCTGAGTGGTTTTTTTCAAAACCTTCCTAGCGTGGCCTTCATATTTAGTATCGCCAGCATTGTTGTCTATCGTTTAGCACTCGGCTTTTGACAAATAATCACATTTTTTAATTCCAATTCAATCTTTTCCAAATTGCTTCTTGCTCTCGATTTCATTGAAAAGTGAACTGAGTGCTTTGTTATAAACAGAAAAGCAATTGGGAAATGGAGAAGTGATTCCATGCGACACTAGCGAGCAGAGCGAGATAGTGGAGCATCACTGACTAGCAACACGCTGGACCATTACTCTGGACCATTACTCTAGACCACTACTCTGGACCATTACTCTAGACCACTACTCTGGACCATTACTCTAGACCACTACTCTGGACCATTACTCTAGACCACTACTCTGGACCATTACTCTAGACCACTACTCTGGACCATTACTCTAGACCACTACTCTGGACCATTACTCTCTGAATTGACCAAGCAACAAACTACCTTTTTTTCTTGCTTGTTTGTTTAATTCTCGCGCCTAGATCCCGAATTGTGACAAAGAGCAATGCCGTGTATTTGTCTACCATCCATCCTTTTTTCCCTGCAACTTATTAGTATTAAAATTCTCTTTATCTGCAAAATAGAGGCATATCTTAACCACAAGCATACTCTTTAGAGTAAACCACATTTGCGCTTGTAGGATATAGGACATGACAGGAGCAAAACGTAAACCTCGTCAGAGACCTGTCTCGACAAGGGCTTTTAGCAAACCTGTCTCGATGAGAACTTTTGCCAAATCTGTCTCAATAATCTTTTATCTAAATATGTCTCATGTTTGAGCATAAAAATCAACAAAAATTCTCGCATCAAATGCAAGCATTTGCCGCTCGAGGGATTAGATCTTTATATACTTTAGCAAATTCACCCGTCTAGGATGATTATTGCATAATGGAGCAACACTTGGTTGCTTGTTACGACGCCTAGTAGCTTGTTAAGTGGAGCAACACTTAGTAGCCTGTTAAGTGGAGCAACACTTAGTAGCCTGTTAAGTGGAGCAACACTTAGTAGCCTGTTAAGTGGAGCAACACTTAGTAGCCTGTTAAGTGGAGCAACACTTAGTAGCCTGTTAAGTGGAGCAACACTTAGTAGTTTGTTACGACACTTTGTAGCTTGTTAAGTGGAGCAACACTTAGTAGCTTGTTGCGACACTATCTCGCTTTGCTCGATAGTGTCAAAAATATGATTGCCAGTAATCAAATTCTGAGTTAGAGTGCGTTCTCTCAACTCGTTAAAGAGGCGTATTCCTATTATCTATTAACTCGTGATGATAAACACTGCGCGTCCCAAAGGTTGAAAAGAAAAATACTGTAATCCGCTTTCATAATAAGCGAAATTGAACTAATTGTGGAATTTTTTTTTTTTGGGCGAGATGCAGTATCATTTACACGACCTAAATAAGAGAGACTCACCCCTAAAATGTCATGGAGTCAAGAGGAGTGAAAAATGGGAGTGTGTTCAAGAGACAGAGAATTAGAGTATAATTGTGTCAATTGCAATGGAGTTAATTGTGTCAATTGCAATGGAGTTAATTGTGTCAATTGTAATGGAGTACAGTCAAAAAAAACTTAAAGTTTGATTATCAAAATTGCTATACTAGCATAATAAGTAACACAATTTTTTTTCTTCAAAGAAAACTTCATTTCTAGCCTTTTCTAATATTACATCGACAGAGTTAATTGTCATCACGGCAACCACCTTTTTTTTTTTTTTTTCAAGCTCCGTATAGGTAATTTTTTACCATAATTGTATCTCCATCTTGCATCTGCAACAGATTTGGAGTATCAGTAGCTTTAATTCTAACATCTTCATAGTAAAACCGCACAACTTGCATATCTTGCTGATAATTGTCACAGAATTTTCTAATCAATTTTCGAAGTTTAGTATCTCTCGATATGGTGAAAGTAGCATTCACATGGGAGTCCACCTCTAATCTTATTGAAATTTTACCATTTTCTTCTGGTGTTTCTACCTCGACTGTCTCTCCGTTTGGTTCAGACATTTGACCTCCAGTATGCTGTTTTCAAATACCTTTTTCCCGACCTTCAGTATACCTCTTTCTCTTTTAAAAAAGAAAAGTTTTTCTAGTTTGGCTAAATTTGATTATAATCACCAGTAGAATGTTTGCTTTTAGTCTCTTTCAATCTTTCAATGGTTATGAAACTGGAAGAGATGGGGCTACTACTTTTTCAATCCAAGTTTCTTTTTTTCCGCCAATTAATCAAACGCTCTTTACAAACTGTTTTAAAAATGTGTAATGGACCCTAAATCAACTAACGCTTAAAGAATATTAACTTAAACTCAATTTTTTTCAACTTGTAGTTACAAAGATTGCGACATGTTTTTTTTTTTTTTTTTTTTTAGCGCCTTTTAAATTTGTTTGTTTTACGAAGCGCATTTTTCATCTACGAGGGGCTCGCTTATTTGAAGCTACCAAATGCAACCACTTTATCCTAATTTAATAAAACGGCTTCTTCGGGGGGAGGGGGGAAAATACCATCAAAGGCTCTTCCTTGAAGATATGGCCCTCCCTTGATGAAATGGCCCTCCCTTTGGGATATGGCCCTCCCTTGATAAAATGGCTCTTCCTTAATGAAATAGCTCTCCTTTCAGGAAATGGCTCTTTCTAGCAAACCCGGTTAATCCTTCCTTGATACTTGGTTTAGGAACCAGCCATCTCTTTTGCAGAGGGCATCATTCAAAAAAAAAAAAAAAAATGGTTATGACATCATTAATGTAGGTCACGTGACTACGATTTTCCCATACCAAGAAAAAGTGCTTCTGAACCTTCTCAAAATATGGTCTGCGACTTACCACGGCAGAAGAGCGCATCCAAGTCCAGAAATAGCTGCTTTACAACTTCTAGGACATTTTGCTGGTAAAACCAAACTCTGTACACAGGTGCAAGGTGCAAGGTGCAAGGTGCAAGTCAGGCCAAGTTATTAATGTGGAGCTACCAACCAGTACCATTTTTGATTTTCGGTGCATAGAAGCAAATTTCCAAGTAACCAAAAATCGCTTCTAATGAATGTAACATTCTTTCATGCCCCCTATAGGTTTTGTACTGGACATTTAAAAAAGCGGGCAATATGTATTTAGATATAGACTCAAAGACGATGCTACTGAATAAGCTGCAAGGGAACAAGGCGTACAAGCGATTTGTTGTATTCACAGCACTCCTTAGTATTCTAATATGGGGAACTTCTTTTTTACTACGTACAATAGATAATTTCAATGCAAACTTTACTATACAAACTATAGAGGATGTCAAAATAGGCATCCAAAATGTTGGTTTGGACTCAGAAGATGTTACGATAAAGCCGCATTTCGCTAGTCCCCGTTCGAAATCAAACAATTTAGGAGGCAAATTGCCTTTTACAAAAAAGGTTTATGATGAGCACACTTTAGTAGCTAAATTACACGATGTTCAATGGACAAAGGAGCCCCAGTCAATTTACAACGACAGGGGAACCTATATATTGGAAGAAGACAAAGATGGCAACGAATATAGAGTGGTTGTAAAATCCATAGTGGATGACGCTTTTGAGCACACATTAATAAATCAGTCTACAATCAACTACGATGGTATTGAATACAAAATTGAGGAGTACATTGTATCTCCTGATTTGCAAAAAGTCATTTTAAAAACAAATGTGTCGAGTACTTGGAGGCATTCTTCTCTAGCCTTGTACTGGATTTTGACTGTTGAAACAAAAGAGGTAAATTCATTATACACCACCACCACCACCAACAGCAGCAGCGGTGATGATGATGATGATGATGATGATGATAGTAAGAATGTTAAGATATCTGCGGTTGCGTGGTCGCCAGACTCACGAAACATTGCTTTTATTTTAAACAACAACATTTATCTCAAAAATGTACAGCTGGGTGAAACAACGCAAGTTACTAATGATGGATCGGCAGAAATATTTAATGGCAAACCAGACTGGGTTTACGAGGAAGAAGTTTTTAGTGACGATATCGTACTATGGTGGTCACCGAATAGCGACAAGATTGCCTTTTTGAAATCGAATAATACCGAGGTTCCAGAGTATACACTACCACTTTACGCACAGGACAAATTCGCTGATTATCCTGAAGTTGTTAAAATCAAGTACCCCAAGGCAGGATATCCAAATCCAATAGTCGATGTTCTCACTTACGACTTGAAAAAAGGGATCGTTGAAAATCATTTGCTCAAATCCTCAAGAATTGGATTTCTGGATAGATTGATAACAGAGGTGGTTTGGATAGGTGATAAGTTACTAGTGAAAACATCTAATCGTGCTAGCGATTTGTTGGAAGTCTTTTTAGTTGGGGAAAAGTCAGTAAACTTGGTTAGATCTCATGAAGCGGTAAATTCATGGTTTGAAGTTACTTCACATACATTGTATGTCCCTAAAAATAAGACACTTGGACGCAAACATGATGGGTATGTAGACACGGTGGTTGTCAATGGATACAACCACTTGGCATACTTTTCCCCTGCCGATAATCCAGAATATCAGTTATTGACAAAAGGTGAATGGGAAGTGATAGATGGCGTTGGTGCATTTGACTATAATCGAAACATTGTGTATTTTACTAGCACGATGAAATCTGCGATAGAGCGTCATGTTCATTCCATTGATTTGTTGGACAGAACCAATAATGGGCTTCCTTATATTAAAGACATAACTACAAAAGAGGGCTATTACAGTTCTTCTTTCTCCTCGGGAGCAAGATTCTTGTTCTTGACAGACTTGGGCCCAGAAGTTCCTACACAAAGAATCAATGATTTGAAACTAGGTAAGAATGTTAAAACTATTGAAGATAATTCTGCACTTGTCAAAAAGTTGAGAGATTATGAGCTTCCCCAAGTCAATTATGGCACTGTTGAACTCACAGATGAAGAAACAGGAGGAGGAAAGTTTTACGTCAATTCAATGGAAACGTTACCGCCAAACTTTGATAAAAGGAAAAAATATCCGGTGTTGTTTTTCGTTTATGGTGGTCCCGGTTCGCAGCAAGTGAACAAACGTTGGTCGCTATCTTTCAGTTCTGTGGTGGCTGCAGAGCTAGATGCCGTAGTTGTCACTATTGATGGTAGAGGAACCGGTTTCAACAATTTGAATTACAAGATGGGCTCTCAGTTTAAGTTTATTGTTAGAGATAAGCTTGGAAAGTACGAACCCATTGATGTTATTAATGCGGGTAGAGTTTGGGCTAAAAAATCATATGTTGATCCAGAGAGAATGGCGGTTTGGGGTTGGTCCTATGGTGGTTTTTTGACATTGAAAACGCTTGAAACAGATGTTGAGAAGCCAGTATTTAATTATGGAGTAGCCATTGCGCCAGTGACCAGATGGAATCTTTATGACTCGATATATACAGAACGATATTTGAGAACACCGCAGGAAAACCCTCAAGGTTATCAAACAGGGTCAATACATAACTATACAAATTTCAAACACGTTAGGAAATTCTTTATTGGACACGGCAGTGGAGATGACAATGTCCATATGCAACACTCATTGCAATTGTTGGACGAGTTTAATCTTGCAGAAATCGAAAATTTTGAATTCATGATATTCCCTGATAGCAACCATGCTATGAGCTATCATAATGGGAACAAAGTAGTTTATGATCGAATCTTGAACTTTTTGGAAAGGGCATTCGAATGGGAGTTTGTTTAAATTTAAAAGGGGACAGGCGTTTAGCCGATTTTTATTTGTATATTAGAGAGAGAAAAATTCGAGTACACGTTACAAATTCAATTCTACTTAAAGAGAGTTTACTTTTTTCTTTTCTTTTCTTTTCTTTTCTTTTCTTTGTTACTTGATACTTTGACAGTTGGCCATGTGTTTCCACTAAAGTATATATATATCACCAATCTCTTCACCATCAGCTCACAATAGGAGGACACGTGACCCTTCTCATCACTTTTTTTTTTTTTTCTCGTTGTCTTTTTTTTTTTTTAATTAAAAAAATTTTTTTTTTTTTCACCTCTCTGACCATCACAAGGTAAGAGATTTCCATCAAGAGATATTAACAGTTTACAATGATTATTTTCCAAGACATTATCTCCAACGACGAGTTGTTATCCGACGCTTACGATGTCAAGTTAGTTGACGATGCTGTTTACGAGGCTGACTGTGCTATGGTCACTGTTGGTAATGGTGATATTGATATTGGTGCTAATCCATCAGCGGAAGACGGAGAAGAGGCTTTAGAAGATGGTGCCGAAACAGTCAACAATGTTGTTTATTCGTTCAGATTACAACAAACTCAGTTTGACAAGAAATCTTTTACAACTTATATCAAAGGTTACATGAAGAAAGTAAAGGCTTATTTGGCTGAACACGATCCTGAACAAGTTGAAGTTTTCGAAAAAGGTGCTACCAAATACGTTAAAAAGGTTTTGGGATCATTCAACGATTGGGACTTTTACACTGGTGAGTCAATGGACCCAGATGCTATGATTGTATTGTTGAACTATAGAGAAGACGGTACCACTCCATATGTTGCTATTTGGAAACACGGTGTTAAAGAAATGAAAATCTAGAATAAGTGCTAAATTCAAATCTTTTTATTAATAGCCTGTTTTTTTTTCCTATATTTTTTTAATTATACGTATTTCACCCAATACGTTGAAGTAGTTATTATCTTTTTCATATTTTTCTGAATGTGTTCTTTCAATAGGGAAAGAAGACTAAGAAGGAAAGAGAGAAGAATGAAGAAACAGATTATTCGCGATGTTAATACGTTGAAACAGTATGATATCAAAAACGTGCCATTCCAAGTTGACCCGGTCTTGGGTGACCCTCGTAGCACATTCTTTTTTTTTATTTTTACTTCTTTGTTACTGATAAACATACATTTTCCAAGGTAGTCTCTGTTGTAACATACCAAAAGATTTCAACTTGAAAAGCGTCACCCAATATTGATTTCAATGCAAATGCTCTACTTTCGTCAAGGATTCGTCTTGCTTTCAATCCGCATTCTTGTCTCTCTTTGGCATTGAGTCCCGAAGAATGCATTTCTTCTTCATCACCGGTAGCTTCGGGTTTGCTAGCGTCAATTGCCCACGACACCATTTTCTTGAGCGTGTCAAAAGACTGGCGGGACTTAAAACCGAGATTGTACAAGTATTTCTTTGATTGTGGTAGTAGTTGATCATAAGAGCAAAGGTGGCGACAACACATGGCTATCAAGACTCCACAAAATTGATTATTTTGGAAAATACATGAATTTAGCAACAGCTTCAAGGTTAAATCAGTTGCAGCACCACACAAGTGCTTCGATATTACCACCAACTTGGTTGGATTAACTTCTTTCAAGAACAAATCCAAATTCAAGTCCTTTATATCGATTTTACTTCTTTTGATCAAGGGATGTAAACTCGATGTTTCAGAATCAGAAACTATTTTCGAATCTGCTTTTAAACGATTTGTGCCCCTATCAATGAGCCCATAGCCATAATGAGACAGGTCACTATCCTCGCGGCCCCGGTTTTCTTCAAGTATGCATTGGTTTACATATCGTGACAACTCTCCCTTACCACATCCGAATTCAACGTAAAAGCACTCGGGTGAAAGTAGATGCAACCTTTTCAAATTGCCTATTAGCGATGACTGCTGAAGCACGTGCTTTTGAAAAGTCCGTTGTTCCAATTGCGTAGTTAATCCCTTATGATTGCATACATGAAAACTAAGTGGTTGATACTCTTTCGAATCAACTAAATCTATGTATTTCTTTTCCTCGGTTAACGGATCATCATCTTGTGGGGTAAAGTCGTCGTCGTTTACACCAACAAGAGAACAATTATAATTCAACTGAAACCAAGGCTCGTGTCGCGTTTTTGGCCGAGCATTGCATTTAAACATATGTCCCTTAATATCGTTTTCCCAGATTGTATGACTTGGATCTAGCGGACAAGTTATTCTTTTCTTCTTTTCGCAGCTTGAATCATTGGTGTCATTGAAAATCATATGTTCTGAACAATATTTGTTGTACTTTTTCCTCATCATCTTGCATCGTTTGTTCTTCTTTGGTAGAATATACTGACAATAGCAAACATTTTCGAGATCGATCTTTTGCTTCTTCAACTTAGGTGGTGACTCTGTAGCCGTCATTTAGTCAGTCAAGGAGAGACAATGCGTTGAAAAGAAATGCGATGCTCATCTCTTACTCTATAAGTAAGAAACGGGGAAAAGGAAAAAAAAAAAGAGATAGTTTTTCGGTTTAACCTCATCTCATCTCATCTCATCTCATCTCATCTCGAGATTGTTTTCCAGTTTTATTCACCTCAACATACAAGACCAGATTGCCCGCAATGAAGAATACAAATCAGATGTGGAGATTGGACCTACTAGAGGCCAAATTTGAGAGTTTACCTCCGAGGTTTGCACATACAAAAAAATTAATATTTGCTACAAAGCGTAATACCAAGTTGAGTAAAAAACTACCGGAAACCAAAGAAGCAGCTTCAGCGGAAATTTTCGAGTTGAAATCACAACTTTTTGAGAATAAATATCACTCGGGGTACAAGAAATTGTATAGGGCGATTAAAAAGGTGACTGCTCACAAGACGACGGTGCCGAAAATATTTAGCGATGAGGAAGTTTTAAAACAATTAATCACTTCGCGTTTGGTTAAGAGTATTGGGAGTTCCATATTGGTTCTGAAAGACTTGAAAACAAATCCACCAAAGTATATCAAGTCAATCATTAGGGAAATCATAATAGACAAGTCCAATCCAAACAATCCTTCTCAATTCTTTATAGCCAATTGTCGAGACTCAAAAGAAGTAAATAATTTTTGCTCGAATCTATGGAATAGTAAGCAGATAAAACCAATACTAAATGACATTGAATGGAGTTTCAAGATGGTAAGAGGGAATTTGAGTAAGAACGATATAGAAGAGAGAGACCTACAGACGAGGAAGAACTTGAACGGCCCAAGAAGTGAAGAGGAAAGAGAACATGAACAGGAGGGAAGCGATAGTGATGAGGGTGATTCTTTTGACAAATATGCAGAGTATGATCATTTGGTGCTTGGCTCAGATCAGGAAGATGAGGAAGACGATGTTCTCCAATCAGATGTAAACTACAATGAGGTAACAGATGAAGAACCTCTGGAAGATGAATCTCTAGAGGTTGATGACGAAGAGTCTGACAGTGAGACACTGTCTATTGATGAACCACCAAAGAAGAAAGGTAAAGCTGAAATTTCTAACGAGACAGTTTACAATTTGCCCGAACTTGCATCGGGTTACTACTCGGGAGGATCCGATGATGAGGATGAGGAAGATGTTGATAATGACAAGGTTGTTAGAGAACTAACCCAACCACGCAAGAATAGGAGGGGTCAAAGAGCTAGGCAAAAGATTTGGGCAAAGAAGTATGGTAAAGAGGCAAAGCACATTTTGAAGCACCATGAAAGAATAAAGAGCGAGAGAGAAATACGACAGAAAGAATTTGAGGAGAGAGAACGCAAACGAGAATTAAAAGCAAAAATGTTGGAGGAGAAGCAAAAACCTACTGGTGCCAACACTGAGCCACTAGGCGAGAGGAAATCTACTGTCACGCGCACTGTTCATGTGGAGGAGAAGCAAATCCACCCTTCATGGGAGGCAAAGAAACAAGCTGAAGCAAAGATGAAAAATACTAAATTTCAAGGTAAGAAAATCACTTTTGAATAAAAGTCTAATCACTATAGATTTCCTTTCTCCATGTTAAAGTAGTTCGTAATTAATTTCAAATGATTTTTGTAGGTCATTGTCAGTGATTGGTTGGCACCAAGTTTCGCCTTGAACTATAAATGAGTAATGGCATTTCTCAGGTTCACTAACGGATACTACATCAAGACCTTCTCCGCAGATCAACTCAACTACTGCAGATCTTTGTGGTCCATTCCAGCATCGAGCGCCATTATTGAAATGTATCTTACCATCTTTGTATTCTTTGAACTTGCCAATCAATACGTCATTTTGGTATATTGAGTTGAGTAAATTGACCTTATATTGATATCCTCCTAGATTTTTTGTTATTGTTACTTGTGCAAAAGCACGTAACACATCATCTGGACCATAATCTTTGTTCAAATCATCTTTGATCAAAAATATCTTTTGCTCTATTGTTTTAACTTTTTCCTCCAACTTTTCAATCTCGGGCGTTAATTGATTACTTGATAAAGGCGAAACATATTCCTCTGAGCGCTTAGTTAGAAACTTTTCACTGAATAACCGAAAAACGTGATGCAACATGTTTCCCAAGGAAGGCACAAAGTGTGCAATTTCTTCAGAGACACCACTGTGGGACATTGATTTTGCTTTGTTGATAATCTCTTTAATTAGCTTATTTGTTTCATGGATATCGTCTTTGACATCATCTTCCTCTTTGTTCGAGATGTACTCTTGAAATTTATGAATCGAATCCTTTACTGCAAGATCATTAAAGTTGGGGTTATAGTTTTTGGACAACCATTCCAAAATCTTTTCCAATGTTTGAATTTTGTTTTCTTGCCTCGACATTTCCTTTATATGTTTATCTATTTTCCTTTGTAACCCATCAAACTCATTGTCAAGGTGGTCGTAAACAGATTCGCTTTTTTCTTCTTTTTGCTCTGCATATTCCAATTCAACTTTCAACTTGTTCAAGTTCAATTTTGTTTCAGGTAATGCTCTTTCCAAGTCCTGTAAGCTTTTGATTAATTCTTTTCGCTTAGTTTGAGCAAGCATTAGTATTGATTTTTTCTTCTCCAATGCTCTCGAAATAGTTTCTAGCTTTTTCAGTCTATATTCCTCGAATTGCTGATGGATTTCCTTGCACTTATTTTCGCAATTACCAATTTTGTATTCATCGGATCCGTCACAGCAAATATCATAATCACAAACACCATCGTTCAATTTAAACTGGTCTATGTAACCGGGAAAATGACCTTCATTCTTACAGTAAAATTTGAAAGGTGTGCTGGGACAAGCATTTGTCCCCGGTTCGTCGGATCCATCCGGACAGTCACATATGTCATCATTGATTTGATGAAACTGTAGTTTTATAGATGTATCATTTAAACAATACCAATATTTACCTCCAGCCTCGTCCCCTCCCTCTCCCTCTTCTACTATCGGTGTGTAAAGATGTTGATTCTCGGGACTTACTCCAATGACGTCGGCAACTAGTACCTGAGATAGAAACAGCAACGCAACAAAACGGTGTAATAACATCTCAATTGATCAATAAAGATTTCAACATTCTCATTCAGGAGAAAAGAGAGAGAGAGAGAGAGAGAGAGAGAGAAAATTTAAAGATACAAATCATGCGCAAAACAAGCGGCTGGTGTGAACACAACCTGCTTTACATACCCCTATTTAGTAACCACAAATGGTGGTTACAAGATTGGTGATCATACCCACTGTATTGCTAATAACATATTAATTCAAAGTTATAGTGGGGTTCTAAACCTCTCTTATTTATCAAAAAAAAAAATTAAATTAAATAAAATTAAATAAAAAGTTAGCTTGTTACCCATATTGAACAATGTTTATTCTAGTATACCTCATGACTGGGTGTACCACTGCTTGTGATGTAATGTAGAGGGGTTTTGTTTTTTTTTTCTGTTGATGCAAAAAAGAGAATTGGTTGTAAACTTAGAGTGCGCTAACCTTTTTGAAGTTTATTGTCTAATATTATACACTCACCATTCATTGACAAATTCTCCAATATTTTCAATGCCTCATTTGCGACACAAGATACAGACACAGAAACGTCCAGTGCAAAATTTGTTGTTGTTACCAAAGAGCCCATATCTGTTTCTCTCATCAAACCAGGTAGCAATGCATTAACTCTAATTCTTCCTTTCAATTCGTTTGCCAAACTCGTAGTAAATCCCAAAAGTCCCGCTTTTGAAGCTGCATATACTGAAGTTCCAGGAAGTAAATGTTCTGTATAAGACAATATTGAAGAGATGTTCAAAATCGATGGATTCAATTTGCGGTGCCGTATCATGTTTCTTATAGCCATTTGACTTAATAGAATTGGAACTGTGAGATTCAAGTTCAACGTTTCAAGAGTTTGAGTGTGACTTGTCTTGTGCAACAAGTTCAGTGTAGTTACTCCAGCACAATTGACCAATATCGTATTAAGGTTTAAAAGATTTTGCATAACCGGTAAGCTCGAGCTATTTGGGTCGACTAAATTTAGCAAGTCTACTGATTGATAAAAATGCTTTTGACCATCATGCTTCAAAGATAATCTCTCTACTGCCTTCTTTAAAGCAGATGTGTTTCTTGAAACTAAAGTGACATTTGCACCTTCTTGAGCTAGTTTCGAAGCAATTGCAAATCCTAAACCTCGAGATCCTCCAGTTATCAATGCAAATTGGCCTTTAAACATGAGATCAAAAAAAAAAAAAAAAAAAAAAAAAAAAAGGGAAAAAAAAAAAAAAAAAAAAAAAAAAAAAAAAAAAAAAAAAAAAAAAAAAAAAAATTGGGGAAAAACAGAAGAAGAAAAAAAAAAGAAAAAGGTAGAAAAAAAGAACTCTGCTTATCAATCGAATTCTTCGCTACAAGTGCAGAGTGTGTAGTCTGATAAGCGAAAAGTCCATGCACTTTGAAGACCTCAAAACCTTGATTTTCAACTTGTTTATCTTCTATAGTTGAAAAGAGTGAAAAGAGTCGGGGGAAAAAAAAAAAAAAAAAAAAGAGATTCTGAGGGTAGTGCGCTCGCACCTCGAATTGGTTGGTAGCTCTCATTTTCCGTTTTATATTTTGTTTACATTCTTAAAAGTAACTTTGAATTTAATAAAGAAAGGTTTAAGTAAATCAAAGTTCCATATCAAACGGAATGGTAAGTAGGGTCCACAAGATTCAAGTACTATATGTTTTTTTAAAAATGTTTTTACTAGCTAACACAGATCTTTTAGTCACAGAATACGAAAACTTATAAAGACGCATTTGCCCTTTTTGACAAAAAGGGTACAGGCAAGATCCCTGTAGAATATTTGGGTGATTTATTAAGAGCTATCGGTCAGAACCCTACACTTGCTGAAATAGCAGAATTACAAAAGGGTGTAAAAAGTGCTGAATTCGATTTCGACACTTACCAGGAAATAATCAATCGTCCAGATGGGTTCAAGCCATTGGGTGCGCCAGAAGATTACATAAAAGGGTTTCAGGTATTTGACAAAGAGCAAACCGGTTACATTGGTGTTGGTGAGCTAAGATATATTTTAACTTCAATTGGGGAAAAGCTAAGTGATCAGGAAGTAGATGAGTTGTTGAAGGGAGTTAATGTAACTAGTGACGGCAATGTCGACTATGTTGAATTTGTGAAATCCATCTTGGATCAATAGCTGTTGAAGTGATATACAGATTTATCTATTTTGTATATGTATAGCTTATATATATATATCAGAAATAATGGGTCAAGAGATGGCATTATTTGTAGATCTTACTCTGTCGTCTTTTACTGGATTTCTCCATACAGTGAGAAAAAAATATTAAAGTTTTTAATCAAACTTATCAAAAAATTTTTTGCATCAATTCCAATTAATTACTTCTTCTCTTCACCTCACCACCCTGCTTCCTCTCCCCCTAGTTATGACAGAAAATATACCATCTTCACTGCTGCTAGCGATTCCTGCAACAACTGTTACAGATCTGATACTGGGAACTGAGCTTGATCTCAAGAAAAACGAGCGTTTTCATTTGTTTCCTAAGGACCGAATAGAGGCGCTAACAAGTACAGGAGCCCTTGTAGGTGTCATGATTGGATTTTATGAAGGCGTAAAGAAATCTGCTGCAAGATATTTGGTTGAAAATGCTCATAGACTTCCAACGACAAAAGGTGGATGGTATTTTTATCACAAGAGAAAAAATTATGAAATGATCGTTGGCGGCATGTCTAGTGGTATCAAGACTGGTGTTACGTTTGGAGGGTTTCTTGCCGCATTGTCTCTTTTGGAGTATTCCTTAGACTTTGCTAGGGGCCAAATTGATTTTATAAATACAACAGTATCGTGTTTTATTGGAACAGGTCTATATACGAGGTATAAACAACTCAATATTATACCAGCGAGAAAAATGGTTATTAGAGGTACAATTGCTGGACTATTATTGGGATTGGTGGAAGATGCAATGATCAATGCAAGGTCTGGGAAAGTTTGGTACATCGAAGAATTGAAGAAGAGATTCAGATAAACCTCTCTTACCAATTTTGTCTTTGGGCCATGCCATCTATCTTCTTATTCATTGTCCGACTCGTCTAAATCGGGGACTGGATATTTTAACAAAGCAGCCACTCCTGTTAATTGGTTCAATTGGATACCCAGCTCATGCAAACTCGAGAAAATGTACACCTTGGCCCCCATCAGTTTGGCTTGTTCGCAAATATCAATGTACATCCTCCTAGTTTTTACGTCGTCGTTTTGGAACAATTCATCGGAAACCATGAGAAATCGAATAGCATCCATTTGTAAAGCTTTTCGAATTTCGTCAAGTCCATACCATGCACGTCCATCATCGTCATTCAAAGCCTTTTGAAATTTCATCAAAACGTCCGATTCCTCGTAAAATTTGGTATCTGCAAGCTTCTTCAGTAGCAGCGAATCAGTCAAAACTTCTTCTAAACCTTGCAAATACCCCGTTGAACAATGTGCAACAAGAATTTTGTGCTTGTTGGTCAATATTATATTAAACCTCTTTGCATCCTTTGTGTTACCTGAACTTTGTAAATTCGTACACTCTTGGATTAGTCGTTCATATAAACTATTTGCTAAAAAGCCGGGACTTGCCAAAATGATAACTTTTAGCTTCTCAAAATCAAAATGCCTTATTATAGCTTGTATGATCATATTGAAAAATGAGTTCATTGCCTTATCCAAATCCCTTGTTCCGTAATCCTTGTTTTTCCTGGGTATCAGTTTTTCTATTTTGGCTTGTAATACCGTCATTTGGTCAGTAACATAGCATACATGTGCCACACCTTCTTGAAACACTACTGCACCAATATCGGCTTTTTTCTCAATTGAGCACAAATCGTCCAACAAGGTCATATCGTATTCGTCCCAGCTCTCTTTCACTATGGATATTTCTTTATTTAACTCTACTTCGGCAGTATGATAACTGTTTAGCGGAATATACTCTTGCTGAAGCAATGATTTACCATTGATCCTCATAGTTGAGTCGCTTGCAACATAGTCAATATCCTCTACTAATAATCTCAACTTAACAAGTATTTTTTCCATCTTAGCCTTACCTTTCGTTACTTGGTTAGGGTTACCCTTTTTCACATTTCGATGAGTTAAAAGTTGTACCGTATCTCCTTTTTGAATAAGATTGTATAAGTACCAGAGATCTTCAGAATCTTCAGGTACCAATGTTATTGCAACATTCTTATCCTTTAGCTTAACCTTGTTTTTTACCTTCATCGTTATACTGAGAGAGCAAGTGTATGTCTGTCTCTGTGTCTGTGAGATGAAATGAATAGTTTTCCAATCAAGCACTATATGATAATTAATTAAGTTTTTTTTTTTTTTTTCACTCTCGCTCTTATAGCAAAACATCTGATAATACAATAATATAGAATAATACATTGCTTTTAATATGAATCGAACAAAACAACCTTGCAATTAACTTTGAGTCAACTTTCTTCAAATGGAGAGATTTCTTGAAAGGTTCCTACTAATTTGCTCAAGTCTGCTTTGCTTTCTCTATTTACCTCTCTCCCACTGGCTTCTCTCTAGCTTTTCTCTCTACAGCATTGCTTACTTTAAACACTCGATAGGGTCGATAGTATCGGTGGCGCCTAGTGCTCCACTACCTCCCTCTGCTCGATAGTGACGCTTAGTCTAAATCACTTTATCATATAGAACACATATAATCATAGAAACCACTTCTACATAGTGTTAATGGGAAGGGGAAAAAAAAGTAGTAGTAGAATTAAAATAGGCACTTCTCCAAATTATGTGAAAGACTATTAATGGAAAAGGTCTATCTATACATTGACGGTTAAAAATGTCGTTTATCTCTTCATGCAAACAGGTTATCCCTTTCTAGTGCTCAAACTATTAGTTACCTCGTTTTCTACTCGTCTACCAGATCTCATGACCACACTCCACATTGTCTTCAACTATTTCTATAACACAGCATTTCTCCCATTTTCAAAAAAAAAATTCTCTATAATTATTTATAAAAAAAAAAAAAAAAAAAAAAAAACAGGTACATGGACTTTAAATGTTATTTTGTTTCTTTTTCTATTTTCTATTTTATTGATTGCCTATTTTTATTGGTTTTTCCAAAAGGTGGCCCATTCTTTCAATCTTGGTGCTTAAATATCCTTCTATTTCCTTGCTATTTATTCCCTTTTTGGAAACTCCGTTGGACCCATTCTCATGCGAATGACTCCAACTCAACGGTATCATAGGTATCCTTTCACTCACCGTAACCTCTTGATGTTTACCTTCGACAGCTATTATTTTATCGGGGTTATTTGTCAATAATTTAATTTCAACCAAACCTAAATCTAGTAGTATAGCTGTAGCTAGTGAAAAGTTTCTTGCATCTGCAGGGTGCCTTAGCATTAAATTTGCTTCTACTGTATCGGCACCTAAATCTTGCAAATTATATGCTTTCAATTTCTCACCAAGACCAATTCCTCTACCTTCCTGTCTTAAATATACCATGCATCCATGACCATTCTCTCCCATTATTTTCCCCGCTTGGTCAAATTGTTCGCCGCAATCGCATCTTGCACTCCACGCAGTTTCTCCAGTATAGCATTCTGAGTGGATGCGCACCAAAGTTGGTTCTGCAAACGTCAAGTCATCAATTATCAAGTCGCCTTCAGGCGTGAAATGCAACGTGCGTGTATTGTCTGAATCAGCAGTAGTTCTTCCGGGATAAAGCTCCCCTACATATGCGCCTCTAGTCATTCTATCTTGCTGGGTCTCACCTGGTCTTTGCTTGAATAAGGATCGAGATCGAATATCTTCTCCAAACACTATTGCCAAATGTTCCTTGCTATCAATATTGTTTTCGTAGAGATGTAGAAATATATCTGGACCTTGAGTCGTAGGAATTCTTGCTCTTGCTATGCAGTTAACTTGAGGTAGTTCATCGGGCAAGTTTGTTTGATCACGCATATCCTGGGTAATCACTGGTGGAAGTTGAGGCGATCCAACTTGCTGACCATTCGACAAAGGTAGCATTGCGCTTGATGGTCTTGGAGTAACAATTGGAATTTTGCTGACATCGCGAAGATAGTGTGGTGCAGGTCCTGCTCCATTGCTCTTATCACTATTGTCATTTTGTTTAACAGTACTAGACGGTTGCGGATGATGTAACAATGACATATCAGTAGTATCCAACTGGTTAAATGTCTTTTTATTCTTCTTCTGGTTGTTCAAAGGTAAGGAATGGACAGGATTTAAACCTGAGTGTAATTGAGTATACTCTTTGGATCTTAAGTCACCTTGTGATTTATAAGAAGAAACCTTGTTAAATGGTATATTATGAGCAGTACCAGCAACTAGTCCAACGTCAATATTAGTAGCCATATGGTTCCAAACGGCTCTCTTGTCTCGTTATACAGTGAAAAAAAAAAATTAATCAATCAATTAATAGAAAGAAGACCTGGGGACGGAAAAAAAAAAACTGGTGCTAGCTTCTAATTAGTAATATATTATGTAACACTTCTCACTAACCTCTTTCAGTAATCAGGGAGTAAATGAAAAAAGAAAAAAAAATAATAATAATAATAATATGGGTGTGAATTTTTCAAAGGGAAAAAGAGGCGATATTCAAAGTAGTTTTAAAGAACCTCTATAATGTGTGTTTAGGTGTGACTTTTCCAAAGAAAGTCTGAACTAAATGAAATATGAACTTAATGAAATATAAACAAAAAGTAGTTTAAAAAAATGTATTTATTTGAAAAATGTAGTTTGAGCAAGCCGTTCCCTATAATATTTATAGGCGTAATCCCGACTCGATTGTACAAGTGAAAAACTGAAAAATGATTCAACAATTGTGCGATATCGGAAAATAAAGTAGTGGGTTTTGGCAAATCGCTGTCAAGGAGTATCCCTAGGTCTTGAAGTCTTGATGATAAAGGGATGAAGTACTAAGCACGCATTGTTTTACAAACAAAACAATATTTCTCCTAAATTGGACATCATAAGCCGATGAGGATTTGTATGGAATTATATACAACCTTCAATTTGATAAATACAGAACTATTTTTATTTATTTTTTTTCCATATGGAAATAGAGGAAAAAGAAGTTTACCTAATAAGGATTACGTGATCGTAATTTCGAATATAAGAATAAAAGGTATATCAAAGGTTTTCCCTCTATTGCCTTAAAAGTAAGAGAAATGTATTACAAATAACAAGTATTGTGAGCTATTCACCCCCCACACACACACACATACACACTATTTGCATCTCTTAAAACAACTAGCAATTTTCTTCAGTCATCAATTACTAATTATTTTTTTTTTTACATTTTAGTGCAAAGCTCGTTTTTGCGTTACCAATGGTGCTACCATATCACCTAATATGCTTTTCCCATATGTGCCAACTAAAAACTTTATTGCCGTTTTCTGGTTAAACCGTTTTTAAAAACTCAATTACATCCTGTTCGTTAAAACGTTCGGTATCTGGAGTATACTGACCAACTACTAATTGGTGTTTCAACACAATCACACAGGGGAGTTTTTTGCCAACAACGTAATCTATCATTAACTCTTTTCCGCCTGGTGAGTCGGCTAAGATGTTGACCAAATACACTGGTTCCTGTCCGTTGGGATACTTTGACTTGTCGCTCAATACATCAAATAACGCTTGTGTAACTTTGTTATTCTGAGCATCGGCAAATGCAAAGTTCAACAACAACGGAGGTTTGACATTTATATAGTTGTATAATTCCTGCTTTTCCGTTATCCACACGTCTATAATCCTGTTGTTTGTCGTGAATTGTGAAGCCGGTGGTGGATATATTAGCCTTTGAGATTGTGCTGCATTCTTCCAAGACTTGAACCACTCGGAAATAGAGAAAAATCTCCAATGTTGGCAAGACTTGGATCTTTGAACTGTTCGAGCGAGGTTTCTACTAAACATGACGCTAATCTCTCTGATCTCGGTTGCTAAAAGCTGTACTAAAACGTGTATCCTTTCTACCCAGTATATTTTTTTTTTTTCACTCCCGAATGATTGTTTGCTGCGCATTTAAAAATGTCAAAATATAAAAATGTCAAAATGTCAAAATATCATTTAGGGTTCTCTTAGTCAGTCTGCTCCATATTGACCTATTTTAGTTCTTTCTACTACCAAAAACCATACCCTCTACAACACTATCTCGCTCTACTCGATAGTGGTGAAAAGTTAAAAGAAAAGAAAATTGTCAAGATTTCTATTACCGGTTAAGCCTTGAACTAATTCAAGGCTATGTTTTATGTTGATCTTGCTCGACATGTACCGCCTAAATTCTTCATTGTTTCCATTTTTCTATTAATACCTTGCCCCTGTTCCTCTATATTATATACAAGCGACTCTTTACTCTTCATCCCAACCATCTTTCCATCGTTTTTTCCAAAATTGACAATCAAATTTTGGTTTGCCTAATCTCTTATTTACAGCGTTATGAGCATCGCATAACCATTTACCCAAATCGTCTTGGCTACCGGTGTCGGGCTTGTGTTTTTCCATATATTTACCAAACTCTTCTCCACAAAACCAACAGGGATAAAAACCAGCAAACAAATTGAGAAACAGCTTCATATCTTGTTGCTGTTTTGTAGTTGGTTCTTCAGGGTACGTAGCTGCAATTGAATGAAGTAAAGACCACGAAGATCTGCCCAATTTGGTGACATCTGGTGGATCAACTTTGGTATAATATGAAGTTCCTGACGTGGTGGATGGCATAGTGGATGCAATTGTGCTTGAGCTAGATTCTGTTGATTGACCATGCTCCTTTTTCTCTTTCCTCAGCTTTGAAGACTTCCCCGTAGCAAGTTGAAAATCTAACAACGTGTTACATGCTCGACAACTTGAAAAAAAAATCGAGTGTTAGTATCAATATCTACCGAGTGACACTATCAAGCAGAGCGAGATAGTGTCGTAACAAGCTAGTCAGTGTTATAACAAGCTAGTCAGTAATATAACAAGCTAGTATTGTAACAAGCTATTCAGTGTCATAACAAGCTACTAAGTATGACTCCACTAGCTCGCTCTGCTCGCTAGTGTCGTCCATTTAGTCTTCAAAAAACGTACGGTTTGCCATCCTTGTCGTAAATTATTCTACGTCCAGATGCTCCAAATTGTGGCAATCCTTTCGGCGGTGTATCTACGGCTTTCTCTTGTGATGCCACCTTGGTTTCAGTACTTGACATTATTCTCTTTTACCCCAGGTTAGCTGAAGCAAGGTCCCAAAATTATTTGGTTTGTTTTTTTTTTGTATGAATATAGAGTGAAAAAAAAAAGAATTAATTATTCCAGAAAAAAAGATAAAAGATATATACCACAATATAATTTTTCATCACCAAAGTTCTACTAACCTTTCTTCTCCTCTTTCTTCTCCAATTTCTCGATGAAAGCTTCACGTTTTTGTAGTATAGCGTCACATAATTCGCCAACTTCTTTAGTTTTGACGGCGCTTCTTGCTCGATAAAACTGACCTATATCGTATTTCAAGCCATACTTAAGTTCATATTCCCATGCCATTTGAATCATTTCAAACTTATCAATATCCTTAACATATCTTGCTTCTGGGGTTCTAATTTCTTCATAATCGGTCCATAATTCTCGCATTTCGTGTGCAAACTCGGCATTGTATGGTTTCACAAACTCACATATGTAATTGATTGTCTCTAACTCTCTACGATGTTTTTCCTGTTGAGCAATACCACTAAATGGTGTAATATCTCCAACTAAACATTCTGCTAAATCATGCACTATAGCAATCTTGACGCACTTATCCTTGTTGATATTGGGTGGCGGGACAATCATCGATATTATTGCCATCCGATACATGTGGTCTGCGATGCTTTCTGCTTCTACAAGTGGAATGCCCAGATCTATCCATCCAGTTCGTGGTTGAAACTTTAAAGATGAGATGATTTGTAAAAATGCAAGAAACAAATTGATCGAGGAGGATTTTTCAACACTGTGACTTTCCTGGGCTAAGAGGTTCTTAATCAGTTGGGGAACAGCATCTTCGGGCTTCCACGTGTTTTCACTGAGGTTATTGATGGAAGTCATTTTGTACACCGTTGAATGTGAAAATAATCTAAAACTATTCGAACTTTTATATTTTCTCAAAACTAATACGTTTTTTTTCAACGCCAGGGTAAACATTTGACAATGACGCATAAGAGAAAGAAGAAAAGCAAAGCCCCAGAAAGATTTCTTTCCATATTTAGTTCAAAAAATTGAAAAAATTGAAGAAAAAAAGAACAATACTACTGCTACGGATGGAAAAGAAGTGAACTTCAATGTAATTGAAGTTTTGGTTTGTTTGTCTTTTTTTTTTCCTCTTCTGTTTTCCTTGTTTCTGATCTTACTCACACATAGTTTGAAAGACAAATGAAAAACTATCCAAAAAGCAAGGTAAAAGTCCCAAGTCACTTGTTTAACCCTAGAAACTATGCTTTTATTTAATATACAAAGTTACAGAAAAACAAAAAAAATATAAGGACCACAATAACAATTTAAGCTTAAGCAACTAATTCAACAACACCACCAACAGCTCTAATTTTTTCTTCGGCTAATTTGGAAACAAATCTAGCTTTGACAATAACAGGAACTTCTGGTAATCTACCCTTACCTAAAACCTTACCGTAACCGGCAGCCAAAGTGTCGATGACTGGAGCGGCTGACGAAGAAGAGCTTTTCAAGTATTCTTCCTTTTTATCACTCTCAACTAAAGTCCATAATTTGTCCAAGTTGATTTCTGGTCTCCAGAAATGGTTTTGTTGTTTATGGAAATATCTCATACCCACTTTACCAAAGTAACCTGGGTGGTATTTATCTAAATTTGTTCTGTGATGATGTTGACCACCAGCTTTACCTCTACCACCTGGATGTTTTCTGTGTTTTCCGATTCTACCCTTACCGGCTAAATTAGATAAAAGTTAGTATTTTATTTTAGAGTCGAAATTGCAATGAAAAGAGGAGGTGATGATATAAGCCCAAACTGCTATTGATTGATGAGGCTATCTTGAATTGCTCCGAGGTGGTCTTCAAATATCAAGCAAGCAAGCAAGTATGTAAACAAGGATATGCTTGTAACGTTTGCCTCAGATACCTCTCTTTAAGTTTGACCTGGCATTCTCCATAAATTCAATTTATCCATAATATTCCATAATTTCATATATGTATATAACATAGAACGTATTTTAGTTCTCTCCTCTCTCTCTCTCTCCTCCTTTCATCTTATTCTCATCTTTTTCCTCTTTTCATCTCCCTCTATTCGTACATACCAGAAACATGTCCTCTGTGTTTTCTGGTCTTAGTTAATCTGGTAGGCATTGTGTCTGACGATGATGATGTGTAGAAGTTAAAAGTATATGAAAAATTTACATTGAAAAATTTACTAAGAAAAAAAAAATGGTTTTGCTGAATGTAGCTCTATTAGGAGTTGGGAGCATTAGGTATCGATGCTACCATATGTTGCCTGTCTTTTTTTCTACTGTATACCAACCATCAACACCATTATAGTTCAGGGTCGTGTAGTTCATCTATACTAAGTAGCTCTAAAAAAAATCATACATAACGCTACCGTGACATGTGCTTGTCAGGGTTAAGACCTACTGCGACATTCTCCTTACAACTCGGACTTTATACTCAATACGACATGTTCCTTTTTTTCCAACTCGGGTTTTAAACTGAACACGACATTTCTTTCTCTTTTTCCTCGTTTCAGGTATTATACTGAATACGATATTTGTATTGCTCTTTGTGTGTGTTTGTGTGTGTGTCTCTCCCTCCCCTCCACCCCCCTTTTGTGGCTTTTATGGATGGGGCCTTTCCCATACTTCGGCGTAAGTTGATAAACCTTTTGTCTCTGGAACATAGTTCTTTATAAACCAAACACTGAAAATACACATTGCGGTAAATATGAAGTAGACTGAACCGCCAATTGAGTGTAATAGTACAGGGAACAGGTATCCAACAATAAAAGTTGCGACCCAGTTCAAACTCACACCAAAGCTTTGAGCTGTTGCTTTGGCTCGAGTCTGAGTGACTTCGCCAACCAAAAGGAATGGGATCGGGCCTAATCCGATTGCAAAAAATGTTATGTAAGTAAACGTACCCACTATTGAGAGTACTGAATTGGTCCAGATTATACCCAATCCTATCAATATCGTGGCAATGCCTAAGAAGGAAACCGATGTTAATAGCAATGGCTTCCTTCCTAACCTATCCACCACATTTGCAGAAGCAAAAGTCACTACCACATTCACCAAGGATATCAAACAATTGATCAATATTGAGTGGTTTGGAAAGATGGATATCAATACAGAAACCCCATAAAAGATTATTGAGTTGATTCCGTCAAATTGTTGTAAAACTAAGACTCCAGTAGATGCAATACGAGAGTTTTTGAATTCTGGAGATGTGATGTACTCCTTCAATGAGACGACTGTTGCCTTTTGTTGTTGTTGTTGTTGGGACTGCGCTTGCGCTTGTCCAAATGGGTTATCTTCGATGTCACTGCTCTCAACTACACTACTAGTCCCGGGGCTTTCGTCGTGTCCGTCTTTCCAACTATTAACCTCTTCCGTGACTTGTGAATAACTTCCTGCTCTCAATTTATGTAGTACAGTAAACGCTTGATCACGATTTCCTTGATTGGCTAACCACAACGGGGACTCGTAGACGTAAAAAATCAACACAAGCACATTAATCATAGCCACGATTGCTGCTGTAATCAATAACCATCTCCAATCATTATCATTTGACCATTTCAATGAAAGCATTTGCGTGAATAAAATTCCCACATTGATACTTACTTGATTCATGGATCCTAACAACCCTTTAGAATCAGTTGGAGCAACTTCATTTATATATAAAGCAGTGATAACCAACGCCATTCCAGCGCCCAACCCACAAATGAACCTGCCAATTAGTAAAGTAACGTACTCATTGCTCAAGCCATTTAGTAAAGACCCCAATATGTACAAAGCACAATGCAAATAGCTGGTAATTTTCCTACCGTATTTATCTGCGACATACCCCACATAGAATGAACCTATCAATCCACCAATCGAAAAAATAGAAGTGACGAGTCCAATTTGATCGGGACTCATTGGAATACACTGTTTGAAACCCCTTGATCCAAAAAACGACTCTTCATAAGGTACTGAGCCCGGTTGTGATCTTCTACATGACAATACCAATTCTGGAGAGTTTAACTCTGCCATGTGGTATCCAAATTGTAGAGACCCTAAGCATACTATTGAAACAGATGTTATCAAACTTGATGTTAGCTTTGAACTAGGCGTAGAAAATGCCATAGTAATTGCCATGGTACTGGATCGACAAACCTGAAAACCTCTAATACACAAGCGCAGCTAGCAATGATGATTAAGTTCTCTTATCTCTCCTCTCTACTCCTTTTTTTTTGGCTTATACACCTCATTCCTGTTTTTTTTTTGTACCCCCTTACTACCTATTGGAGGAACTATATTGTTTTCAAGGGGGTTGGGACGGAAAAAAAAAGCTTAAGGGGTAGTAGGTTAAAGACTAGGAGAGAGTTTTTTTTTTTTTTGGTTACAAAACTTTACATTCATATAGCTACATAATTGGGAGAAAGTTACCAACTATCATCATTGGGATCCCAAAAACGTCTCTCTTTAGTGTCCACATACACCCTGTTCTTATTTTTACATCTCTCTTGGGCGTCAATAATGTACATTCAGTTATCGTAGCACCCAAAAAATCTCCAAAAGCAATTCTTGAAAAAACTTGAAAATATTCAATAACTGACTCGTCGTCCAAAAGCTCTACAATGAACCTCTTCTTACCATTATTACCGCTACCAAGTAGCTCTTCTTTTGTCCAACCTGTAAGTATACAAAATTCGTCTCCGACATATGCAATTTCTCCTGTTCGTCTCCAAACAATTGTAGGAGTTCCACTAATTTTGATAAAGTTATGATACGTTAGTAGTGTTCGCTGAAAGCATTGTTCCATAAAAATCAAATCATGCTCTTTTAGTGAATTTGTACAAGCGATGAAGGATGGTCTATAAACCGCCATCGACTGGGCCATTTTGACAAGCATCGGTTTGGAGAAACGTTTTCTCAAATATGCAATCAATGAATGATAACCGGGCGTATACGAAAATGGCATTTGAACTTTGGCGTATATCTCTTCTGGCTCTTTGAAAAGGGTGGGAGTAGTCGTGTCATTCGTGGTCGTAGTAGTAGTAGTACCTCCAGAGGTACCATGCTGATGCGTAGTTTGTTCAGTCAGTCCCGTGATTGAAAAAGATAGTAACAGTTTTGAGTTTTTTTCTTTGTAAACGGCGTAGTCGTTACTTTTCATTTGCTCGATATAGGCAATTACATCAGGGAAATAGGTTATTTGATGATCGGTACCAGTATGGCCAATAAAATATTGGTTGATACTTTCATCACATATGGGAAAAGTAGATTTGTCAAATAAGCTGGTCCTTGCAAAATCCAGTGGAGATGGCGTGTGCATCTTGGCTTGTCCAGTGTCATGCGTTTCGTCTTTTCTTGCCTCACTTGCTTCTGATGAAGAAAGAAGTTGATGCTGTGAAGTTCCCCCTACTACAGTTGAAGGTGCATTAGGTGGCGATAGCACGGGGGAAAATTTATTAGAATTTGGGGTTCCTTCGTTTGATGTAGTGTGATGACCTCCCATGGCATCTTGCAATATATTTGATAGCGTTGAGTATTCCAAATCTGCTGCCGTTGATAGGAATTTCGTCTTCTTTGAATAATTCATATATAGTTGAGCATTCGAGTTTGACGAGTTTCCGGGAACAGGAGAATACTGAGACTGGGGCTGGGGCTGGGGCTGGGGCTGGGGCTGGTGCGGATGGTGAATTTCCGTTTGGCGTGGTGGGGGCATATTGGGAGGAACAGATCGCAGGACATATATATCTGGAAGGCTATAGCCATTATGCGATGGCTGAGCTAATTCTGGCGATGTTGAACTATGTTGAAACAATGTTGCTTCATACGTTATGTGATTAGGCACTTGACTTGCAGTTGAATGTAGTAATCGTTGAGGTTCAAATTGAGCTATTCGGTTTTGCGGTAGTGTTTGTGCTTGCAAAGTAGGTAGATGTGCTTGTTGCAGTTGATTTGGGAAGGAGGTTGTTAGCGGAGTTTGTGTATCACTTGAATAATTTGCATCATGGCTATTCACACGCCTCACTAACAAACTCGAGTTTGGTACATCTTCTAGGTATTTTTTTCTCTTTCTAGGTGCATCTTGGCAAGTGCTTGCTAGCTTTCTCTTGATACACTTTTTGCAAGGCCGACCTGGATCACAGGTCATATGAGCCTTGTGGCAATGAGTACAGGCGCGCGTAGTCTTGATACGTTTCTATTTCCAAAAAAAGAGTCAATGTTAGTAGTCCAAGAATTACTCCCTTCTTTCACTCTCAATAGATAAAAAAAAAACAAAAACATACTGGTTTTGTAACAACGGAATCATTTCGATATTCCTCTTTGATATCCGCTTTGCTTGTTTGAACCTCCTCGTCTATCATAATGAATCAGTGGGCCATTTGTAAATAGATACTTAGATCAAGCCGAAAACGTATTTGTTAATGCTTTCTACTAAGAGTAATAACTACTTACTATATACCGGGTTTTCGGAGAAAAAAAAACAAAAAAAAACGTCCTTGTTAAATAATATATAGCGCTACCATCATAAATGAACCCTTGACCAATTGATCAATTGGGTAGTAGAGTGAGAGTATACTCAGCAAATGAGTCCAAATAGCAAAACGGAGTCCTATCTGTAGAAACAACCTTGCTCGTAACAATTTCGGTCCTACAGAGATTGTTTGATTTTTTTTTTTTTGCTTCATTTTGAGTCAAAATGTTAACTTGAATATGTGTCTTATGACTTTTGATCTCCTGTGATTCAGCAATTACACAAGCACTGTAAACCGACACTATCGAGCAGAGATAGTGGAGCACTTGCAAATAGACTTATAGACTTAGATTACTATCGAGCAGAGCAAGTAGAGCACTTGCAAATAGACTTAAATTACTATCGAACAGAGCGAGTGGAGCACTTGCAAATGTCTCTATTTAGTACTTTACCCATTTTGAAACTGTCTCTATTTAGCATCTCTTTACACACCTTTATACTCGAGAATAATAACAAATCTATGTTCTAGCACTTCTTTCATCAATCCTGAATCGCCAAATCTGTCATTCAGTCGTGTGTGCCGTGCCACTAGTTGTATATTTTTTTTCTTTCTTGTACGCAGTATTGAAAAATGAAGCTCATCTCATAAATTTATTTCAACCCATTAATAACTTAACAAGAGCCACCACCTATTGATATGTCTGATTTTATTCAAAAGTTTGAAAAATTGTCTATTACTGATATTCCAGAAAATTTGGAAAACGTCAAATTCCCAGAATTGACTCCTGAACAAAAAGCCTTATCGTCACAGTTTGAAACATTATCAACTAGGCTTGATGAAAAAGACACATTGTTACAAATTAATGACTCATTGAGAACAAAAACTTTTGTTAGTGGGAGCGTTCCAAGTAGGGCAGATTTGGTTTTGTTTTCAAAGGTATTTCCATTGGCATCGAAATGGACAGATAAAGAGGAAATTGCAAACTTTAGACACATTTTTAGATGGATTGATCTTGTTCAAAATAGATTAGTAAACGTTTCTGAACCTCTCAAGATTGATTATGATATTGAATTACCTAGAGAGGTGAAAGAGAAGAAAAAAGCGGCACCAGCAGCAGCAGCAGTAGATGCACCAGCAGCTGCTGCCGCCACCACCACCACCACAAAAGAAGGGAAAAACACCCCAGCTTCTTCAGCACATGGTCCTGGTCATACGTTAACTGAGGAAGAGCTCAAAAAAAGGGCTGCAGCAAAAGAAGCAAAGAAAGCAGCAAAAGCAAAACTCAATGCTGAGAAACAACAACAACAGAAGGCGGCTTCTACAGCTTCTGCTCCTACCCCAGCAATGGTGGATTTAAGAGTTGGTTTCATTAAAAAAGCTGAAAGACACCCAGATGCTGATACTTTATATGTATCAACTATTGAAATGGGGGACGAAGACGGCCCAAGAACCGTTTGTTCTGGTTTAGTCAATGAAATTCCTCTTGAAGAAATGCAACAGAGATATGTTATAGTTGTAGCAAATTTGAAACCGGTAACTATGAGAGGTATCAAGAGTTGTGCAATGGTTTTGTGTGCTTCGAATGCTGATAAGGTTGAGTTTGTTAATCCACCAAAGGATTCAAAGCCTGGTGATAAAATCTTTTTTGAAGGTTACAATGGTGTACCAGAAAAACAATTGAATCCTAAAAAGAAGATTTGGGAGGCAATCCAGCCTAAATTCACCACAAACGAAAACTTTGAAGTCACTTATACTGAGGAGGGCAAGAGCCCTAGCAAATTGATGAATGAAAAAGGAGAGTTGTGTAAAAACTCTACAATTGTCGGCGCAAAGGTTAATTGATTCACTATAGAGCAACACTATCGAGCGAAGCGAGATGGTGTTGCTCGATAGTGATAGTCAGTGTGCAACACTAGTCAATGCTCCACTATCAATCTTGCCACTATTAGTTGAATGAGATAAAGCAAAGGAAAAGAGAAAAGGAGGGGAAGATAGCGAAACACTATCGAGCGAAGCAAGATAGTGTTGGTGTTGCTCGATAGTGATAGTCAGTGTGCAACACTAGTCAATGCTCCACTATCAATCTTGCCACTATTAGTTGAATGAGATAAAGCAAAGGAAAAGAGAAAAGGAGGGGAAGATAGCGAAACACTATCAAGCGAAGCAAGATAGTGTCGGTGCTGCTCAATAGTGATAGTCGTGGGACCTGCAATATTTTCTAGGAACGAATATCGTGTGGAGAAAAAAAAAGGGGAAGGCGGGGCGGGGCGGGAGAGGGTAGCAGCTAGTTGGTGTGGTCCACTATCTCGCTTCGCTCGATAGTGTCGATAGTGTCGATAGTGTCGCGACGATTATGTAACCACTCTAGTACTATATTTCCCACTCTTTGCTTTATCCTTTACTTATCATTACTTTACTTGTTTCGCCAATTGTATTGTTCTTTTTTCCCCCTAGTTTCCAACAAATCTATGAGACAAACAAAGTAAAATCTTGCAAGTAATCAAATCTTTCACTCAATTGTACCAGAAGAAAAAAAGACAAAAAGAAAAACACTTAAGTATGTAGGGGAAAAAAAAAAACCTGATTAGCTAATATAACATTGAAAAAGCCGGTTTAAGTTGACCAAATATAAGGGTTTGGGTGCAAGAATAGAGCTGGAAAGGACAGAGCAGAGAGGATAGACAAGGTAAAGGCTTTAAAGAAGTAGGCAATATAGCTAGGATATCTTGTTATTTGTTAAGAATATGGGCAAAAATCTACTAGAGGAAGATGTTTCTCCACATAGTACTCATATGAGTAGTAGTAGTAGTGATTATTTATCTACTACTTCAACTTTGGCTATAACTCACAAACGAGGTGGTTCGGCTTCCGAGCCCAAAAGACGAAGGGTGACTAGAGCTTGCGATACGTGTCGTTCGAAAAAAGTCAAATGCGACGGGTGCCAGCCCTGCATCCACTGCACTGTTTACTCCTTTCGCTGTACATATGACGAGCCAAATATCAGAAATAAGAAAAATATCGGTATCCCCAAACCGCCCGAATCAAGTGTTGCCGCTTTGCAAGTTGCAGCGCAGGCGGCGGCAAGTGGATACAACAGCGTTAATGGGGTGTCTATCGACGCTTACCCGACAAAGAACTTGATTATCGCCCAACAAGTAATTTCGACATTATTCCCCAAACTTCAAATTAATTTTTTTAGCCACAAGTTGAATTTCGACTTGGATAGATTCCAAAAAGCAGTATCGCATGTAGAGCAGAAACTGGGCTCTTTGGAACTTCTCTTGAACGAGGTGTCGGAGTTGACGCAGGACTTTGATAATCCTGTACCACCGTCTAGAGGTCATACCGCTAGTGTCACATCCGATGACTCATCACCTTCGCAATCGCCTTGTGAAATAAAACTCGTATTGCCTAGTAAGGAAGAAACACTTCAGTTGATTTTCACAACCTGGAATAAAGCATGTGTGCTATTTAGATTTTATCATAGACCATCTTTGTTGGAGGAAATTGACTTGTTATATTCATTGGACCCTTCGCAGTACGGCGACCGACAACAAAAGTTTCTTCCGTTTTTGTATTCTAGTTTAGCATGCGGGTCTCTCTTCAGCAAGACTCCGTATACTACTTCAACGGCGAACGATCATTTGGAAGACGATGGATTCAAGTATTTCTTGGAAGCCAGAAAATTGATTGATATAAGTAACGTTGGAGATTGTAACTCGATACAGACTATAATTATGATGATAATCTACTTGCAATGCTCGGCCAGATTGTCAACTTGCTATTCATACATTGGTATAGCTTTAAGAAGCGCCTTGAAGGAGGGGCTTCATCGTAATTTATCAGTTTTCCAGAATTCAAGGAGGAAGTTAGATCCCATTGAGGTTGATACACGGAAAAGAATGTTTTTTACTATTTACAAAATGGACATTTATATTAATTCCTTGTTGGGATTACCCAGATCTTTAGCAGAGGATGAATTTGATCAAGAATTACCGGTAGACTTGGACGATGAAAATATAACTAGGCAAGGCTACGATTTTGAGAAACAGGGTGGCAAGCTAAGTTCTGCCGGCTGTGCTAACCACCATACAAAACTTATGTTTATCATGTCTCATATTATAAGAAAGCTATATCCTGTAAAGGTAAATAACGTTGATCACACAGGGCCAGACGACATTCATCAGAATGTGACGGAGCTTGAAATGGAATTGAAAATATGGTTGAATAACTTACCGGCTGAGTTGCAGCCTACGGATCCAAACTCTGATAAAATTGATGTTCCTGCAAGATTCGTGTTGGCAAACTGTTATTTACAATTGGCGTTTTTGAATTGTCAAATAATGTTGTATCGTCCATTTATTCATTATATAAGCGATTCCATGAGAAGCAACTCCTCGGACCCTCGCTCGCTAATAAGGGGGAGAAACTGTATAAAGATTGCTCGTATGGTTGTTAAATTGGCCAACAAAATGATTGACGAGAAATTGTTGATTGGGACATATTGGTTTTCTATGTATACCATTTTTTTCAGCATTGCATGTTTGGTGTATTATTACCATTTTGCAAATTACAAGAATAACGGTTTAGGGGCCAATTATGCTGGTGTTTTATTTGATGACGATTTGAACATAGACGTTATTAAAAAGGATATTGAGATTGGCAAGAAAGTGTTGGATTGTTTGAAAAACTCCTCGAATAGTTCGTTGCGGATTTACAACATTTTAAACACTTTGTTTGAACAATTGAATAGAAAAACTGCTTCAAGATCGTTGGTGAAGAAGGTAAACTCATCTCCTACAAATAATAACAACAATAATAATGATGATACACAATCGACAGCAGGTCAACTTAGAAGTGAGCCACCAGAAAGTTTTAATTCAAGTAACGTGAGAAGTACATTTGCTAATTTTGATAATAACAATCTGTATCTGCAGAGTGGCAAGAGCGGGGAATTGAATGAATTGTTTAAGAATACAAACATTGATAGATTTCAGACTCATTCTGAAATGGCACCAAGTATTGTCAATATTCGAAAGCTCAGTCCCGTTAAGGAAGAGGAGAACGAGGAGATTGGTGGTAAAGTCGGTGGCGATCTCACTGCAAATTACATGCCGGGGGTTTTTGATAAGCTTGATGCACAAATATTTGGCAAGATACTACCGCCATATATGACGGAGAAGAAAGAGTTTATCAACAATGTACAACAGCAACAACAACAACAACAGCAGCATGAGCAGCAACAGCAGCAGCAACATCAGCCACAACAACAGCAGCAGCAGCAGCAGCAGCAACATCAGCCACAACAGCAGCAGCAACAGCAGCAGCAGCAACATCAGCAGCAGCAACATCAGCAGCAGCAGCACCATCAGCCACACCATCAGCCACACCATCAGCCACATCATCAGCGACATCAGCGACATCAGCAACGACAACAACAACCGAGGCAGGAGCTGTATGTACCAACCGAGAATAGAGAACCAACTGGGCCAGATATAACCACTAACAACTTTCTACATCCTGTCCGAATTGCACTGCTGAACACAGATATACTGGGAGATATTCTAGACTTTGATGAACTTCTTGCATCTTTCAGTGATCCTAGTGGGTTCTCTGGTCAAAAGAACCTGATTGATTTTACTGCTTCTTAGTCAAATTGAAAAAAAAAAAAAAAAGAAAAAAAGAAGCTGTATGTATTTATTTATTATCAATAAAGGTGAAACGTATGTCTACGATAACAGAAAGCATAGTTACAATACTCTAATTGTTCAGTTATTCTCTCTACCCCCACCCCCGGATTTCTTTTTTCTCCTATATTAGTTTTCTTTTGTTTCGTTACGTAATTACCGGTAATAAAACTATTTCTCGGATATAAAATACAAAAACATAAAGACATTGTATTTCCACCATGGGCCAAAGTTGCTTGATTAGCTTAGCCCGAAACCAGTAAACTTTACCAAATTGTCACTCAGTAATCTTAAACTGTTCTTTTTTTTCCCTTCAAACCACTCATTTTTAAACGGTTTAGTTTTCTCTCCAATTTCAGCAAAATGGTCTTTCGATTGAACTGTTTCGACTCAGAACCATTACAAGAACGGAGTCCCATCAGTAGCTATAAGTAAGTGAGTTCTTATTCTTTATGACACACGGGTTTGAGCCATTATTGTGCAGTAGAAGTGTAACAAAGCTATAGTTCTGGAAGGTTTTGTGTAATGAATTGAGTTGACACAAAATGTGCAACAAGTCAATGCCGGAGTAAACTTTGGTTGAATGAATAAAAGACCAAACCTGTTATATGTTTCCAAAAGCAAGCTTGTCTTTTTTCCATTCTAAATTGACTTTCAACGCTCTGTTTCTCTGACTTTTCTTCTTTTATTCTCAAAAGAAATAACTGAATCTGGTTGGCTACTAAGTTATTTCTTTTCTTTTTTTTTTAGTTTTTTACTTATGTATTTCACAATAGATGGAAATTAGGTAGTTGTATGTATATTGACCTATTCTTTATGACCGTATCGCAAAGTTGAGCATAAAAAGAGTTTATCATGGCTTAAAATTGGTATTGGTATTGGAATTAGAATTGGAATTGGAATTTCATTCGTTTTCGAGAAGGATAAATTGTTGTTGAAATAAAAGGGTCAACTATTCATTCGTTTTGAACCAATTGCTAGGTGAAGGTGTCATTCGTGTCATAATACCTGAATAAATAGTAAGAAAAAGGTTACGTTTGCTTTTGCTTGTGCTTGAGAAGAATTCTTCATGTTGAGTAGAATATCAGCAAAGAGGTTGGTATCCTCTCAAAATTTGTCAAGACTCAATTCTTGCCAAATGGCAAAAAGAATCGAGCCTTGCCATTTGACAAGATACTACTCCACTCAAATATTCCAACTGAAATCTACAAGAATTTACAATTTCTTCAAATACGCACTTGGAGCAGGTGTATTTGGAATCACTGGTTTTGTAGGATTTGTCGGATACAAGATTTATGAAGAGAGTCGACCTGTTGATCAAGAGCCTCAATCTGCAACTTTCCCCAATGGTGAGAAGAGAAAGACTCTTGTGATCTTAGGGTCTGGTTGGGGAGCCATTCCAATGTTGAAGAATCTAGACACTACATTATACAATGTTGTTTTGGTATCACCAAGAAATTACTTTCTTTTCACGCCTTTACTTCCATCTGTCCCTACTGGTACTATTGAAATGAAATCAATAATGGAACCAGTAAGGTCTATAAGTAGAAGATGCAAAGGTGAAGTTCGTTACTTGGAAGCTGAAGCCATTGATATTGACCCGGAAAACAATTTGTTGACAGTACAGCAATCAACTACGGTGTATTCTGGCCATTCCAATGACTCGTCTTCGGCTACCGATATTTCAAAGCATAGAGAACACAAGTTGGAACGTCTCATTGAAACTATTTCTTATGATTATTTAGTTGTTTCGATTGGAGCGCAACCTTCTACTTTTGGTTTACCGGGGGTTGCCGAGCACTCAACTTTTGTCAAGGAAGTTAGTGATTCAGCTAGGATAAAAAAGAAACTTACGGATTTGGTTGAGGCTGCCAATATGTTACATCCAGACGATAAAGAAAGAAGAAGATTATTACATATTATTGTTTGCGGAGGTGGTCCAACAGGTGTAGAAGCAGCAGGTGAAATTCAGGATTACATTGATCAAGATTTAAAGAAATGGGTTCCTGAAGTTGCCAAGGATCTTCGAGTCACCTTGGTTGAATCTCAACCAAAAGTTTTGCATACATTTAACCCCAAGTTAGTGGAATACACCAACCAAGTGTTTAAAGAAACCAACATCAACTTAATGACAAACACCAGAATCACCAAAGTTGATGACCAGCATGTTACTGCGTACCATAAAGAGAATGGTAAATCGGAAATTGTTCCATATGGTATGTTGATCTGGGCAACAGGTAATTCAGTTAGAAGCTTTACAAGTCTTCTCATGAGTAAGATTGATAAGCAGAAAACTGCGAAACGTGGATTACTAGTTGACGATTACTTAAAAGTGATAGGTTCTGACAACATATATGCTTTGGGAGATTGTACATTTACCAAGTATCCACCAACTGCTCAAGTCGCATACCAGGAAGGTCAATATTTAGCTGCCTATTTTGATAAGTTACAAAAGTTGGCAAGTTTGAAATATCGGATTGAGCATGAACAAAACCCGGGGGAGTTTTTAATCCATAGAGCTAAAAAGTTGGAAGAAAACTTACCGAAATTTGTTTACCATTATCAAGGATCCTTGGCATATATTGGTAGTGAAAAGGCAGTGGCCGATTTAGCATGGGGATCATGGTCTAATGTTTCAACAGGAGGTAATATGACCTTTTTATTTTGGAGATCAGCTTACATTTATATGTGTCTTTCAGTGAAGAACCAGGTTATGGTGTGTATGGATTGGGTTAAAGTTTATTTATTCGGAAGAGATTGTTCTTGAATGAAGTACCGGTGGCAATGGTTAATATTTCTTAGATAGAATTGATAGAATATATACATATTCACTTATATATATATACATATTCACTTATATATATATACATATTCACTTATATATATATACATATTCACTTATATATATATACATATTCACTTATATATATATACTCTTATGACCTCCTTTTCCCCTGGATTCTCCTTTGCATTCACAAACGGAATCCTTTTCTTTTCTTTTTGCAACTTTGTCTCAAATAGGAAGTGACAGAAATGCTACCAACTGTCTTCTTTTATTTTTCAGTTAGCGATGCCCAACTCAATCTAAATGTCCCCTCCCCATCTCATCTCTCTTTTATTCTTTGAATTCAAAGAAGTTATAAAGTATAATACTCTACAACTCTTGATATTAGAAACATGAGTGATAGAAGAAGAATATTAGGACCGGTGAACTTTATAACTCCAAATATACCGAGACATGTTCGAGATGAAACGACTATTACTAGCGCCTCCTCCTCCTCCTCCTCCTCTTCCTCATCATCATCGGTAGCACCCGTTACATCACAAATTCCCCAATTTTTTGTTACACATTCTATAATTGAAAACTCCAATGGTTCAGCATATTTGGAAATAGAAAACACTATAATAGAAGTGAGTATTTTTGGTCCTAGGCCCATACGTGGCTCCTTTATAGACAAGGCAGCTGTGAGTGTAGAGACCAAGTTTCTATCACACGTTGCACAACCATGTAGCGAGATATTCAATGAACCAAAACAAGCGTCACAGGGAATGTCAAATATAGAACACAGACTTAGTTCGTATTTGGAGAACTGTGTATTGCCTAGTATAATTTTGGAAAAGTATCCCAAATCAACAATAGATATTCAAGTGAGTATTATATCGCTTGATCCTCAAGCAGTTAAGGGAGAAAGTGGATTGCTTTGGTTAATGCAATGGATCGTCATTTGTGCAAGCATGGCCTTGGTTGACACGGGGATAGAAATACGAGATATTGTTAGCAGTGGATGTATGAAATTAACCAAAACGGGCAAGTTCTTAGTTGGCGGGAACTTGGATGGAGTTGAAGGTATTTCTGCACTCTTTAGTTTCATGAATATGAAAAATGATGAGATTGTAGGTATTTGGTTAGAGGAGACTGGCGATATCGAATTGACTGAGCTGGAAATGGCTACCTTGGTTGATGAATGTTGCAGAATATCGAAATTCATTAGAGCTAATTTAAATTCATATTTGATTCAAACTTACAGCTAAAGTATCTATATATTAATATATATATATATATATGTAAACATGAATAAAATGTTGCATTATTCATTTTTTTTCATATTCAAGTCGTACGACAATTCAGCCAATACTTTATTGATGTGAAGGAGCTTCTTCGCCACGTCTAAAATGGTGATTTTATCAGAATTGAAGAATATCTTTGGACTTATTTGAACTTTTGTCGATAAGGAAATGATTGAGCTTAATAGTTCATAATCTTTAAAGACATTCTCCGATTGAGTAGTGGCAACCGATGAGATTGGAGTATTGATCGATTCCACCTTAAACACTTTGTCGAATAATTTCTCTTTCAAAACAGTTGCAAAATCATCTACCTTATCATCAGATAATGGAACTTCTAGATGTTCACATTTGAGTTCAAAAGGCTCTGAAACATAAGCAACATCATGTTTACCATCCAAATGGTATCTGAACTCATAAACCCCTTCGTCCCAAAATAATTTTTCCCTTTCAAATACAAACGATCCATTTGCTTCTTTACAAAAAGTCCACCTTCCTGCAGAAGAAAGTAGTGTTTTGTTGCGCGAGTAGGTAGTTTGAACAATCTTGTATAGTCCAATCCAATCGCGTGGTGAGTGGGCTGCGTTTGGTGATTGCCAATGGACTTTAAGTGGCGACCCTAAAATGGCAAATTTGGCGCTTTTCTCGTCATTATATTTCAAGCCTTCAATAGTCAACTTGTACTCCGAATTGGCAAATGATAAGTTTTGTGACAATTCAATAAGCTTCTGTTGAGACAATTTGGTTTTGGAATTTCTTAAATCCTTGATGAAATTATCCAATGAGTCGGCTATTGTTTGATTACCTCTTATTGCTCTTGAAGGTGTTTCATCAGTACTTATTCTCTTTTGAATCACTTCTGGAATCAAATGTTTTTTAAACGTCTTGGTGACACCAGAATCTTGGTTTACTTCGTGTTCTCCATATACTCTAACCATGTGCGATTTCTCGATAAAATTAATACGAATAAAGTTATTGACCACCCATAAGAAACAACAAGTCAAGTTTTCAACTGTAGGCCACAAGATGAAAACACCCATAACTCCACAAACCCCAAAAATTTGTTCGGGGTTATTTAAATAACGGTAAACTCCAGCTTTAGTCAAGTGTGTTGTTATGCTTTGCGATTTGGGAATAAAGAAATCACCATAGAACCAACCAAAATAACCAATCAGGTCGATGATTGAAGCATTGATCCATATTTGGGTTATAATAAGTAACGTTCCAGCAAATATTCTTAAATAAAATAAATCTCTAAAAAGTAAGTCGGCCGAACCTTGCAAGTAATAAATCAAGTTCAATCCAAACAACGATGCATATGTCAAATTGATGAGCGTATTGTAGATGATTGCCCAGTTGTTCAACGATTTTTCCACTGGAATATCATTTGAAAGACACCACTTGGTGAAATATTTGAAATAACTTTGTAAAACCAATAACGTACTGATTCCAAAACTCTCAATTAACTTGGTTGCAATAGTTAAAGAAAAGTATAATTTTGATGAATCATTCTTGATCAACACGGGAATAACAACACCATAAGTGAAAACTAAGATCAAATTAAGTATATCACTTGCCCTCATAAAATTAAAATTATACAATCCAACCAAGGGAGGCATATTATCAAAACTTTTCAAATCTTTTAATTTCAAAAGCTTGATCAAGTTGATTTCATTTTTAGAGGGACCATAAATTTTATCAATATGAGGGTTTTCAATATAGTGCAAAAAAATCATTTGTAAAAAATGTCCAAAAACTGCAATTGCCAAAACAATGTATGATTTAGCAATCAATGCAAACCCGTAGTAACCAATATACCCTACTGAGTACATTGGATGTGGCACCATTTCGAAAACACCATCAAAGATTAGCTCTTCATTATTGATTTGTCTGAAAAAGAAATCACCCCAATACCAAGCATAATCCTTAATTGTATTGTGGGCATTGACTTTGACCCACAAGTTGAACAAGATTAGGCAAACGCCAATAACAATTCTTGTATAGACTAACCAGTGGTTTGAAAAGTCAGCCTTATTTTCCATGGCACAAGTGCAAACAACACAACAAAATGTAACAAAATCAGACATCAAGATCAAATCAACAAATTTTCTAAAAACCAACCATGTATTGAACTCAATGGGCATTGACTCGATCTTGTAGTCCTCACCTCTTTGAGATATAACTTCATGTTGTACAAATTGAGCCCAAACCAGCTTGTTATTTGAATCAAATAATTTCCCTTCTTGAGCCCACGAAACCAATTTATTATTTAGTGACTGCTGTTGCAATAACCAGCCAATACCAAAATTATAGGATAATCTCCAGAAAATGTATAAACCAACAAAGATTACAATTCGTATCCGGTTCAAAGGTATTGCAAACACAGCAAGATTAGCAAATAAACATGCCAAGATAATCAATTCTGCATTTGATTTGTGTAGTGTCGGATCAAAAAGAGTCTTCACCATATCGTGAGTCAGGGGAACAATAAAAGTTTTTCCTGAAAAAGTAATACCCTGTGGTCCTACAGAGTCTCTATTTTGTGAAGTACCACTAGCACCATCTTTATCGAGCAGCGAACATTCTTTTGTCTTGTCCATTTGAGGCCGATTAAGTTGAGTAATTGTCATCTCCTTCCAACACTGAAAAAAAAAAAAAAAAAAAATAAATTACAATTGATAACCAAAATGGGAATATATGCTCTTTATAGTGAGCTTCTTCTCTCTATGGGGATCTTGGGTGATAAGTAAATATGGAAATCCCGTAGATTTGTCGTCCTTGAGAATGTATTCAGCACCGCCGTTTTTCCAACTTAACTTGACGCTATTTGGAAAAGCTAATAATGGATTCTCTTTTGCAACCCGACTTGATTTAGCTTTTTCTCTTATTGGAAAAAGAAAGCCTTTAAACTAAGGATGGAAAAAAAAATTGATGACAAAAAAAAAAGAAAGAAAGGGCGTATATCGTTGAGCTCAGTATGTTGTAGACTGTCAGTTCGCCAGCTGTGGATATATCAATGTTATACGCTGTCGGTTCGCCAGCTGTGGATATACGTATCTTGTCTCTCTAACAAGCTGATCAAAAATCAATGTTTAAAAAAGAAAGTGAAGTGAAAAAAAAAAAAGAAAAAAGAGGGAAAAAAAAAGACAATTTGCAATAACAGACAGAGTTTTTGGTTCAAGTTTAAAATTTTCACAATGAAAATGTGCAGTTTTGAAAATACAATGTGATTAATGTTGATCAAAATAAAGCGATATCTCGTTTGTGCAGCCCTTTTTGTGAACAGCAAATGAGCGAGCTCTAGTTCTGTGCTGAAAAACCCCTGTTTCTCTGTAGTCCAATAAGGTGCAAACTTGTCATAAATGGAATTTCAAACTTTTTCCCAGTAGTGGAAAAAGCCCACCGACGAAAAATGGCTGGGGGAAAAGGGGGTGGAGTGGGCCCTTTTCCTTTTCCTTTTCCCTGGCTTGTGTATAAACCATACTAAAACTTAATTTTCTCGATTGAAATTCTGAAATTCTGGGGTATTATGTCACGTGACTTATATACCTGTGATAAAGAAAGAGACGCACATTGTGATATCATACATATGAATATATGAGTAGATAATGATTTTTTTCTAGCCTATCGAGCAGAGCGAGATAGGCGCAACACCCAGTAGCTTGTTACGACACTATTTCCCTCTAGCTATCATTAACACTAGCTATCATTGACACTATCGAGCAGATATAAAAGTACAGATATAAAAGCTTTACTCTTTAAAGTATACAGATTTTCTTTTCGTTCTTTCACTATCGAGCAAAGCAAAATAGTGGAGCAACATTGACTAGACTTTACTATCGAGCAAAGCAAAATAGTGGAGCAACATTGACTAGACTTTACTATCGAGCAAAGCAAAATAGTGGAGCAACATTGACTAGACTTTACTATCGAGCAAAGCAAAATAGTGGAGCAACATTGACTAGACTTTACTATCGAGCAAAGCAAAATAGTGGAGCAACATTGACTAGACTCCACTATCTCGATTCGCTCGCTTCGCTCGATAGTGGAGCAGTATTGACTAGACTTTACTTTCTCACTTTGCTCGCTTCGCTCTATAGTGGAGCAACATTAACTAGACTCCACTATCTCAATTCGCTCGCTTCGCTCGATAGTGGAGCAACATTGACTAGTCTTCACTATCTCACTTTGCTCGATAGTAAAGTTGTGTTGCTAATACAAATCTTATTGGCAAATCCATACATGTATACTCTCTATAAAGCCACGAATATACAACAAACAGCCGTCGATAGCTAACCTAATAAAAAAGACCATCTATAGCAAAAAGACCATCTATAGCAAAAAGACCATCTTGTAGCAAAAAAACCATCTTTATAGCACAAAAAAAACATACGTGATTCAAACACAAAGGAAACAATTATAAAAGAACATAAATATTATTGGTTAAAATTGGTAGTGGTGGTAGCAGTAGTAGTAGTTGTAGTAGTAGCACCAGCTGATAGTAAAATGATGAATATCAGTATGATTACGATTAGAAACGACGGCTTCCTAAGGGAGCGTTATTGCTTCCACTCGAATATCCACCTCTTCCACCACCATAACCTCTTCCACCACCATAACCTCTTCCACCTCTTCCACCTCTTCCTCTACCTTGGCCATATCTAATATGACCTCCATAACCTCTCCTATCATACTGCGATAACTCAGGTGGCACTGTCTGTTTAGCTTCTCTCATAATCTTACATAAATCTCCACCTAACTTCTTGTCACCTTCAGTGAAAAACGAAATCGCAGTACCAGTAGCACCACCTCGACCTGTTCTACCAATTCTATGCACATAATCTTCAATGTTACTGGGCATGTCATAATTGATAACATGTGTAATACCTTTGACATCTATCAAAATAAGAGTTAGTAAATCATTATTCAGCTGGAGTATTACTTCTTCTAGGAATAAGTGTAAAGACTACAGGAGATTCTAAGTCAAAGAAACAAAAATAGGCATCGGAAATATAGTAGTGATTGACAAACATTGGTTCTTTAAGAAGAAAATCAAAAAAAAGAAAAAAAAAAGAACCCTCTCGTCAGTATACCATTCTTTCCATACCCATAAATCCATTTATTGAAACTTTTGTTATAAAAAGAACTAGAAAGGAAACACAATTTTATCAATATATTAAAAATTATTCACACATCAATGACATCAATGACTTTAATGACTCTAGGGACTTCGATAACTCCTAAACTTCCATTTCAAGCTGGACAAAGAAAAAATCAAGACAAAAACCAAGACTTGTGAATTGGTTAAAAAAAAAACCAAAAAAAAAAGTTGCTTCTTCAAATTGTTTCCAAACCAAACAATTCCTCTTCCAACACTGATATCTAAAGTCATTTGTAGATCATAAACAATGTGTGCAATTTCTAAGTTAAAATGCGTTTTACCCTTCTCATAATAGTCCTTTGCATTTCATCATTTTCAATATGGACTCATTTCGGTTCCTCTAAATCTCCCACAACTAGTAAAAAAAAAAAAAAAAAAAAAACAACATTATTCCTAGAATCAAAAAGTTAATAGTACCCTATTTTAGAAAAAAAAAGGGTGCGGGAAAGGGTTGCTTTCCTTATACATACCAATACCTCTTGCGGCAACATCAGTTGCAACCATAATTGTATGACCACCTTGTCTAAATTCTTTCAAAACCCAATCTCTTTCATGTTGCTCTTTATCACCATGAATAGCCAACGCGGGCCACCCATCAGACCTTAAATAACTTGTAACTTCATCACATGTTCTTTTGGTAGACGCAAAAACTAATACTTTTGAATTTTTATCGGCTAAAGCACCTTCCAATTGTTTAACTAATAAATCTCTCTTTTGAAATTCAGTAATCACTTGAACTATTTGTGTAATGGTATGAGATGCCGCCAACTCTAATGATCCGATAGTCACTTGAATTGGATCAACCAAATAATCTCTCGCCAAGTTTTGAACTTCTTTGGGCCAAGTAGCGGACCACATCAATGTTTGACGATCAGGTCTAATTTGATCAACAATTTTACGAATTTGTGGCTCGAATCCCATATCCAACATTCTGTCTGCCTCATCCAAAACCAAATAAGTAACCCTCTTCAAATTGGTTTTTCCTGCTTCCAACATATCGATTAGCCTACCAGGAGTAGCAATACAGATTTCAACGCCATGAGCTAAATCTCTAATCTGAGGACCTTTTGGAGCACCACCATAAACACAAGTGTTTCTGATTCGCGAAGATGAGCCGAATTTACTACACTCAGTTTGTATTTGTACCGCCAATTCCCTTGTAGGTGCCAAAACCAAAACAATGGGACCATCACCTCGTTTCAACAATGGTTGAGCATTAATATGAACAATACCCGGTAAAGAATAAGATAATGTCTTTCCTGAACCAGTAGCAGCAATACCAATCATATCTCTACCACTCAAAGCCATTGGCCAACCTTGACATTGTATAGGTGTAGGTTTAGGAAATCCTTGATTTTTCAACTCTTGCAAAACATAATCGGGGAACCCTGCCTCGTCAAATGATGTGATTGGGTGTGGAATATCATGGCCCAAAACGCTCATCTCGTTTTCTCTTCTAAATTCTTTGATCTCATTGTCTGTTCTAGCTGCAACATTAGGATGCTCATTGTAAAAATTTTTTTCAAATTTAGGCAAAGTTTCTAAATCCCATTCAGGTGCAACCAACTCTTGTCTCATGTCATTAAATCGGCCACCGGCACCTCCTCTTCCGCCGTATCCACCTCCTCTACCACCAAATCCGCTACCTCCTCTTCCACCAAATCCACCAGCACCACCAGCACCACCAGCACCACCTCTTCCGCCGTATCCACCACTGCTAGAACCGTAACCGGTACTACCTTGATATCCTCCGTTACTATATGACATTTCTTTTCTTCAAACTAACTACACCAACTAAGTTGAATAAAATCAATATCCTAAACTTGGTAAAGAAAACTAAACTAAAGATATCATAAAAAAATTTTTTTAGGCCATCGCTTCTCAAAGCAAGCTGAAAAGAGAAAAAAAGAAATAAAAAAAAAGAAAAGTGAAGAAGAGGGCATCTCACTATCTACACTATCGAGCGGAGCGAGATAGTGGAGCGGCACTGACTACACCATCTAGCTCTGCTCGATAGTATTGTTACAAGCTGCTGAGTATTGCTCCACTATCGAGCAGAGCGAGATACAAGCTAGTCAGTACTGCTCCACTATCTAAGGCACTCAAAGTTTGAAATTAGATAAAACAGTTTGTTTATTTGTAGAGAATGCTATAGTGGGGTCAATATAAAAGTGCGACACTATCGAGCAGAGCGAGATAGCGGGACACACTAGCTACTACCGACACTATCGAGCGCAGCGAGATAGTGGAGCAGCACTTAGTAGCAATACTATCGCTGCCACCGACACTAGCTGCCACTGACACTAGCTGCCACTGACACTAGCTGCCACTGACACTATCTCGCTCTGTTCGATAGAGGAGCACTTACAAATATACTTAAATTTGGTTTTTCTTTTAATATGTGTCTAAGTTAGTAACCACTACCCCTCCCCCCCATCAAACTCCAGTAAGATCTAGTTGTGTAAATTGATAGATTTGTCTAGAAGTTGCGTGTAGAGATGGACAAATTGGGGTTGGCTCAATCAATTCAGCTTCAATACGGTAGCACTCTATCTTCCCATTTTCTCTATTTTCCACTATCTCTATTTTCCACTCTCTCTGTTTTCCACTATCTCTGTTTTCCACTATCTCTGTTTTCCACTCTCTCTAATTTCCCATTCTCTCTAATTTCCCATTCTCTCTAATTTCCCATTCTCTCTAATTTCCCGTTCTCTCTATCACATCTCCTCCTTGCTAAACTCCATTATCTCGCTCTGCCCGACAGCCAGTGCTGCTCCACTATCTTGCTCTGCTCGACAGTGTCCATTAGTACTACTGCTCCACTATTTTGCTCTGCTCGACAGTGTCCATCAGTGTCCATCAGTGTGCATCAATGTCCATCAGTGTGCATCAGTATCAATCAGTGTTGTTGCACTATCTCGCTCTGCTCGATAGTGTCAGCCTGCTCAATAGTGTCAGTCTGTTCGATAGTGTCAGCCTGCTCGATAGTGTCAGCCTGCTCAATTGTGTCAGCCTGCTCGATAGTGGAGTTAATCATATCTCCTCCCTGCTATACTTACCCTCACGCAACTTTTCCTCAAATTTCTCTTCTACAACATCACACAATTCAGTCAAATTGTCCAACCCTTGATGTAAAGCCTCTACCGCAGATATATTCCCATATGTCTGTATCCTTACATTCAATTTATTCTCACTAGGATGTGGTATACTATATCCACAAAACTCAACTTCAGGGTTTTTCATAATCATATAACGTAAAGCGTTTCCTAAAGTGTGGTCTTCATCGAGAATTTGAAAAGATGCAGATGTCCCATCTTCAGAAGCTCCGGGAAGAATCTTTATCTTATCTGGATCATAAACACTCTCCTCTTTTTCTTGATGATCTTCCTCTATCTTGATAGCTTCTTCAGCTGACATCTTTAATCTACTGACTATCAAACCCGTGTGTTCACGATGCGATGATCTAATGAGTGTTTTCTTTAGTTTTTTTTGTCTCGCTTCTCATCTCATCTCTTCTCATTAGAAAAAATATAATCCCAAGGGTAAAAGATATTGATTACAATACTAATCCATAGTATTTCCCCAATGAACCTTGTTACAAGGGAGGTATGATTTACTTGTGGGGTCTTGGATGTATTGCTATTTCAATTCTATGGGCTAATACCAGCAAACTTGTATTTTTCTCTCTTATTTGGAGTAGTTTCATTGCATATTTTGCTTATGTGCTCATAGGAGAAAAGAAACTAGTGGTGAAGAGGGGAAAAGAGGCTACTAGATTTCAGTTTACTACTAGACAAAACTGGTCAAGAGAAGTTCTGCAATTTACGCCTTCTCCCTCGATTCCATCTGATTCCAACTTTGAGGAGCTTTTTGACTCTATTATCGAGGCATTCGTCACTCCTTGGTGTGAACAAATAACACCTTCATCTTTATTTGCTAATGACGTCAAGTTGCAACTAACTCGAGTTGCCACATTTGCAACTTGCAAGTTTGAAAAGATTGATATTGCAACTTTTGCCAAGAACAGATTACTCCCAGTAATTCGACGCCATTTTCAATTTAAGGAAGTAAGAAATACTGCAAATGACAAGCTGCATCTTCGTTTACAAGCTGGAAGACTTGTCTCAGCAATGCTTCCACTCGAAGAAAATGAATTAACTAGAACCTTACTTGTAGAGATTTTAACTTGGATTTTGGAGAATCTAGTGAATTTTCTTTGTGATGGTGATTTTTATAATATGATGATTGTTAAGTTTTTAGGAGGACGAAGAAACGAAGCTAAAGAATGGAGAAACGTTTTGCAAAGCGCATTATCCAAGTTGGATGATGACGATGAGCAAGAAGAAGAAGAAGAGGAAGAAGAAGAAGAAGAAGAAGAAGAAGAGGAAGTAAGAGCAGGAGAAAAAGAAGAAGATGCTGATCAAAATTACAATTATGACAGAATAAATAGTCTCAATCCTGATGAACCAATAATAAAGGATGCGCTGCTAGAAGAAACCGAGTCTATTGAAGTTTCTCCGCTGGGAACTCCCCAAAATGTCAAAATCCAGTCTACAGTAACTGAAAAGGAAAACGGGAAAGAATTTACAGTATTTGTTATCGAAACTCAAACTGAGCTGAATGCAGGTTGGATTGTTGGTCGTCGTTACAATGACTTTTATAAACTACATCAACATCTAAAACGGTATCAGTATTTTGACTCGAAATTCCCCAAAAAATGGATCTATAATAATAGGAATAGAATCGAAGAACGGCGGATACAACTAGAAAGTTACCTTAGAGATGCATTAAGCATAAATGAATTGCGAAACGATCCAGTGCTTAAAAAATTTTTATCCAAAATTGAATTTGACGACATCAAACCTGGCTTTATATACTATATGACTTATTTCCTTTTACCACCATTGCTTCGATATTTACATATCCCAAGCTTAGATCAGTTGGTCCCTGGACAAATCAAAATGTCGCCTATAAGGACTAAAGCACAAAAGTTGCATTCGTATAATATTGCAAAATCAATTTTCCCCACTGAGGCGTTTGAATTGTTACAAAATCAAGCTCTTAATAAAGACTTGATATATGCCGTATTTGACGAACTTGTTAATGAAATATGTAGAATATAATAATGCATCTTATTCACTATTTCCTTCCGATAAAGCCACGTTTGATTGCAATAATAATAAAAATTTTTACTGTTTCCGACTCTTTTTCTTCTTCTTCTTGCTATGCTTATCCTCCCGTTTTCTCTTCCTCGATGCTTTGTCGCTATCACTATTTCTAGTTTCCAGTTTCCGCTCCCGTTTCCGCTCCCGTTTCCGCGTCTTCTCCTTGTCCTTAGTCTTGTCCTTTTTCTTTTTCTTCTCCTCCTCCTCCTCGTCGTCCTTTTTCTTCCGTTTCTCCTCGTCGTCCTTTTTCTTCTCCTGAGCTTCTTTCTCCATTGTCCCTGCTAGTCCTTGACCTTTAACAAACATTCTATATAGAGGCGACATTGACCTTTGCACTGTTGAGGCAATAACTTCATCCTTTCTAAACAAAACCTCACCATTACCACCACCATTGTCCACTTGTAGGGTCTTTAGCTGGCCATCAAAAAGCTGTTCCCACCACATATCAGCATTATTTGTGTCATGACCTAGTCCTTTTGTATCTTTCTTATGCTTAACCAAAATTGGTTTCTTCAACCCACCTTTCTTGAGTGGTTGGCCTTCCTCCCAACCAAAAGATTGTAGATACAACTTAGCATCCATCAGAAAGCTTTCTTCTCTCTACTCGAATCGTTTAAACCTCATCTCATCTCATCTCATCTCATCTCATCTCTCTATATAAAAAAAAAACCTTCTTATAAATATATCGCTACCACACTGAAAAATAAATAATCCAAATTACATATTATAAATTGAATCCCCCCATATTTTATTGTGATTCTTTAATTTTACCCCGTGCTGATGAATCAATTGGTTGATGAGTTTGAGCTACTGATCTTAAAAGATCCATATGATAGTAGTAATTATGATAAAGCTTTAGGTGCTCTCGTAACATTTCCCGAAAGAGCCCTAGCTATTAATAAAGTATACCTGAAGAAAATTGAATATTTTAGGTTAACCCAATCTGAATTGAACCATTGGCTTTTCGAGTTGAGAGGAGTGGAAAATGTTAACGAGAGGTTGCATTTGGAGTACGTGTTTTACCAAACAGTTATTGAGGATTATAATATTGTTCCAATTGTCCAGAGCTTTCTTGTGTTAGCTCAGCAATTGCTTAATGAAGAAAGAATAACTCAACATGAATTTAGAAAGATTCTTTCAAAGTCTCTTGGCGTTTGCTCTTATGATTTTCGACTGGGCAATGCAATCTGGACAGTTGCCTTATCCTACTTTGAGCTGGTATATCTCAAGTCACAAGCCTCAAGTGACCTCGATACGTTAATCACATTACATAAAAAGAGGCTAACTTGTCCCCATGTGGAGCTCGAAAACTCGTTTCAAGAATACTCCTCCCTTATAAGTAAGTATATGCCCGAGTATTACGAAGAGCAAATGGGGATTGCGAACGGCATATTCAGTGCCACTAAATCAAAGATGAAGTATTATGAAAAATACGAGTCTGAAATTCAAAAATCCCCCTTGGATTGCACCCCATGGGTTGAATACATGGAAGGTGTGTTTAAATATCTGAATAATATAAAGCCTGTCATGGCGATTTTCGAGAGATCAATACAAGGTGACGTTGCGTTTTTAAGCAAATGGCAGCAAGTTTGGCTAGCATTTATTCATATGATCGATGGTGGTGGTGGTAATGATGATGGTGATGATGATGAAAAAGATGCTAAAGAGAATGAGCTCAAAACTTCAATACTAGCCAAATATGTACGAACATTCCCCAATTCGTGCCATGCCTACTCTGAAAGTATAAGAAATTGTATCTTATCCACCGAGTCTGGTTGTAAAACGCTAGAAGAAATTCAAAGAAGGATAAAGTCGGTTGATTTGACGCATACCTCAGATTATAATGACTGGAAATTAGTAGCAACGGCGTTGATACATGTCAAGTATCAGAAGTTATTGTATTCATCAACTGCACTTGTAGAAACAAACGAGCTTATGACTGAAATGGTTTTACATTTTGATTTTGCTTTGGAGAATACCGATAAGCTGCATTTGGTTGAGAGATTGGTTATATCCATTTGCAAAAAGCTAGGTAAGATTGATAATTTGATGGACTTATTGGAAAGACTATACAAGAAGTTTGCCAATGAGTCAGAGGTATGGCTATATGTGATTCGAGTAATATCTGATCTCGGTAAGAATGCAACTTACATGCGATACATATACAAGAAAGCTATGAATTCAAATTTGGATGATCCAGAGAAAGTGGCAGAGGAATGGCTCTTATATGAACAAGTCAACGGGAACATGACGTCATACAAGGAAGCTGTGGCAAAATGTAGAAATGTTGTTGCTGTCCTAGCTGGAAAAGCAAGTCAATTTGAAAAAACATCTCGCAAAAGAAGTCGTGACATTATCTCTGCCGAACTATCTAGATCGAGAGAGGAATACACTGTTCAAGTAAGCGATCTTCCGAAAAACACAACAGCAGATGATTTAAAGAAACTTTTTGAGGATTGCGGTACAATCAGGGACTTGACGATTATGGATGTAGACGATGAAAAACAAGCAATGATTGAATTTTCTAGTGAGCTCGATGTGTTTGCGGCTCTTACTAGGAGCCGTAAGTATATTGGAGATCGAGAAATAACCATTAATCAAGTTCAAAAAAGCTTGTTATTCGTCAACAATTATCCAAGCACTTATAGTCAATTAGATGTGAGGGAAGTGTTTGAACGAGTAGGACCGCTTGTAAGCTGCAGGTTTCCTTCACAGATTTCCAACAAGGTACGAAGATTCTGTTATATCCAATATGTCAATGCCAATGATGCTCAAAGAGCAATAGGTTTGTATAATGGTCAAACTTACTGGGACGAGAATTTAAATCGCGAGTTAACGTGGGAAGTCAAGTATTCAAAGCCCCAAGAGAGAAAAGAACGTTCAAGTCCAATTTCCGAGAGAAAAATTAGAGTAACCAATATCAATTTTTCAATAACGGAGGAGGAGTTGAGAAGAGAGTTTTCTGAGTGCGGCGAGATTGAACTGATTGTGCTTCCAAAGGCTGTTTTTGACACCAAGAGAAAGATTATGAAACAAAATGGTGGAACAGCGATAATAGCTTTTCGAGATGTTTTCAGTGTTGAAAGAGCATTAAAGAAAAACGGCACTAACTTGAAGGGAAGAGAAATCAATGTTCGACAACAAGCAGCGCATTCAAGTAGGACGCCTGAAGACTTCGACGAGCTTAAAACTGTTGGATTAATAAATTTAGATCCTTCGCTCAATACATTTCAAGTGAAAAACTATCTTGAGCAGGCTTTTGGACATATCTCGAAAATCCTTTTAATCCCCGAAGCAAAAGTAGGTTTGGTTGAGTTTGCTTCCGTTCAAGATGCAGGTAAGTTAGGATTGAAGAGTACTTGTATTAAAATCGATAATTACGAAATACAAACTGGAACAAAAACAGATGTCCTTCTGCTAATCAATATAGCAGAGACCGAGTCCAATAAGTCTAGCTTGGCAGCAGCTCCAGAAACCTCATCAGCTTTACCAGCGATATCTTTAATGCCAACTTCATTAAAACGTAGAAGGATATAAAAACAGAAAGAGACAAGAGACAAGAGAAAAGAGAAAAGAGAGAAAAAAAAACAATGCCTTCCTTCTTCTCCCCCCATTGTGATGGAATACACGAACCATACGATTTATGACTCTCGCTTTCAATTTTTCATTATTGACTTAGGGATGAAATTTTTTTTTTTTTTTTTTTTTTTTTTCAGTTGTTGGGTTAGGTTAATCAAACAGGTGAATGGAAATGAGTAGTGGTGTTACTTTTGAAAAGACATTTAGAAGAGATGCCTTGATTGAGATTGAGAAAAAGTATCAGAAGGAGTGGGCTGAAGCGAAATATTTTGAAATTGACGCTCCTACATATGAAGAATGTCCTACTAAAGATATCGATGAGGTGAAGGAGAAATATCCGAAATTCTTTGCGACTATGGCATACCCTTACATGAACGGTGTTTTACATGCTGGCCATGCATTTACGTTATCTAAAGTTGAGTTTGCTACTGGGTTTGAGAGAATGAATGGGAAAAGGGCCTTGTTCCCTCTTGGTTTCCACTGTACCGGTATGCCTATCAAAGCAGCAGCAGATAAGATAAAGAGAGAAGTTGAGTTGTTTGGAGAGGATTTCTCTGGTGCTCCAAAATCAACAGAGGAGGAAGAGGCGGAGGAGGAGAAGAAGGAGGATCCAGAAAAAAAACCAAAAGAGAAGAGAGAAGATTTGTCCAAGTTTACTTCAAAAAAATCCAAAAGTGTTGCGAAAACTGGAAGAGCCAAGTACCAATTTGAAATCATGTTGCAACTAGGCATTCCAAAAGAACAAGTGGCTAAATTTGCCAATACGGATTACTGGTTAAAATTTTTCCCTCCCTTGTGCCAAAGAGACGTTACTGCTTTTGGTGCTAGGGTTGATTGGAGACGTTCTATGATCACTACAGATAAGAATCCATATTACGACGCTTTTGTTAGATGGCAAATAAATAGATTGAGGGATTGCGGAAAAATCAAGTTTGGTGAAAGGTATACTATATATTCCGAGAAGGATGGTCAAGCATGTTTGGATCACGATAGGCAGTCTGGAGAAGGTGTCACTCCACAAGAGTATGTGGGGATCAAAATCAAAGTAATTGAATTTTCACCCGAGGCAAAGCAAATTTTGGAAAACGAAAATTTTTTCGACATTGCTGGTATGAAGAATGTGTATTTTGTTGCTGCGACTTTAAGGCCTGAAACCATGTATGGACAAACCACTTGTTTTGTTAGCCCCAAAATTGATTATGGAGTATTTGATGCGGGTAATGGAGATTATTTCATTACAACTGAACGTGCATTTAAAAACATGTCGTTTCAAAACCTTACTCCCAAGAGAGGATACTACAAACCCGTTGTTATTGTGAACGGTAAAGCATTGGTTGGTTCAAGAATTGAAGCGCCATTAGCTGAGCTCAAAGATTTAAGGGTTTTGCCTATGGAGACCGTGAAAGCTACCAAGGGTACTGGTGTGGTTACTTGTGTTCCCTCTGATTCTCCAGATGATTATATTACCACGCGCGATCTTGCCAACAAACCTGAATATTATTCGATTCAAAAGGAATGGGTTAAGTCTGAGGTCATCCCAATAATTCAAACAGAAAAGTATGGAGACAAGTGTGCTGAGTATTTGGTTAATGAACTCAAAATCAAATCACCAAGGGACACGTTGCAATTGGCAGAGGCCAAAGAATTGGCTTATAAAGAAGGATTTTATAATGGTACAATGAAAATTGGAAAATACAAGGGCGAGAAAGTTGAAGATGCCAAGCCAAAAGTAAAGGCTGATTTAATTGCATCTGGAGAAGCATTTGTTTATAATGAACCAGAGAATCAAGTTATTTCCAGATCTGGTGATGACTGTTGTGTTTCATTGGAAGACCAATGGTACATTGATTATGGTGAAGAAATTTGGTTGGGACAAGCATTGGAGTGTCTCAAAAGCATGGAGACTTTTGCCAAAGAAACCAGGCATGGATTTGAGGGAGTGTTTGCATGGATGAAAAACTGGGCAGTTACTAGGAAATTCGGACTTGGTACTAAACTTCCTTGGGATGATCAGTATTTGGTTGAGTCATTATCGGACTCAACTATTTACATGGCATATTACACTATCGATAGATTTTTACATTCTGACTATTATGGTCAAGTTCCCGGAAAGTTTGATATAAAACCCGAGTCATTAACCGATGAAGTGTTTGACTACATTTTTGCTCGTCGGGACGATATCAAATCAGACATACCTTTGGAGCAATTGGACGAAATGAGAAGGGAATTTGAATACTTTTACCCATTAGATGTTAGAATTTCAGGTAAAGATTTGATTCCAAACCACTTGACCTTTTTCATTTATTCCCACGTTGCATTATTCCCCAAAAGGCTCTGGCCACGCGGTGTGAGAGCTAATGGACACTTGTTATTGAATAATGCCAAAATGTCTAAGCTGACGGGTAATTTTATGACATTGGAGCAAATTGTTGAAAAATTTGGTGCAGATGCCTCACGAATTGCCATGGCCGATGCAGGTGATACTGTTGAGGATGCCAACTTTGACGAGTCGAATGCCAATGCTGCAATTTTGCGATTAACTACTTTGAAAGATTGGTGCGAGGAAGAGTTGAAGAGCCAAGATCAATTGAGATCAGCAGAATATGACTCGTTTTTTGATGAGGCATTTGAGAATGAAATGAATGATTTAATCGAAAAGACTTATCATCAATATACTTTGAGCAATTACAAGCAGGCCTTAAAATCTGGATTGTTTGATTTCCAAATTGCTCGAGATTTCTACAGAGAGTCAGTGAACTCAGCATCTATAGGAATGCACCGTGATCTCGTTTACATGTACATTGAGTATCAAGCTTTGTTGTTGGCTCCTATTGCTCCTCACTTTGCCGAGTATCTTTACAAGGATGTATTGAAAAAGAAAGGAAGTGTGCAAACGACTTTGTTCCCCAAGCCATCCAAACCTGTATCCAAACCTGTTCTTGATGCTTTGGAATATGTGAGAAACGTATGCAGATCCATCCGAGAGGTTGAAGGTTTAGGGTTGAAGAAGAAGAAAGGAAAGTGTGATTTCAGTTCTGGAGATTCGGTCAAGTTGACATTGTTAGTATGCAACACATTCCCTGAATGGCAAGAAACTTATATTGAAATTGTTCGTCAATTATTTGAGGAGCACAAATTATCGGACAACAACTTGATCAAAGAAAAAGTTGGTAAAGATATGAAACGGGGCATGCCATTTATTAACCAGTTGAAGTACCGCTTGAACACGGAAAGTCCCGAGTTGGTTTTCAATAGGAAATTAACATTTAATGAGGTTGAGACTTTGCAAAAAATCACCAAGCTCATTAAAAATGCTCCTTTTGCTGTTAAAGTACAAGAGTTGCAAATACTTGCTTTTGATTACGGTGCAACTAAGGGTAAGGATGTATTGACTGGTGAAGAAAATGTGGAGATAAACTATACAGGTAAAATCAAAGAAAATGCAAAACCTGGTGAACCTGGTGTAATATTAACAAAAATCTAAAACAAAAAAGATAAAATCAATACCGCAAAACTTGCCCATGTGTATATGTTATAGAGTCCATTTACCTTTTCCTCTCCTCCTCTCCTCTCCTCTCCTCTTCTCCCCTTCCCAGGTTATTATTCTCCCATGTATTTTAGAAGTTGAATTTAGAATTTTTCATTATATGGTCCGCATTAAATGCACGAATAGTATATACATTGTTTAAATACATTTCTTGATTACTATGGAAAAAAAATTAGCTCTGTAAGGAAAAAAAAAAAATAAAAAAAACCATCAAACTGTTATATCAAAAACATTAACCCTTGGTAATAAAATTCGGCTAGGGATTTTGAATCTATATTTCATTCACAACTTAACGGAAGCAGCAGTGGGCTAGATATACAAGTTTGGACTTTGTTGGAAAAAGATAAACATTAAGAGCTGGACTAGCAACACTTTTTTTTCCATAATTTTCCTTGATTTGTCTTTTTTTGTTTGATTCATTATCTTTTGAGATAGGACCAAAAACTCGAGACGATAGATTGGGATACGGAAAATTAGGGATAGGATGTCAAATTTTGACTACCCTTTACAAGACGAGCAGTCTAAATTTGACTACAAGTTAGTCAATCTGAATGGAAAGTTATCAGAGGTACCCTTGCATACAAAGTATCAAAAATTGTCATTACTTGAATCAAGAAACATTCAAGCTGAAATTTCAAGTCACCCTTGTTCAACTGTGGATGAGAAACGAGAGAATCGTCGCAAACGAAATGCCAGGGAGGACGATCCTAGGGAGTTTGAATGTTTTGTTTCTTGTGACGAAATGACATCTTCTGATACAGACTCAAATACGCAAGTATCTTCAACACAAGCGCAAGCGCAAATACAAGCACAAACACACTCATATTGTACAAATGCATTGGCACATCCTCCGTCAAAGAAAAGACTCACATCTAACTCTAACCACTCTGGCGGGGTTTCCACCAGCGGAGTTCAAGCTGATCCTGCTAATCTCTCGTCATCAAATATCTTTGGAGGCTCAACAACAGCAACGACAACAACAACAACAGCAACAAGTACTACTACTACTACTACTTCTACTACCAGCGGCGGCAGCGGCGGCGGCAACGGCGGCGTAGGAACCCACAACCAAACTACATCAAACCTCTCACGTGATCACAATCGTCGCCCAAAAACACCAACGCAAATGAACTCACCGAGCCATACACCTGTATCTGACGTGGAGGAGGAAGATCAAATACAGCAACTCCCTCTACCATCACCAAGTGCTTCTCCCGCACAGCTGGATCATGAAAACGATATGAGCTCTGTGCCAGACACTCCTCATGAAATGATACGAAAATCAAATTTAAACCTTCTTGAAAGCCACATGGCTGCCGTTCCTAACACACAAGGCGAGTTGATCAACCTCATAAATTATTTGTCAAAATTTCTAACTCCAGAAAACCAGAACCACATCATATTTAGGTTTCTTCAAAACACCAACCGCTCTACTTTAAGTACTTTCAACGGGTTGATCCATAATTGTTTGAAAAGGGATTTAATTGGAAATTTTCCTTTTGAGATTGCCACTAAAGTGCTATCGCATCTTGATCACAAAACACTACTTTCACTTGGTCTTGTCTGCAAAAGATGGTTCCTGATTATCAATAATTCTGAGTTGTGGATCCGTTTGCTTAAAAAGGATAAGCTAATCACACACGAGGCGGCTATCAAAGAGGAGTTGCTGCAATCGGACACATTGATAAGTCAGTGGTGTACTTTACCTGACAGAATAAACCCAGCGCAGGTTTTGTATAAAAAGAGGAAGATAATTGTTAACCGGTGGTTAGATCCAAAATATAAGCCTAAAAGAATAAGTGTAACTGGCCACGGAAATAAGGTTGTTACTTGTTTACAGCACGATGAGGAAAAAATTGTCACTGGAGTTGATGATAAGTGCATACTAATATACAGCACCAAAACGGGGCAGTTACTAAAGGTGTTGGACGGCCATGAGGGAGGTGTTTGGGCGTTGAAGTATAGAGGCAACACATTGGTAACTGGATCAACCGATCGAACTGTACGAGTTTGGAATATGACCACGGGGAAATGCACACATATTTTCCGTGGTCATACTTCGACCATCAGGTGTCTAGATATTATTGAACCAACCGTTATTGGCAAGGATGCAAATGGCCTGGACATTATTTTTCCTGAGTATCCGCTACTAGTTACTGGATCTCGCGACCATAACATTCATGTGTGGAGATTGCCTATACTCAGTGACGATGATAGCGAGGGACCAGTATTTGATGGTGGCGAGATGGACAATCCTTATTTGATAGCTGTTTTATCCGGTCATACCCAATCTGTTCGATCCATATCTGGATGTGGCAACATAATAATCTCAGGATCGTATGATTCAACTGTTAGAGTCTGGGACTTGTTGGATAGCGGCAATTGTAAACACATTTTACAAGGTCACCAAGACAGAGTATATTCAACAGCAATCGATTTCAAAAGAAATGTTTGTTTTTCTGGGTCGATGGACTCAACGATAAACGTGTGGAATTTCGAAACAGGTGAATTGCTCAAGATTTTGGAGGGCCACTCGTCTCTTGTTGGTTTGCTAGCTTTAGTCGATGACGTTTTGGTATCTGCTGCTGCGGATGCATCATTGCGAATTTGGGATCCGGTGACAGGGGAGTTGAGGAGCAAGTTGAAGGGCCATGCTGCGGCCATAACTTGTTTTGAACATGATGGATTAAAGGTTGTCAGTGGAAGTGAAAAGATGTTGAAGCTATGGGATGTGGAAAAGGGTGTTTTTGCTAGAGACTTGTTAAATGATGTTACTGGTGGTATATGGCAAGTAAGAATAGATCACAAGCGATGCGTTGCTGCTGTGCAGAGATTCAATAGCGACGATGAGGGTGAGACTTTTATTGAAATTCTAGATTTCAGTGAGCCGCCCAAATTGAGAGATCAGACAGAAAACTTATTATTATACAATCAAATCACTTAGGGGGGGAAAAAGAAACAAAAAAAAAAACATAATTGTATTTCGGAATAATGCAAATGAATGATATTTATAGTGGGAGAAGACCGAGAGAAGAGTGAGGTTTGTAGTGGGAAAGAAGAGTAAAGTTTTCTTTGGTAACCTTTTTTTTTTCTTTCTTTCTTTCTCTATCATCAAAACGTATGAAATAAATCAACAAAAAAAAAAAAGAAAAAAGAAGGTTTTTACTTTGTTTAAGTAAGTGGTAATAATACATTCAAGCCTCACTATAATAGAAAGAAATGTCGAGGAGGCCGGTATTGGAAGAGGTCAACGATGATGACATTGATAACCTTGATATGGATATAGCGGAATTTGACCCAGATTTAAAGACTCCTGTGGCACCAAGAAGACCAGCACCATCGATTGTTAGATCACAAGATGAGAATCCTGAGCCGCCATTGTTTCCTCAAATGGGAGATATACCTGTACCTACCAAGCAACAAACTCATGAGAGGAGTAATATTATTGATCCCAAGTCATTTACACCTGAACAAGAAGCACATTTCAAAAAGTTTCAAATCATATACCCATGTTACTTTGATATTAATCGATCTCATAAACAAGGCAGACGAGTTAGTATTGATCGTGCTGTGGAGAATCCAATAGCAAAGACTATAAGCGATGCATGTCAGTTTTTGAAAGTTCCAGTATTGTTGGAGTTGGACAAAACACACCCTCAAGATTTCGGTAATCCTGGTAGAGTTCGAGTGCTATTGAGGGAGCCAGAAGGCGGCAAACCAATTAACTCTCTATTCTTGAACAAGAAACGATTTATGAATGAAATAGCAGATTATTTAGCAACACACCCTACTGAATTGGACAGTGTTGGCCGTAAGAGTGGAATTGCAATGCCACAAGATTTTCAACAAAATTTTACACCAGAAGAAATCCCAAAAGTGAAAGGTTTTAAGATGAATACTATTGTGCCTGTGCATTCTAGTTTTACAATGAAACATCCAATGACAAAGAGTATTTATGACGCAGAGCCAGAAAATGAGGCAATCGCACCCAGTGGACACAAGACTAATATACCAAAACCGCCAAAGAAAAAAGTGATGAAGATTAGGGGATAACTTGCAAATAAAGAATAAAAGAATGAAAAGAAAAGAAAAGAAAAGAAAATAATGAATAGAAAAAAGCGGAGTAAATTTAACATGCATGAGGCTCCCAAACGGGGGGGTGGTGGTGGTGGTGGCAGGAAAAGAGCTTATTTAGGCACCATATTTGTTTCTATATTCTTCAATAGACTTCAAGTCATCGACACTGATCTTGTCCTTTAAGATGGTAATAACTTCGCTTAAACTCACAATAGATAAAACTGGAATTCCAAACTTTTCGCTCACCGTTTTGGTGGCTGATCTTGTTGAGTCGTAAATGGTTGTTTCTTGTCTATCCAAGGCGATAATGCAACCAACACATTCACCTTTTTCTTGTGCGATTATCTCGAATGCCTCGTTGATTGCAGTCCCGGCAGTTATCACGTCGTCAATGATCAATATTCTCTTCCCTTGTAGAGGGCAACCAACAATGGATCCTCCTTCTCCGTGATCTTTCTTTTCTTTTCTATTGAACGAGTACCCTACATCACTATATATATCGGGTCTCAATTCTGCCAACTTTGCTACAGTGATAGCAGCTAATGGTATACCTTTATAAGCGGGGCCGAACAAGATATCAAATTTCAATCCGCTTTTTATAATTGCTTCGGCATAAGCCGTCGCCAAGTTTGATAATAATTTACCAGTATTGAATAAGCCCAAGTTGAAAAAATACGGAGATTCACGTTTTGACTTTAAAGTGAATTTCCCAAATTTTAAAGCTTGCGAGTCCAATGCGGCTTGCAAGAAGATTGCTTGATATGGCGAGGTTTCCAAAGACATTGTTGAAGAGAGAATGGGGGGGCGGAGAAAAGGAGGAGAGAAAGAAGAGGAAGGAGAAGAGGAGGGAAGATATCTGATGAAAAGATGAGATGACTATGGAGGAACAACTGCATTGAATTTTTTTTTTTTTTTCTTTTTTTTTTTTTTTGCCGGATGGACTTGAAGCCGCTTAGAATAATTTGCTTTACGAGATTTCAAGTATCTACGATGATGGTCGGCTTAATTGTCAAAGTTGTTATTTGTGAAGAGATGGCGAGTAAAAAAGAAGGGCTGGTGGCAGTAGCTTAATGATATTCTTTTGGCTTGTTGTATATAAAACTGAACTTTGCTCTCATTTATTATCTTGACTGAAAATGATAGTTTGATAAAAGTACATCTCCAGCGTTGGAGCTAATGTTTTCGTGTCTAGTGTAGTATATAATTAATATGAGATATCAATCTACTGTAAGAGAGTGTGTGAAAGAAATAATAAGTTATAGTAAGATTTATATTCATTGAAAGGTGACGCTATCAAAAGTCTTGCGCGATGGCAACACTAGTGAACATAAGGCGAGCTAGTGGGAGTAGAAGAGAGCAGGGTGGGCACTATCTGCCGACATTCATTGTCTAATCACTCTAATTATGTAGCTGAACATAGTTGGGGGGGGGGGGGGGGGGGGACACCATCGACCAGGTTTCATATAGAAACGCTACCAATCGTCAATACAAAGACAAAAAGAAACCATGAGTGACATTGTACTATCCTTTATAGTTTGAATAAAATGCATTTTTTGATTTCAAAGTCAATAGGTTTGCTTTTCTTTTAAATGCATTGATCCTCAACTACAAAAACTCCTGCTGAATAAAAGTTGGCAAATGTCAATATCCAAAAAGGTTGGCAAATGTCAATATCCAAAGAGGTTGGCAAATGTCAAAATCTTCTTTAGTGTGGGGTGAAGACTAATTAGAATGATACATAAAAGGTAGAGTTAGAAACTTCTGTCGTCCACATAAATGTCCCGCTTTATGTGCAAGCACAGATGTGTACACCTATACAGTTTACAAATTTACAAATGTATAGTATCGTCCCAGTCAAGTGAGATCTAAGTTTAACGATGGAAAAGGTGTTTTAAAAAAGGTGTTTTAAAAAAGGTGTTTTAAAAAAGGTGAGTTTTAAATTTAACGACGGAAAAAGTTCTAAATTTAATCTCGAACGAAACCGGCTTTATCTCCACAACCAAACGGCCACCTAACAAACAATGAAATTTTTTTTTCTTCTTCTTCTTCTTCTTCTTATTTCCATATTCTTCTTATGAATCAGCCAATTACACGTGCCTCTTGGTATTAATCATGTGATGAGAAAACCCCTTCAACCACGTTTATTGAACTAAAACGACTGAAAATTCACAAGAACCAAGTCTCTATCAAAGCAGACTTTTATAAAAAAAAACTACTTCTTTACTACAAAGTCTCCTATGCGAACCCTCAGCATATAATGCACTCTTTTCTTGTAAAGAGTATATATCACATAAATATTTCGTAGCCCTCGTTTATCATACCTCATGAATTTTCTCTTTCAGTGAAATTTTTCATTTTTGCCAATCTACACTACACAATCTATTATCCAACTACCTTGCCAACAAAATAGTCAAAGCATAATAGTGCACTATATGTGCGCCATGCAATAAAGAAAAGTATAACTTGTCAATTCAGGTAATACGAAGAGCAAAGGGCGAAAAGGAGAAGTCAAAAATTTTTCAACACTTTTTTCCAATGGAGGAATTTAATATTTAAATTGCAATTCTTCTTCCTTCTTTTCTTCTTTCTCTTCTTCCTCTTCTTTCTCTTCTTCCTCTTCTTGTTTTCTTTTCCCCTTTACTTTTCGTCTTGATTGATCTAGACAAGTGGATTTTTTTAAAAAAAACCAAGAAATAAAGAGAAAAGCAAGTTAGTAATGGTTCAGTCCTCAGTTTTAGGTTTCCCACGTATTGGTGGCCAAAGAGAGTTGAAAAAAATCACCGAGTCTTACTGGGGTGGTAAAGTTGGTGTTGACGAGTTGATTGCTACTGGTAAACAGTTGAGAGAACACAATTGGAAGTTGCAACAACAAGCTGGTGTTGATGTTATTCCATCAAACGATTTCTCATTCTATGATCAAGTATTGGATTTGTCCTTATTGTTCAATGCTATTCCAGAAAGATACACCAAGTTTGATTTAGCTCCAATTGACGTTTTGTTCGCTATGGGCAGAGGTTTGCAAAGAAAAGCCACTGATTCAACTCCTGCAGTTGATGTTACCGCTTTGGAAATGGTTAAATGGTTTGACTCAAACTACCATTATGTGAGACCAACTTTTTCTCACTCTACTGACTTTAAATTAAACACTGCTGCTGGAATCAAACCAGTTGACGAATTCAATGAAGCTAAAGCATTGGGTATCAAAACTAGACCTGTTCTTTTAGGTCCAGTTTCCTACTTGTATTTGGGTAAAGCCGATAAAGATTCTTTAGATTTGGACCCTATTTCTTTATTGCCTAAACTTTTACCAGTTTACCAAGAATTATTGGCCAAGTTGAAGGACGCTGGTGCTGAAGAAGTTCAAATTGATGAACCAGTTTTGGTGTTGGATTTGCCAGAATCAGTTCAATCCAAGTTCAAACAAGCTTATGACTCTTTGGCTACTGCTGAAGCACCAAAATTGATTTTAACAACTTACTTTGGTGATGTGAGACCAAACTTGAAAGCAATTGAAAACTTGCCTGTTGCTGGTTTCCACTTTGACTTTGTTAGAGTTCCCGAGCAGTTGGAAGAAGTTGCTTCAATTGTTAAAGGTGACCAAACTTTATCTGTCGGTGTTGTTGATGGTAGAAATATCTGGAAAACTGATTTTTCCAAGGCCTCTGACATTGTTAACAAGGCAATTGATAAAGTAGGTAAAGACAAGGTTGTTGTTGCCACCTCGTCGTCTTTGTTACATACTCCAGTTGATTTGGAATCTGAAGCAAAATTGCCAGCTGAAATCAAGGACTGGTTTTCATTTGCTACTCAAAAATTAGACGAAGTTGTTGCTATTGCTAAACACATTTCTGGCGAAGACGTTTCAGAGAAATTCGACGCTAATGCCGCTTCAATCAAGGCTAGAAAAGAATCTTCAATCACCAACAATCCTAAGGTTCAAGAAAGATTAACAACCATTAACGAACAATTGGCAACTAGAAAAGCTGCTTTCCCAGAAAGATTAGAGGCCCAAAAGGCTAAGTACAACTTGCCATTGTTCCCAACAACCACAATTGGATCCTTCCCTCAAACTAAGGATATCAGAGTCAATAGAAACAAATTTGCCAAGGGGCAAATCACAGCTGAAGAATATGAACAATTTATTAATAAGGAGATTGAAACTGTGGTTAGATTCCAAGAAGAGATT